ACAACAACAAACAACAACAAACAACAACAAACAACAACAAACAACAAACAACAACAACAACAACAACAACAACAAACAACAACAACAAACAACAACAACAAACAACAACAACAAACAACAACAACAAACAACAACAACAAACAACAACAAACAACAACAAACAACAACAAACAACAACAACAAACAACAACAACAACAAACAACAACAAACAACAACAACAACAAACAACAACAACAAACAACAACAACAACAAACAACAACAACAACAACAACAAACAACAACAACAAACAACAACAACAAACAACAACAACAAACAACAACAAACAACAACAACAATCAACACTTCATCATGCTCCTGGTGATCGCACTAATGCCATTTATGCTGAAGACATCCATTTATGGTCTTTTGCCATTCTGTCTCTACTAGAGACCAGAACCTGGTGACCGGTGACCGGTGACAAACTCAACAAAAGCAGCGCACGGCGCATGAACCTTCACCGCATGAACGGTCGACCGGACCGAACGAACGAACGTCGAACGACCCAACGGACGCTGGGCTGTGGGAACGACCTCCTCGGGAGGTCAACCTACCAGGGCTGCCAGGGCTGGCGGCTTGCTGTTTCGCCAGGCCAGCCAGGCCATAGGGTCTTGACTGAAGGGGGGGTGCTGAACAGTGTGCTGAATGAAACTGCATCATCAGTCTTTTTGGAAAAGGGGCTTTCAAATTAAATGTCTTCAGAATGTGTTTATATATATATATTGATGTCTTCTGAAGTGGGAGGAGGTGAGTTGGTCATCATCAAACAAACATGACCATCTGTTGATTCCCAACCAAGTGACGTGACCAAGTGACAACTTTGCTTGGAGATGACCAACTAGGGTGGCTAACCCGGTTGGTACAGAATCTTGTTTGGGTGGTCGAGTTCTCCTGTGGTTGATCTGTCAACCACCATCTGGATTCAACACAAACCTCACTCCAACAAAATCCAATGAGATCCAATTGAGATCCAATGAGACCCATCCAACCTGGGTCGCCAAACATGGTTTGGCGCATGATGTCCAAAAACACTCTGCCAATGCTGAACGCTTCAGTTCAGCGCCCTGACCCGGCGCTGCCTGCATTGATCAAGAACTCTCGCAGCGGCTCCTGGGAAGTGAGGCCATAGAAAAACAAAGCAGGTAGAAGAAGACCGATTGCACTGTTTGGCTTTCAATCTGTCCTCCCAAGAACAAACAGCAACTGACCGACCGGACCCAGAACGAATGTTCGACCTCAGCTGGCACAGGGTTTCATTAACCACCTTCTGTGTTTTGTAAAAACACGCGACGAAACGTTGACAGCGGTAGATTGCCTTAGGGTAAAACAATGTAAAACATATGTCAACACTGCATGACATTTGGTCACCAGAAAAGGCCATCGACCTCCGAGGTGTATTTATCCAAATACATCCAAATACTATTTGAGGTGTCAAGTATGCATGTCCAGAAAACATGTCAGGTGGGCGGAAGAAGCTGCCAAGCAAAGCCGCGGGAGGGCAGTGAACGCGTCGTGCGGAGTGAACGTGGACGGAAAGCGGAGTGAAAACAATTGAAGCTTGGCACGCATTTGTATGCAGGTGTACTGTGAGTATAGATACATGGTGTGTACCGGTAGAGCGTCATTGGAAGGGCTTTCCTGATTGTCAGTGATTGGTAAGATGTGGAGACCATCTGACAGAAGTGCTTGTTGCGAAAGAGTAACCTCTTGCACAATCCAGGAACTGAGTACTTGAATAGTGTTGCATCTCTTGGACTGGAAGCCACACTGCCGGTACTACTACTGTAATAGGCAGTATGTCCTGGATCCCCTGTACCGGAACATAGCACCACCCACCAGCAAGACTGGTTTGAGTACAGGCTCGACCTTAAATCGACTGCGTCACGGACCGGGGACCGGGGACCGCCTCATTTGTCGCCGACTCAAATAGATGGGATCGTCGATGTGGTTCTATCAAGCTCACGGCCTACTGCCGTTTCATGAACCACTAGAGACCAACTGTTGGGTCCCCGCTCCAGTCGTTTGTGGGTAACGAGAAGGCGACGCTTGAACCCATGCTGGGGAGACCCAGATCTGTTTCTTAAAACTGCAAAACAAATGCAACGAACTGCCCAACAAACAGCAGGGAACTTTCAAATTCTATGTGGATTGTTGTGGCAAATGTTGGATGCTTTAGTAAGGAATGGAAAGAGACGGCTGCCTCCCTGGGGTAATTATTTGGGGGTTGGAGTAGGTGCCTCAAAATATTTCCTAAACCTAAACAACTAAACAATTGACCATTGACTACTTGACTTTGGGATACTTTGTGTCGCCGGCGGAGTGAGTGGCGGCGGATCGTCGTCGCTCGGCCAACGACGCCGTGCGCCGCGAGCTCTCCTGAAGCTCGGGTGGGCTGTTGGAGACAAAGGCGAAGGTGGCACCATAGTCCTCGCAGCGCATGGCGGGCATAAGAGCCCCGAGACGAATGGGCGTGGCGAGAAACGTCAAGCTGGCGAGGGGCCCGGAGGGCGCCCTGAGGTTCCGGGAAGGTGCAGATCATGGAAGCGAGTGACCTCGGAAAAGAGGAGGACACACTTTGACACACCTCGAGCTTGAGTGACCTCTGGTCTTGGACCATTAACCGCCCAAAATATGGTATTTTTATATCAACACAAAGGTAAAATCTACTCCTATCAGCTGCTTCCAAGGGGTCACCAATGGACATCTCTACACTACTTACAGGTCTCCATTGGGCACCCCTTGGAAGCGCTAGGTCACTTCATTTTGAACATCAAAAGCCTTTGACCTCTGATTGAGAACCGTGCCAGTCCCAGCCACGGTTCAAGAGGAGCCTATGGCAGACAACCTTTCGCCGGACAACCTGAGGAGGAGCCTAGGCAGGTCCTGTGACAGTGTCACTTTTGAGTACCAAATGTCCATGTCTACATCAATTTCCGTAAAGGACGTTGCAAACCATTCGAACGAGGGCGCTTCTAATGAAGGAGCGTCAAATGGCTTGAGGTTCCCAGTTGATGAAAAGAATAACCTGTCCGAAAAGGGCCTTCCGCGTGCACTACTTCATGAAGCTGTGCTCTCAGCATACTCCTCTTGGATAGGCATGATACATATACAAACAAAATTACCTGGAGGATGCTCACGAGTCATCCGTCTCCTGATCATATTAAAACAACATCCAAGCCAAAGCCCGTGCGACACACACACACACACATATCTGGTTGGTGGCTTCAACTCACGAAAGAACAAGAATGAGTCCCAATATGGTTCCACGATCCCAAGTAAAGCTTGAACATCAATGGTGGGTGATCAAACTTTGCGAACCACATGACATGTCGGCTCTGGATGACATGTCGGCCTTATGTCGATCCTGCCAATCAATCCAAATCAATTCTGAGGTGTCACCACTCCACCTCGCTCCACATGAGCTCCACCTCCTCCTCGCTCCATGGGAGTCCATGCCGAAACCGTCACGACTGACTCGTCTCCTCCCACCAGGATCGGTAGAGGTTCACCATGCCAGAGACCGGGCGAAACTCCTGCGATGAAGCACCCTGGCAAAAAAGGATGAAACCGTCCAATTGGCATGTCTACATCGGAGTGGTCTTAGGTAAATCCACTTATAACTATATTCATCTATATTCCATACATGGATAGGGAATTGGAATTGGAAACCCATTCTAATGTTTCAAGATTCAATTTATATCGGCCCTAGGGCCACCCATTTCACAGTGGAAATTCACATCCCTATATACATGGAGTGTCTGGGAGGCAGATCGATGTCGTGAGGGAACACCACCTGGCGAGGTGGTCAAACCCAGGAGATCCCGACAGCGACAACGGGTCGTTCGGTGAGCAAGACCAGTTTCCAGACCAAACGAATGGTTTCCTGGCATCGTTTCCTACACGGATGGGTCATTTGCATTGGGTTTTCAGTGTTTGTAACCATTCCAGTCCCATGGACCCATTCCAGTCCCATGGACCCATTGGTCTGGAATTGAATGAATAGCCTGAAACCAAGCAAATTCCTCGATCTCAAATGAAGCTTGGGCCATGAAGGGCCATGGAGGTCTCAATGAATGATGGGGGCCGGCACTGGGAATGACTTTGTAACAAACACTGAATTGTGTGCACTGTGCACTACTGTGCACTCCATTATTCGACTCTAGTGGCGCGACATCACATAGCCCCATCCTGATAGAATTTCCTTCCATTCTCACTCCATCTAGAACATTCTGGAACTAGAACTCCAGCTCAAACAATCCCCACACAACTCCAGTCTACGCAAGCCATGCTGCCACCCCCCCGATACCGTGCCCCGTAAAACGGGCCTCCAGGAAGGTGTTTCGCACCACCATGTCCTGCAAGACGTGGTGCATCAAACATGATCAAAGCCGTTTTTGGAACCAACGCGACCTGCAAACTCTGGAACCGATCCTCTATAGGATCTACAGTAGTGTTGTTCCGACCACAAGAAGATGAGCCTCTTGAGCCTGAAAATGTTCGTTGACCAAGTTCTTCTAGGGTTGTCCCTGATCCTCCACAAAACGTACAAACGCCCATTCCAGCCGAATCCATCAAGCCAGGGTAGTCTCCCTATTTTACCTGTGGGGATGGATGGGTGTGGGGTCAATTTTTTCACCCAAAACATGTTTAAACAAAACACACAAGACGAGTCACGAGTCTGTTTTTAGATTGGTGACTTATGGTGACTTCACCGGACCAAAAGCAACAAGAACACAGTGACTTCACAGGTTTTCTAGTCAGTTACTTCGCCTATCTTCACCTGCCCGGACTCCTTGCCGAGAAAGACCTCGGTGACCTTCACGGTATCGTCAATGTCCGAGATCACCTGGGCATGGAGATCCTGGGTGAGATCGATGTACCTAAGAGCTTGGAAGAAAAGGAAGGATGTAGATGCTTGAAGAAAAGGAATCTCGATGCCTTACTCATCTACCATTTAACCAGCATGCTTGGACCTCCTGTTGAATGAATTCTCCAAGCGATGTCTTCAACGGCATACATATCCAAAACGGGTGAGAACTTACTTTCACGTGAGTTGTATTCCTAAAGGAGGGTCGGAGCATCCTAGCTAAGCGAAACCAAGTGAAGTCTGAAAAGAGGGGGATCGCATGGGATTGCACCCTCTATCGCACTCTGGCACAAGACTTTGCAGTCCGACTTGGCCATCATCCCTGCGATTGGTTACGACCACTACATACCACTACAACCATTAATGGTTTCAATGGTTGAAACTTGGCCTGGTTCCTTCTCTCTCACAAGAAGATTATCTGCACGTCTTATAAGGCCAAACGATCTATGGATCTTGGTGACCGCAAAGAATTGACGTCTCTACACCACCGAAGGATGTACGTACAGATAGTCTATCTCAGCAAGTCTTGTCAGGTTTTCCCCAAACAACTCAAGTCCCCTGTTTCAGTAGTTCTGCCCAGAATCCAGCTGCCAAATACACCACTTCTTTCCCCCGCTCCCTTTTTGGGAGCGACCCGCCCTGCGACCCGCCCTGCGACCGCACCGACGCCCAGCTCAAACGGCGCTCCGAGGAGCTAAGACGCCCTCCGGCTGCACCAACAGAGCCGACGCGCGCGCGGTGATGTCCTGTCGCGTGGGTGAAGAGCGCGGTCGGATGCGCTCGGAGAGGGTCGGTCCGGTGCTCCCAGGAGGTGGGACATGGTGGGAGGCAGCTGCTTCACCGTTCGGGGTCACCCGGCTGGATATCTCCACACTACGGAGTCACAGGTCTCCAAACAGGGCACCCCTTGGAAGCGCTAGGTATGAAAAAAAAAATATATATATATATATATGACATGATAATATATGTCAGTCTCATGGGTCGTGTCTGGGAATTTTGTGGATTCTCTACTGTGTTCCTTCAAAGTTCCTCCGGACTGTCGTGGGGAGAGTCCCTGGCCGCTGGGGTGGGTGGACTGGTGGGCTGACCAGCGGAAGCTGCCACTCCTTACTCCACTCCTCCGAAACACGGACTCGGTTCGCTTCGTGACCAGTTCGGTGTCCAGAAAACCACCTGTTGGAAGGTCCTGTTATTGAACGTAGAAGAAAACATGGTCAACAACGACTCCGAAAAGCCATCCTATCCGAGGAAGTCCGTGGGTTTCCAGGGGATTCATGAACTGTTCGATTCCAAAATCCAGGGGTGACGTCGCTTGTCGCTTGTCGCTTCGTCACACTCCAAATCCTTGCCTCACCCGGCAACCGGACCGTCAAATTCAGGAGGCCATCTTCCTAAGGGTCCGCAGGTCCGCGACAAACGGGGACTGGTGAACCCCCCTAAAGAACTGAGCATGTACACCGGTACACCCCTGAAATTTCTTCATGGAAGTGGATGACATGCCCTGGATGGCCATGAAATCTGAATGCCATGGTGGTTTTCACTCCACTTCCATAGAACGTTTTCCTCGCAGTGTAGTTGGTGGAAACCCTTTGTTTGGGGATGCGTGTTGGGCTATGCGAAGGACATCGACTCAACACTTGTCGAAAGCCCGCGCGCCTACAGTGACAGTGTAACCACTAGCATCTAGGCCTTCAAACACTCCATACATCATAGCGAAGCCAAATCTTCAAGCCAAGCCGAACCTGTCAGGATTGAGCATTGGGTGACGGAAAAGGTTCCAAACCACGGCAAGCCTGTAATCACCTCAATCACACCCAAGCATCAAGGATTCCACACACCCCTTGACTTCTGCAGTGCTTCAGCCGTTCAGCAATTCAACATGAACTATGCATGCTTATGCTCATAAAAGTGGACGTGACGGCCAGAAGGTTCAAAGATTAAATATATGTCTTAACTGAAATGTCTTTCTTCTGCTTTGACACGTGACCTACTCCGCAGAAGAAGCGCCGTCCCTCCGCCCCCTGGGTGTTGGCACGGCAGCTTTCTCCACCAGGTGCTCTGGCACCGTCACATCAACCTCGGTCATGGGGATGTCGTGGGCTCCGGGTGTGCATTTTGAATAGGGAAACACCCTGGCCCAATGGGGTTTTGAGGTCGATTTTCCGAACCTTCCAGGGGGTTCGGGACGCCGGTGGTTCGGTTCGGTCTCCCTATTTTAACGACCTAAATGTCTGTTCCAAATGAAATCGGGCAGGTCCGATAAGTTCGGAAAGGGTCTTCAGAATTCTTCAGATGGTTTTCAGGGTTTTGAGCGGTTGGAGGACGAAAAGACATACACATCCATAGCTTCTGTTCAAGCTGTGTTCGGGATACCCTCTGATCTGAGATGGTGCTTGGGGATGTTTGTGATGGGCTTGGAGAGTCAGTTCCTACCTTTGGAGACTCCTTTGGAGAATGGAGTTAGAAGTTAGAATCAATTCAAAGCCCATGGAGAGCTTTCAACGCGAGGTATGTTTGGAAGCTCTCTGATAATAGGTTGACATCCTTTCCGTGTAATGGACGTGTCGTGTCAAATCAAAGACTCCCGTTGTTCAACTTCCTTTTCTACCGAGTGGGCGAAACAGAAAAGTCCCATAGTCGTGAGATACAAGTTCTGTACGCTGTACTGTTCATCGAAACCCTCTCACTCCATCAACAGATAATCAAAAATATTCATATATATATATATACACAAACACATGGGAACGATCATGAATGATCAAACCATGTTTCTGCTGGAATGATTCCCATGTGGATGAGGAGTAGATGTAAATCACTGTTAATGTCTTTTTTTTGATCGCGATGGAGGACGTTTTACACATCCCTCCGTGACTCGATGTATTTTATAGTAATATATATATATATGTCTGTTGAGAGGTTCACCCCGAACGTGTTTTTGTTGCCTGGTTTTTGGGTAATGATGGTATGTGATGGTGGTATATTGCCACAAGGTTCGCAGGATAAGGGAGAACTGTTCTGACATTCTAGCTCTCCCTGTATCTAGATCTGTATCTCTGTCCAAATCTGTATCTGCTTTGGAGGAGCATACTGCTAGTTCCTCAATGTAGACGGTTGATCAATAACACCACCCGTACGGAGAGGCTTTACAATCCCAATGGAGGGAATTTATTTTCAGTAACAGTCTGCATGAGCTCTGCATCTGCGTCCTTTCGAACCACCTGCGTCCGGTCATTTGGCTCACCTCCACACGTCCATTGCCATTCGTGGGCGGCAAGTCTCTCCACTCGTCCTGGCATCGGACGTTTAGCTAAACAAACACCAAGATTTGTGGCAGAACAGTCCCCCCATTCTCCTGTCTTGGACTCAGAATGAGCGGTTTCTGTTTGGCAAAGACCCGTTCTTTTTGGGAGGAGCCATACTTGCCTCCGCCAACAAAACTGTGAATTTGCCACGCGACGCACCAGACCTTAAGCAAAAGAACATCAACAAAACCGGCTGATTCACCTGAATTCTTTCTTGAATCCGCAAACTGAGTGCTTGCTCTAGCCGCTAGCCATCTGGAAAAAACGTCCCACCACCCGTGTTTGGCCCGAACACCCACCAAAAATCCCCAGGCTGGACAACATTTCACAACCGAATATGTTGCATGTTGAGATGCTTGTTGCAAGAGATGGTGCTTAACCATCAAAGATTGTTGAGATCTTTCAACCGATCTTTCTCAACCACAAGCGATCTCTGAATAAACCATGCTTTCAACCTCAAGGCCTCAACATTCCGCTCCAATCCGTCCCACCCTCCCCAGACATGATGATGGTGAAGACCCAAAAAGCCGCGACGCACCACGTCCGCTCCATACCTCCCCATCGAACTTCACGCTGAGCACCACGTTTCGCTCACCACCACGGAAGGCTAAGGATCGAAAAATGAGGCGGCCCCGCTCCTGGAGAAGCGAGAGCGATCGCAGCGATGTCGCTGCAGATCGATCCGTGGCGTCGGAGTGTAGACTGGGTAAGAGTGCGTTCTGACTCCAATGCGTAGAGATGGATGGCATTAAATCACACAATTCTTGGGTGACCTGGAGGATCAAATTCATACACCAGCTGCTCTCAATACTTAGGTGATCTTAGGTGGGTCCATCTGCAACTTTCTTTTCTGGTATTCAGGGGTAGATTGCCGTTTGCCGGCAGTGATCTGCAATGTTTCTGGGTACAGAAGAGAGAACACCTAGGAAACAACCACCGCTGGGCCCTGTTGGGAAGCTGTTCCACATCGCCCTCCCATGCAGCTATCTGCACGTTCAACTCCACCCCGTCAAAAGGATTCCCTTGCGCGGTGGAAGATTAACATGGAATCTGCAAACTGGTTTGTAGAAGCAAATTGTCTTCCAAAGGTCAATTTTCAGGTTCCAATGATAATCTCCCGGGGGTAGATTCATTCATAGCAGCACTGGTTTTACATCTCCCACTTCTCCAAAGCCTCGCGCCATTTTCGGAGCCGCCATGTTCACACTCGATGTTCATGGGTCACTGGTCTTCGTGCTTCAAAAGGCGAGCAGAAATTGCTCCCTGCTCGGCATGTTCCATTTCGTGGCTCTTCTGGAGACTCTCGACCGCCCAGGGATAGCCAGTTGGGAGGGTTCAGGGTGAACTTTGCACCCCTTCGTAAGCAGCTTCCTGCAGCTTCTGCTTTCTTCGGTTTTTTTCCAACCCCCTCAAGTCAATTCTTGGGTGAAACGGACTTCCCAGGATCAATCTTCTCGGACGCCCTCCTCGGACTCCGACACCAAGGATCGCAAGAGCTCGTGCTCCTCTGCCTTGGCGACGGTGATCTCCAGCGGAGGAGCGTCTTCCCGCAACTCGCGGTGAACCTCAATCTGACAAGAAGATCCAACAGTGTGTCTTTGTGTATATATATATATAAATTTATATAATATGTTTGCTTGTTGTTTCTTTTGCAAGGTGTTTCTCCAAAGGTTGAGTACACGGAGAGATATCTGACTGTATCCTATGAAAACATGGACTATTGGTTCGATTTCTTTGGCATTGTGAACTGTGGATCTTGTCTTCATTGCCTCGTAAAGCATGAGGTCTGGCATCGCGCGGCGTTCCTCCTGACCCCCGTGGATCCCAAACATGCCGTCCGCTGAGCAATTCGCAAAGCCGGCTGAACTAGGACATCTCGGGGGCATGGCAGGGACTTTAGCTCATTCCCCATGGTCGCTTAGGCAGAATCCTTTGGCTGGTATCCGGCGTGTAAGACTCTGGGTTTCCAGGGCAAATATACATGCTATCCGCCGACCCCAGCCGATGGGGGAACATGACAAAGAATCACCATGGTCGAACATGACCGGGAACTTTGGACCTGCCCGAACAGACCAACGGGTCGCGCCGAGAATCGTTTCGTGAGGGCGTTGAAGTGTGAAACCAAGGTGTGTGAGTGCTCGGAAGGCCTTCAGATGTTTCGTCACGTGAACTTGGCTCTAAGTTCATCTTTAAATTCTAATAAGACATCTCAATTTGCCCATTGAATGCTTGAAATGGCGCCCATATGGCAGCAGTGTCCACGCCCTGGCATGTTTGTAGCTTTCTGCATACCTTTGAACAACACAATGTTACTTTTTGAGCTTTTGGCAGATGTTTCAATTTTTAAGGGGTACCCCCCCTTCCTTCAAGATGGCTTCAGATGGCCCACTGGTGCGAGTCAGCCCAAGTTGCCTTGCATTATTGGCATGTTCTGTTTCTTGTTCTGTTTCTGGTCACAGCAACAGCCACACCACAACACCAACAATGACAACAACGCCAAAACCACAACAACCACAGTATGCCCTCACAGCAGCAACCACCCCTGCACTGCCACAACCACAGCATCACACACTCGAGCTCCACAGCAACCACCACTTTGGGCGCTCACTGCCTCTACCACCTCGTCCTGGGCCCCCTGCTGGCGCGCTGTTAGGCGTAAGCCCCTTGACAAAACAGGTTGGCACGGGGTGACTTACGCTGTTTGGCTGACACACACTGGGAAGGGTTATTGTGAGGAGCGTTGAAATGGAGTCAAAACCGTTGACCTCCGAAGTCCACGACCGAAGTGGGGGTGTACGTGGGTCTTCCACCGTCCAGAGCAGCGGAAGACAGGTGGCAACAGCCTAAACAAAGAAACATTGGAGTCAATGAGGCACAACTTGATGAACACAAATTGAAAAGCAGGTACGTCAGTTCTGCGTCCAGGACTGATATCCTCACCATGTATTGCCAGCTTCGTTGGTGGAGAAGCAATACTGGTGTCTCCACCACCCTGCTATTGATCTGTCTGTGCATTAATTGAGCAAGCACAGAATTATCTCCTTGCAACTTGCGTGGGAGGTCCAAGTCCAAGCATCTCCTGTGGGGGACCCATCCGGGCATCCGTTTTTTGGGAGGTCCAAGGACTTGAGTATAGAGTCTCTAGAGTCATATAGAGCACTCCTCGGCAGGTTCGCGACCTTGACGTAACGACCGGACGCGACATCTTCGGTTCGGTCCTCCAGTTCGGCCTGCCATTGTCCCGAGTCGGAGCCGTGATGCTCCACCGTCACGAGTCGGAGAGAACGACGAAAGGTTTCCTTCCACTGGAGCATTCTGAAGTCCAAGTGCTCAGAGCGAAAGGGATTCCAAAGTTCCCTGCAAACATCTAGCCTCAGCTGCTGTGCGTCACTCCATTCTCACTACTATGACTATATACTATATAATATAGTAGTCTCATAGCTATATAGTAGATGCAAGCTTCAGAGTGATCATGAATGGTCTCTCATGTGGGTATTGGTCGAGCTTGGCTGACCGCTCCAATGAACAGACTGGACGCCGCCTAGACATTGTCAACCGATCTCCACCAGAGTGTCCACCCAAGTTGAGAAAGGGCGTGCGCCAGCCATGTGGCAACAAAACAACTCAGATCAAGTGCACCAATCTTGAAAAACAACTACTCAATCCCTGACAACAAACATTCATGGGTATGTTACGAACAACAGGGAATCTACGTATACAATTCTTGTTCATAGCCTTGGACCATTCATGACCTTAGACCATACACTGCTTAGGTCAGCCTGCTTTTTGTCCGTTCATCTCCCTCCTCCCTTTTTGCATCACTGCACCTTCGACTTTGGGCGCCGTCCAGTTGATTCTCTCCGTTCGGTGTTTGGCGCTGTGCGGTACGGTCGGAGCATGTTTGACGGTCGGTTTCCTTCAGTTCCCTTCAGTGTCTTCCGCAAGACCCATGGGTTTTCAGGGTCCGGACCGTTTTGCGCGTGAGTCGGACTCCAGCTATGGGTCCTACGTTTTCCCATCACCGCCATGACTCTCACACGACCAGGGCGGGAGTCCGCGACCCCCAAACAAAACCTGCCCGCGTTAGGCCAAGAAAAGTTGCATGCCCAAAAGAACCAACTCCATGATGATGAAGAGCACTGGAGCTAAACAGGACTCGCTGAGAGCCATGCCATAAGCCAAGCACAGCAAGGTGAGGAACACCATCACGTTCAAGAGATGCCTGAATTGAAAAGGCACCTGAGAGCCTTGCACCAGGTCCAGAAGTTCTTGTTGGCACTGCTTGAAGTGCATGATGCGGGTGAGCATCAACATCAAATCTTCTTCTTTCAGCTGCGATTTACACAGATCTGCCGTCATATGACACATCGTCAGCAGCCGTTGCGCAGGCGTTAAGGACCGCAGGAATTCCACCTCGCCCTTCCGAACCAAAGAACTGTCAATGTGTCGGCGCCAGTCTTCGTCCCTCAAAGTATGTTGGAACTCATCCAAACCTGAGCTTTTTTGGTGTTTTCGTGTCTTTTTTTTAAGCACCAAAAACTCGGATCCATTAGCAAATCTCGAAAACTACACCGATAACACATACCACATCACATGGACTTCAAAAGGGACACTTAAGCCCACGTCACATGCCTTTTAACTTCGTTGTGCGGACGATTCACTTCAGAAAAACAAAAAACAACGAGAAGGATTCCACAGAAAATGGTAGCTGGTAGTTCGACCAATGCTGCGAGAAATGTCGCAAAGTCTGTTGCACTCCTATGCTTCTTGGCTTGAAGCTAGCAGTCTATTTTGGGGTCATCCATCCAAAACTCCACCCAAAGCCATGCCAAAACCGCAGTCTCCGTGACACAGCACCGCGCAGCCCGCCAGCCAACGACTGCCCAGTTGTTGCGCTTCGGGCGCCAGTGCTTTGGGTGGCCCGAGGAGCCGGGCTTGGAAGGCAAAGTCGTGGACTGCAGCCAGGAGGCGGTGGAGACCCAAGCAAAGCTGTTGATATCGTTGAACGCCTTGGTGACCAAGCAACTTCGTCTTGTTCAGGAAGGGTTAGAAGTCGTGTGTCTGAGGGTTGACCAGAAGGGAGGTTTAGCATACCAGGGATTAGGGCTTTGGGTTTTGACCCCCAGCCGGTTTGCTGGAAATTCTTGAGGGCCCGTGGCGCCGCGAAGTGTCAGAGGTATTGACTCAGTGACTGATGCCACCAGCGGCTTTGGAAGATGCCACCAGCGGCCTTGGAGTGACGTGAAACACCCTGAGTGTCACAGGACCCGCCCAGGCCGCCCAGTGGCGAATTGTGTCAGTCCGGTCAAAGACCGCGATCCCAAGCAGTGCGTTTCTTCCCTTTTTTCTCTGAAACCAAGTGGTGATGCCAGTGGTGCTTCAACGGAGGACAACACACAAACACATCCACCCGCGCCACGCAGTCTAGTTTTTATTTCTGTACCAAAAGGCATTGGTTCACGTAGAAGGCCACGAAGAAGCTGCAGCTCACGGTGAGGATCTTCAAGTCAATCCAATCGACTGACACCGCAGAGGCCACATAGTGGTCCAGCTCAAACCTGGGATGAAATGGTACCGAGAGAAACATGGATGAATCAAGGGTCCCAGTGGTTGTAAACGGAACAGTAATGCAGTTGTACAGTATGTAATTTTAAAGAAATGCATACCATTTTCAAACAATCTTCCTTTTTAATGGGAATTCGGGGATTCCCTTTCCAAACAAATCAGAACGTGTCTAAAACACAGGCAGGACACCAGCCTGACTGATAGCCGCCCCAGGTCATCAAATGAATTCCAAGCCTTAGTCAGCTCGTGAAGGGTGGTGGATCAAATTTCTATCATCAAAGTCGCTGGAATGGAATTTTATTGGAATTCTATATAGACGAAACATTTTAGAAGAGGTTTTACAATCTATTTTTCCATTGTCGATCTATCTCTCTATCCATCTGAATCTATCTATCGGTCTGAATCTATCTCTCCGTCTGAACCTATATATCTCTCTGTCTGAATCTATCTATCTACCATCTATCTATCTATCTGTCTGTCTGTCTGTCTGTCCGTCCGTCTGTCTGTATCATCCATCTGTCTGTCTCATCCATCCATCCATCCATCCATCCATGTCACGTCTACACCAGGACCTTCAAAGTGGCTGGCTCTTTCAGATCCCAGAGATGGTCACTTTCCAGGTCCTGCTAGAGGTCACCAAACAAAGACTCCAGAATTTGAGGTCACGAACTCTCAAGGTCTTGATAAAGGGACATTGTCAATAGCAGCATCTTGGACTCTCGGATCTTTGGCTTGGCAGTGTCGAACATCGGCTTCCAGTGGGGGGGGAACCGGAACGAAGCGGGGCTGGTCAGTCCATCCCATCCCTCACTTGCCTTAAAAGACAAACGTTTCTCTGGCTTCGGGGATTCACTCAGTTCCGAAAAAAAAAGATAACAGAATCGGATCCGCAAAAGCAGGCTCATTTTGAAGAGAGCCCATGGGCAACCTCGGCCCGGCCCTAGCAAGGCAAAAAGAAGAAGAGTGCCATTGCCAAGTGGGAAGCATCAACCAGAACTCCGTGTGGCAAAGCACTTGCGGCATGATCCAACAAGAGAGCTGGATCACAGGCGCCCTTCGTTTGTCAGTGTTGAGCTCTGACATGGCAGCTGAGCAGCACAGGAACAATGGGGCTAACAGGGGCCAGGGGCAAACGCCTTGAGAAACGGTCAAAATATATCGAAACAAACTCTTCATCTCCAGAAAGAACAATTATGACACTTTGTGAATTTGTGACTATGAGTTTGTTGAGTTCCCCAACTTCATCGAAACGACATTAAACATATTAGAACACATGCGATTTTGACTGGATGCTGAGAGTGAGTACTGTCGATTATATACAGCATCTGTTTTAATAATATATATAGTTGTCCTACTTTTGCGTGCTGTAGCTGCATCCAATAGGACTTCGATTAAGAACATGAAGCAAAAGCCGACCTTTTCCAGAAAGAACCATGCGTCTATCACCATTTCAAAACATTCTTGTGCTGCATGATGGTCAATCACAGGGTCCTTTCAGCAGATGTTTCACCTTCTCCATATTTTTGCAATAGTTTTGCATTTCCTCAGATGCAACCAATTTATGATTTTCTGACTTTTCCACGGATCAAAAAAGCAAGTCATAGCTCCGTCTTGAAGCCACACTTGAGCCAGCGGTCTTCCCCCGGCAACGGAACCGGATTTTTTGCGACACCGGGCCGGGGTCTTTCGGACCTCAGAAATCGCTGGGCGCAAACAGAAGCAAAAAAAAACCTTCCAATTTTGGTCGGTTGGAGCAGGTTTACCGACTGGCCCGACTGGACTGGTCGGTTTTAGTCAAAGGCGGACTCGGAGTTCGTCGAGAATGTTCAGGTCGTCAGCTCCTGTCCTGTCCTTTGAATCATCTGACCCTGCGAATTGAGTGGTTTGTGGTGCCAGACGTACTTGCTCATTCTGAAAACCACCCTGAAAACGACGAGGCTCACGAGAAGAACACAGAGACAGGTCATGTACAGTATCAGTATGATCAACGTATATAAACTCAGCCCGTCTCCTTCTCATCACACACTATAACCATGCAAACTGACTCGTCCTGACCTTTGGATTTCTTCTCTCTTGGCACCCGTCAGGGAGGCGCGCCTCGTATCTTCTCACACCCTCCTTGCTGATGTTCTTGATGCCATGGATCATCTCCATCTGCACCGTGCAGAGATGGACAGACTTTTTAACAAACCAAACATCCAGGCAGGCGGGGGGCTTTACACCGCGAGCAAACCATCCAAACAGGGCCCCCTACCTGCGGTGGCACGGTAGGCACCTGTAACGAACCAAGGCACCTGTCAGGAGTCCTGTTTCTGAACCAAGGACTGGGTCTAATGAGTACACTCCCGAAAACTAATATAGACCCTGACGTCCTGGCCCCCTGGAAGATAGTTTTCCTCTACCAACCAGTGGTTTTCAGGGTGCATGTTAGTCTTCCAGGGTGCACTGTTTTTGCACAACAGGACAACCGACCGCTGGTTGTCAGCTGATCCGCTTGGACAACCGACAACCGACCAAGGGGGAGGTTTGCAACACCACAGCACTGTGCTGTGAATCTACAAAGACCCACTTGGAACTCCAAAAACATGATCCTGTGATTGTCAGTTTCTTCTCGAAGTTGAGTTTGCAAGATATGATGTTAACAAACACATTTAAACACGTACCTGAAAAAACAAGATCAAGATCGAAACATTGAAGCACGGGCGGCACAAACGCTGTGCAAATCCAGGGCGGGCTTATCAGGCTTATCAAGCTAGGGGTGGGACAAATCAAAAACACTAGTGGGCCCCCTTGAATTGAAGAACTTCGAGCCAAACCCTCCTCGAGGCCACAATGAAGTGATCAACAAGTCCTCCGCTGTTCTTGTATGTTTCATCCCAGTTCGTTTCTTGATCCAAAACCTTCTTGGCCCACCAATTCCGTTGCACCACCATCCTCACACCTTTTCCAAGAACTCTCCCTGCCGCCCCTCCGCGGCGCCATCCACGTCCCCCTCATCCAAGCTCGCCACTTCTCAAGGGTCGATTTCCCATCAGCTAGGTCGTCCAAAGCTCCGGGTCCACACTGTACAAGCCCCCCCCTCCCTGGGTGACCCTCTTCCCGGAGTCTGGAGTCCGGATCGAAAGGACCCCCCCGCTCCGCTCCGCGCCATGATCTTCCGTGCGAGCGCCATGCGGATCCGGTGCCGCCGGTCGTTACGGCGATAGATCCTGGCGTTGGACGCGGGCCCGGGGGGGCGGGGGGGCCGAGCACTGGGCCCAGCTGTCCAGGTGGTCAGGTCTGATGGTTTGGGATGGACATGCTGCCAAGATGCTGCAAGTCCCGAACATCTTTCACACTTATTCTTGGCTGAGTTTGAGAACCTGCAAAGACGGCATTGGACAATCTTTTTTTAATGCAGTTGGTGACTAGTCGGTGAACGAAAGGACCCATCCTCCGGTCTTCCGGAAGGACCAAAGCTTTCACTCGTTCACCACATTTCCGACAGTACTTGCCTACTTGCAGTAGTTACTTGAGCCACGGCCAGTTCACCTGGAAGAAAAACAAGTACTGGATGGCTGTAATCCCCACTCAACCATGCACAGCTTGGGGCTGACGCCAAGCCAATCATGATCTGCAGATCTCAAGCGTTCACTTCTGACAGGCCACATCCCCCGCCATCAAAGAAGCTAGGCGCACCAAGCGCGGATTGGCACCACCTGGGGCCGGTGGTCACTTCTTGCGTGCCAAACAAGCGGGATGAATGCCACACGGTCTAGTGACTACCCTTTTTGATATTGGTCAACCCTGAAAAACACCCCCCCCAAAAAAAGAGAAAACAAGTACAGCAGTTCGGGTGAGTTTTAGACAGACTCTGATATACCCTAATTAAGTGATTGGATACTGGTGCACCCCTAGGTTCAATAGCAACAATGCAAGCTGAACACAAAATTGAGCCTGCTTCTTTCTACCTGATTCTACCTCTTCTTTACTTGCCTTCTCCAACTCGCAACTCACACGGGCCTTCTTTTCTTATTTCATCTTCTTTCAGATGTCTTTCCTTTCTTGTCTTCCTTGTCTTCCTCCTCTTTTCTCTGATCACGCTCCTCGTTCTGCTCCTTTGCCTGTGGCCCCTCAGCTCTGCTTCAGTAGTCCTTCCTACATTCATCGCAAGCAAAACACGGGCACCCAAAAAGGCTCGTGCGACTGGGACCCTGGCCCAGCCATTCGCGCCCGTCCGCGCGGCGGTGTCGTGCACCGCCAGCCCGTACCTGGTCGAGTCTTCGGTCTGGGGACAGCCTGCCCTTTTCGCCACACGGCGCGAACCGAAGAGCACGGCGGCTCTGAATGGAACACGGCACCTCCACTGCTCAAAAAGGATTGGAGGATCACATCATGACTGGGATTCTCTTCCTCACTGTTTTGATTGTGCTTGTTTACTTCAATAAGCAAAGAATAAAATGGTCACAGCGTTCTTTGGGGGGTTACTCGTTGAAGCGCCACCTTTCACTCCGACGTCCATTTTGGAAGGCGGCTTCCAAAGACAGAAGTGAGCTGCTCGGGCCTTTAGCTTCTAAGCTAAGCAATGGGATTGACTGCGAATGATGCTTCAAGATTCACTCTTAGTGGCAAATATAGGGTGGATCCTGGGGTCCTGAAGTCCAAATACAAACCATCGTGGGTGATCCTATGACTGGTCCTAGTGACTGATCCTTTTTCCAAGTTCGGAACTCATGGTGTATCTGCTTCTCATCCGTTGGCGGCTGAATTCTCGTTGTCCGAATACGTCTTGGTTGTTTGGTGTCTCACATGTCGTTCCAACATCACATGTGCCGTTTATCACATCTACTGACAATCTGGCAGTGGCATCGTTTGATGGTCGACCGCCAAATCGATCGACCGGGTGGATGGGCGGGTGGACCGACCACCGGTCCGGCACCTCGATTCCGGCTGCTTGACCTGGCGATCGACGGAGTTGTCAGAAGCAGCGGGAGATCCCCGCTCCGTGAAAACAGCCCGACTGGGTCCCTCAAAGTTGGATTTGAGACTCCAGACTCGGTCCAGCGTCTGGGAACAAAACAAGCAGTTTGGAAGGCTCAGAGGCCGCTCAGGCCCAGAACATCACTAAGGACTTGTTATGTTCCATCTATACTCAGTTTCCCTAAACAAAGCGGTCAACATGTAGCTTCACCAAACTTGAGTGGGTCCTGCCCAATAAGCCCCCCCAAAGAGGTGTACAAAACCGGGGTAGGTCAATGACTGGAGTCCTTCCTGGCTCGGGTTGCTCGCTAGATCCCGCAGTGCCTCAGGTCGGCTGGGAAAGGCCTCCAAGGCATTGGCCACCTGAGCGACGACTGGGCAGGTCGCAGAACCCCATTGTTTTCTCCATTATTTTTCCATGATCTTCCCGGACATGCTCCAGCTTCTTTCCAACCCAGGCAAAGACTTGCTGCAGCTAGAGCGTGGCCCAAAGGCTACATGAATCCAGCTTTCAAACATCAAAATTAATCGAAGTCCTTGGATCGTCTTGGATTTACCTAGGGTGCAATGCTTGTTTAAACTTTTATGGAAGATTTACCAAGTGGGTCAACCAAAATCAGTCGGATCTGCTGCGGTCTACTCGCTGATCATTTTCACCAGCTTCCAGAAAACTCTTGTGGTGAGAATGTCTTGCCCTCTTGGCTTGTCTAGTTTCTTGGCTTCGATGTCGAGTCGCTTCCGACTGGGAAAAGAGGAACTCCAAAGGTTTGAAAGACCGCACCGTTCTGGAAGACATCAGCCGAAAGTGGCAACACACATGCAAAAAACCTGCGGATCCAACAGCCGTTGTTTTCGTTTCTGGGGTCCACAGACCCAACAAACACCCGTTTTCTTCTCTATACAAATATGGCTATGAGGAACTCAACCTCACCAAACCATGGTAGGTTGACCTCCATGGCTGTGAGGAATCTCTTCATTTGACCCGGGGGTCGCCCAGCTTTTGACCCACTGCCATATGATTTCTTTCTTGTCCTCATTGGCCATGGCCTAATTAAGACTTGGGCCATCCATGAGGGATCAAGATGAAGATGGATCAGGAAAAGGATTAATCAACATGAGGATGGACCAACCAACAAACACACCGGACCAGTGGGAGTTGAACCAAATTCGTATCGAACAGAATCCTTGAATGTATTTCTGCTTCATTAAGGTGAGCTGACCACCTTTCTTGACAGCTCAATCAAGGTGAGCTAACTACCTTTCTTGACAGGAACCAATGACCACACAAAAAAACAGCATGGAAGAACAACATTTGTTTTTGTTCCTCTGATTCGCCACAAACCCTTGCCAGAAAACCATAAATGTATATTGCGTCCAAAGGACAGTTCATGATTCATGGGCACATCTCTCCAATTATATAGCACCCTTTACAGTCTCCTAAGAGGAAAATGGTTTTCCAAGGAGCAATTATCAACTTCCATGTTGGCTCCAGGGAGTGTAAATCAGGAACATGAATACTCCGCCGCTGAGTCCAGGAAACTGCCACAAAACGCCCAGCCTTGTCCTCCACTTCTGCGCTGCTCCTGCGATCGAATGGAACAATCCCAAATTCATTTCATTTTGCTTAGACAGCAGGGGCCGGACAAAAGGGGCCAACAACGCAAATTACCCCCTTGTCCTTCTCTCTCTCTCTATACGTATACATACACCAGCTGCTTCCAAGGGCTGCTTCCAAGGAGTCACCAATGGATATCCCCACAGTACTCTCACACGACGTAAAGGTCTCCATTGGACCAACCTTGGAAGCGCTAGGTTCCCAGCAACCCTTCAACCTTCAGACTTTCACCATTTTCACCACTGTTGGTTGATGGCCAGGGAGACTGCCGAGACTGCCCGACCACTCTGATTGTCAGCGATCGACATCTCGGGCAGATCTGGCACCTGTGGACGTGGTGGAGGTGTTCAATAGTCGTCATATATTGGAAAGGCCGTTCTTGTATATGATAAGGTGTTTGATAGATTTTGGTCATACGAATTAGGCAAGGCGGGGCGATGATTCAACAACCCCCCCCCAACACACACACACACACCAGTATGTATGTGTCAGCAAAACGAAGGTGTTGAAGAATTTGTTGGGCAGCAATAGCAGAAACTGAACCGAAGACCCGAAAACCGCAAACCCCATCCCTTCCAAAACCCTTAACCCCACGGCCCGAAAGAGGCCGTAGCAAGCGTCCTGCGGACGAGGCCCAAGGCGTCGACGAAGTCGGAGGGCTTGATGCTCAGCGAACTGGCCTGCTTGGCTCTGAGCAGCCCGGGGTCTGCGACCAATTTAGGACGAGGCGTTGGGGTTAGATCGGGGCTTGAAATGTCCAATTGGATCCATCTACTGTATATATGTCCACTTAAAGGTTCAAGGCGTTTAGTATTTGGATGTGCTGCTTAGTGGCCTGTCTTGAGATATAACTTCTGTAAGTGAAGATATAAATGACTTCTTTTTATGACAACTACTTATCATCACTTACTAACTATGACACATCAGTTGCTTTGTGTTGTAACTATGTAAGCTAGTTGCTATCTAATTTGATCTAATTTGTAACTACTTATGCTAAGTGTGAGCAAAGTACTTACCACACATACAAGCCCGCCCCCAAGTCAAGGACAAGGTCAGGAACACAGATGCGGCGAGCAGCTGCTGGCGTCGCCCTACTTCAGGGTACGCCTCCCCCGTCGAGAGCCGTCGAGAGTTTGTGGTTGAACGGGACAACTCATGCAAACAGCAGACATGTCATGTGGAGTTTCATTCGCTTGCAGTTGCTTTTACCGGTGAAGTCTGCAGTGTTTTTCGAATGGGCTATTCAGAATGTTTCTTGCTTTGACATTGCTTTCATGAGGTTTCCTGTTGTCATGTGACGCGACATGGCCAGACGTGACATGGTTTCCTGTTTTCACGTGGCATGACATGGCATGACATGGCGCGACATGACATGGTTTCCTTTTTGCATGTGACATGACATGGCATGACATGGTTTCCTGTTTTCATGTGACACGACATGGCGTGACATGACATGACACGGCCATGACATGACACGGCGTGACATGACATGTCATGTGGAGGACTCCGACATGTCCTGCGTGACGGAAAAGCACAAACATTTCTGCAGTCAGATGTGTGTTCAAAGAACTTGAAGTATCTTTCATACCGAGGAACCATGAAGGTGACATGACAAACATGTTCACATGAAGGTGACAATCTCAGAACATGAATTTCATGTGACAAACTCTCTGACTTTACACATGCATGAGGCATGAGTCTCAGAACAAGCATGAGCGTCATGAAAGGTCCCAATCTCACAAACATGTTCACGCACTTCACAAACTTGATCACACTTGACCACTCCTCTCACAAACGTGTTCACACACGTTCGCAAATCTCACAAACATGTTCACATCTGACCACTCCTTCACTCCGCCCATGGCACTTCCCCGTCACGTGTTGGATGGAATGCAAGAGCTCCTGCGCAAGGAGCCTGAGAAGTTGGTGAAGACCGTGCAGTCCTGCCTGGACTTTTTGACGGAGCACGGCGTGGTCACGAAAATGAAGCTGCCACCACTGGCAGTTGGAGTCCACAAATCAGCCGTGATGGTTGTGGAGTGAAATTAGGAGACGTTCACGAGCTCATCGATAACATCAGTGCTTGGATGGGTGGATGCCAAAGTGGCTGGCATAACAGTTGAGATTGAGGATTCGCACAAACCCTTCAACCACCAGATCTGCTCGGAAGCTGGTGGTGGTTTGGGGGCGGTGCAGCCCAACCAGCTGAAGGCGGTTACCCTATGTTGGCAGTCACACCAATTATGCTCTCCGCTTGATCGTGCAGGAAGTCCCACATCAACAAGGCCCCATCACCCAGGATGGCAAATTGAGCTTAAGCTTGCTCCAGAAACACGACCAATCCTTGCACAAGGCCGCTACCCATGGGATTACCTTCCAGGTCTTGAACAAGGAGGTCGCCCATCGATGGCCAGAGTTCCTGCCGATGATTCAACAATACGGGAATGCAAGTTGCGAAAACAAGAACACGAACTGCAGATGCAGTGCCGGCTTCGTGCTTTGTAATTGGCGGCTGAGGCAAAAGGGGGCTCGTTCGCTGACATCAAACGGAAGGCTTTGCACATTCGACCGCCTTGTGCCGCTGCAGTACCAGCTTTGTACAGCTTTGTTCTCAGAGCCCTTGGTGGCAGTACAGGTGAGCTCCTCAAGCAGACAGAGCGCTTCGTGAGACAGCGATGTTCTTCGGCGAGGTCGTTGGGGGTAGATCTTTGGAGGCCTTGGCTGCAGAGCCTAACGGTTTTGCTTCTGCTGGCTCTTTGACCTTGTTCACGCATGCAATGGTGAAACTGGCCTACTCGTCGAAGAAGGTGGGCAAGGCCGAATGCAAGAAGATGTTCAGTCAGGACATCAAGGGTGATGTGGTCACTGCAGGTGCTTTGCAGCCAACACGTTCAATTGTATACTTCACACGCCTCACATGTGCATACATCAGCTCACATGTGCATGATATGAGGGGATGAATGACATGACAGTATACATGGCATTCCAGCAAACATTGGAATCATTGGAAGTCGTCCTTTTGATTCCACTTGATGTACTTTAGTTGGTGCCGTGGAAAGCCATGAGCCTAAGCCAATTTGGTAGGCGCTCATTTGTCTCACTCACAGGCCTCGAGAGCATTCTCAAAGACATCGAAAGTCATGGGCTGCCAAAGGCTCATTCACGGACAGCTCGCGAGAAGCAAATCGAAGAGTACTAGACTTCCTACGGCCCTGTCCTTCAAGCTCTTGAGGTGCCTCTCAGTGACGGCAGTGGAAACACAACTGCAATGATCACCCTCCTCACCCAGACCGCAAATGGCAGTTCGCTGTATACACGGACGAGGTCACAGCAGGTAACGCTTTGAAGCACAAAAACAGGCTCCAGGTGCGCTACTTCAGTGTGACTTGATTCCAAATTTCCAGCGCTCACTTCCCGGCCCAAGGTGCAAATGTGTTTTGACATGCATAACTTCAGTCATTCTTGCCAGGTGCTTGAGCTGGGTTCCTGGGCCCTTTCGAGAGGCATTCTGGTTTTGCCTCTGTGCGGTGAAGTCGAGCACTGTTCAGAAGATTGGAGGTATGAGCATGCTCATGCCTCATCTTCTTGACTTGTTTCGCAGGCCTTTTGACACCTCTTGTGGCATCTACTTGCAGCATGAAGATAGGCGGGTCATGTTCTTTGGACAAGTGGCGCTGCACATTGGAGACGAAGTGGCATGCAAGTGTGTCCTGGGTGTTCAGGGAGCAGCCGGGACAGTTTTGCGCTTGCTGCCAGAATGGTGTTGACTTCAAGAGTGCTTTGCGTGATCACGATGACCGGCTCATACCGTCAACATGCCTGGAGTTCTTGAGGTTCCGTCAGCACACAATTGAAAGCGTCAGGGACGCGCATCAACTGTTGTGTGAACGTCATGAGGTTGAGACTGCTGCAGGCTTCAAGCTGTTAGAGCAGAGCCTAGGTTTCAACTGGCATGAACGAAGCCTGTTGAGCATCCCTCGCCACCAGAACCTGCGGAGGTTCGACTGGTTTCAAATCTATTTTGTGCATGGGGTTGCTTCCATTCATGCTGCTCTCACAATAGCAGAGCTCCACAAGGGAGGTCACCAGGCTCAAGACATAGCATCGTTCGTTCAGGCCTTTGTGATGCCGCGTCGACTTCAGGGAGCCAGGCCTAAGGCTTGCCTGGAGAAGCGGTCCAACAAGACAGATCTTTGAAAGGAACCGCTTCAGGGACGATCAACTTCCTGTTGATCCTTCGGTGCTATATTCGACCTTTTGTTCTTGATAACTGCAGCCCTGCACTCAGAAGTTGTTGCAAGTCCTTCCTGCACCTGTGTAACATCACGGACACGCTTCTTCAGAGTTGGAAAACCAGAGTAACACGTTCATTCACAAACAAGGCCGTTTGTTTTTCAGAGTTCACGCCATGCCACATCACATCATGTCACTTTTATTGGGGTGTTTAAACTATTAAACGTGTATTGAGCCATGTCGTACAGCATGTTGCTTCATGGACATGTCATGGGAGGGTCATGTCACGTCATGTGGCAATGACATGTCTTTGTTTTTCTTCATGTCATGGGAAATACGACTGTTGTCAGGTGTTCAATGCCAATGTATCACGTTGTTTTATGCGAGGGTTCAACAAGTTTGAGTTTATATGTTCTGTGCACTGTTCACAATCTTTCATGTGATGTTGATGTCACGAGTTTATCCAGGGAATCGAAAGGGTCTTTGCGTTTTGATTATAGCCGTCATTTTAAACCAGCACACCGCACACCTGTTGAGACAGGGTGGTCACCAAATTTCTACCTGTTCCACAGCTGCTTGCATTTGCCATCCATGTGGAGAAAACATCAAGTGCTCCTGGCATGCTTCTGCCAGGAGAGGAAGCACCGCATGGTGAAGCGCATAGTGACCCAAGTGAACAACCCTGCCCGGCAACTTGAAAAGAGTGTCATGCAGGACACTACTCTGAGACAATTCGAGATGGAGGATGACGAGGTTTCGATTCCATGCGACTGGCCATGTTTGTTGGAGGCGCAGCCGGCTTCATCAAAGATCTCTGACATGATTTCGACGGCCCTTCAATTTCCTGCCGCTGTTAGTGCCAAGTCTCCACGAAGGGCATCACCGGCGGCAGCTCTGAGGTGGCATGGGGCGATGTAGTTGTCTTTGTTGAGGCCACGGTCGACCGCAAACATGTTGGCAGAGTCAGGTGGCTCTGTCAAGTTGAGGACACATGCATGGCATGCCTCGACGTGTGGGAACATGTGGCGAAGTCTCTGTATAGAGTGGTCGACAACTGCCAGCTTGTGCCTCTTGCATGTGTCACAGACACGTGCATGCACAGCATGAAGGAAGGGGGAGCGCTGGTGATCTGCAGGGTGAAAATAAGGCTTCTGCATCAAGCTGTTGACATGTTCACGGGGTTCACATGACCTGCTGTCAACATGTTCATGGGGTTCACATGACATGCAGTCAACACGTTCATGAGACCCACATGACGTGCAGTCAACGTGTTCATGGGATCATATGACATGCACTGGCCCCCTTGCAGGTGACGCCAGCGGCTGCCGTGCCCAGGAGGGAAGAGCGGCTCACACAGGGTTGGAACCCTTTTAGGGAAACACTTAGGAAACTTACTAACTGCTCTAAATGCACATAGCTAAGTGTGCTAAGTGTTTTCGTACGTGTTGTATATGGTTAGTATGTATACTAAGTGTTTACTAACCACGGTGGACCTCTAAGCAATATATGTCCATGTATACGTCGGGCATGGGCGCATAGTGAACCACCACAACCACAACCAAATGCCAATTAAAGGTACGATCAAAGAAATAAAAATCTTAGTGCGAAGCTGGCGGATCCGGTGGCACCCGCGGTGCCGAGAAAAACGGCGGTGAGCATGTGAAACCCATGAGTTGGGAGAAGCCTCAGTGTGATGAATTTGCACAGGACTCTCCGAACATCTCCACAAAAAGGTCTTTGACTGGCGGATCCGGAGCCCTTCATACTTAGGTGCCATCTTAACACCACACAAATTGAACGCATATAACATCGTGCAGCGATTCACCGGGAAGGTTTGTCAGCCAGAGTTGGTTCTATCAACAGGGATCCTGAACCAACATGAACCAACAAAAAGTCACCCACTAAAGCATGCCACACTGAAGGTTCTACAGTGAGGGATCGGAATTCAAAACAAAAAGCACCAGCACCACTCAGCTCAAATTGTTAAAATCATGCTATAGTAGCTGCTAGTGGGGGTCTAGAAACCACCGATCTGGGCACTCAAATCGAAAGGCAACACTACTCCTCCACATGCTCAGGGGAGATCTTAAGGTCCACACCCGAGAATTCCCGCCTGGACCAAGAGTTGCTTCACCGACTCCGACTGGTTCCATACCACCTGCCGTCGCGGACGCCGTCGCGGACGCGAGGAACTCGTCGCCCAACCCGCGGACCGTTGGACGCGAGCGGTGCGCCAGCAGATGGACGATCGCCAGCAGATGGACGGTGCATGGGCACTGCGATCGCGAGATCTTGCGAATCTCCGTGGGCACTTGGATGTAGTCTTCAAGTGGAGCCGTCCGCTCACCATGAGGACTGATATGGTCTGATGTCTAGATCTGATCTAAGAACTGATTGGATTTGGATATCTCATCTCCAGTGCTCTGGATGTCTTATTCCAAGTCCCTTGGACTCCAAGTCGGGTGTCCCCATGTGATGGCATCGAGCACATTTGGTCCAGGGATCTGTCAGCTGGGGAAGTCTGCAGGGGATCTGTTTGAGAATCTGTACAAACAGAACATCACTGCGAATCACATCACTGCGGGGCAGAGTAGATCAGATTTGTATTTGTCAAATCAAAACCTCTATGAAAATATCAAGTATCTGTAGGGCAAAATAGAGTAGACCACATTGGAATGAAACTGTGGCAGTTGAAATGGACCACCAACCTCCAAACTTTGTTTGCAGTCAGGTGCACAAAACGAGAAGTGTACTTGAAACCACTCAGGTGAAACTCGCCATTCGATAAACATCGTTTGGCTCAAGGTTGCGCGGAGAAAAGGATCCGTGCAGCACCACACGACACACCCAACCTTCCCTAGGTTATGAGCCCAACCTGCTGACGGGTTGTGGCCGGTAGAAGTCCACCCTGTTTTTTCAGGTTGTTGGTCCCCATGGAGCAGCATCGAAGACGCAAGCAACAGCGCTCTAGGGAGCGAAAAGAAGAAGCTGCTGCAAAGGAGGCTGTTGTGAAGGAGGCTGCCGCTGCTACACCTCGGCTGGAGGTGGGAGTCGCTGACCGAAAGCTCGACGCCTTGATCGAAGAGGAGCTTCGCTCGAGGGCCAAGTCGGTGCCGGCATCGTCGTCCACGGCAGAAATGAAACGCTTGGGAGCTTCCGCTGCGGAGTTGTTGAGGGCACCGCAAGGACCACCTGTGACCTACCATCCTCAACCTGCACAAGAACAAGTACACCAATTGGTGAATGGATCCTAGGGGACAGTCGATGGGTTTGGGGCATCTCCAAGAAGCGGTGCGCCACTCGTTTGAAGTTCTGCAGAACGCACTACGAGGACCTCAACAACAGGGTCCGACTCTACTTGATCCACTCCTTCGCCAAGCTGATCAGGGAGTCCCTCATGTGCACGATCATGGAGGTCCTCCAGGGCATGCGTTGGCGGCTGGAACCCCGGTCAGGGATGTGAGATCCGATCGGGATGGATCTATGGTTTCTCCAATGGTGGGATCGGTGGGCCGCGAAGCTCTCCATCCAAGAACGCTGGATCCCTATGCGGCGGCAACTCCGGTGGGGCCTCTCAGCACTGTGAATCCTTTTTGGAGCACTTCACTTCAACAGGCTGCAAAAGGTGAAGGGCATGTACGTATGGCTGAAAGCAGTGGAAAGAAACCTGCACCTTCCAGTCCCGGAGCTGGCGATGTGGAGAAGATCCGAGCTCAGATCTTGCGGGAGGCGGAGGATAAGTTCGCTCGTGAAGTCAAGAGGTTGACTGATGGTGGAGCACCTGGTGATGCTTCGTCCTATGCCTCGGCCGCGAGCGCTGGTATTGGTGATGGAGGCCGTGCTCTGCCTGAACCTCCGGGACTACCTCCTGGTGATCCTGTGGGTGCGGGAGTTCCGCCATGCACCAAACCTGACCTTCCTCCAGGACTTCATGCTGGACGACCTCAAGGTGACTCTACTCAGCCTCCGGTGATTCCGGAAACTGTGAGGAGCTTGGACCTTCCGAGCTTGCCTCATCCCTCAACTGAAGGAGCTGCACTTCAATATGGAGATTGGTTGACTATGACCTATCCGTTGATGGCAGACCTCTCGGCGACTTCTCAGTTGTGGTGGGATGGATGCTTGGCTGCAGCTGGTGAACTCTATGAGAAGTGGCTCACTGCTACTCCTTTGGAGCGCCTTCGCTTGCGCCCTGTGGAGAACATCGACCCTGTCCACCAACGTGTTGAACAGCGTGGTGTATCGCTCCTCCTGAGCATCTTGCCCGACCAGCTTCTAAGAGATGTGATCGCCAACAGGAAGGTCACAACGGTCAGCATCCTTTTTCGACTTCATGTCCTTTTCCAGCCTGGAGGAGGTGCCGAACGAACTACACTGTTGAAGTGTTTGACGGAAGTGAAAACATCCAACAACATCCAGGACCTCTTGGTGACTACAAGGACCTGGCGACGATGGCTCCAGCGAGCAGAAGAGCTTCGTTTGACCCTGCCTGACCCGTTGATTCTCATGCAGGTGTTGGGGCGCATCATGGACTCCCTGTCGAAATTGGGAGGAAGTCAAGTGGCCTACCGGGTGTCTTCGGTGAGGCAAGAATTGCTGGTGGATCTGAGGCCCGAACTTCAGTCCATCAAAGATCTCAGTGAATACTTGCAGGCGGAGATGGAGGACCTGTCGCTTATGGTGGTGGCCCCAAAAACATCGGCTACAACATCATCGACTCCGTCTAGCCAGACCGCTGCACCTGTTGTGAAAGCAATGCACTCAAGCCAAGGCCAAGATGAGAAGCCGAGGTCGCCGTGCAGATTTTGGGGCTCTCAGTCTGGGTGTCGGAGGGGGGACACGTGTGGCTATGCGCACTCCTGGGATGGACTGGATCGTCAGCAAAGATGTTTCTTCTGTTCAGGAGAAGGTCACATGATGAAAGATTGTCCTCACCGTCAACAGAGGGGCACCAAGGATTTCAAAAAGAATGCCAAGGTGAAAGGCGTTGGTGAGGAGGTGTCGAAGGACAGTCCTACCAAGGAAACACAATACAGAAATTCTGAGGCTTCGGGAACTACATCGTCTCCGAGTTCATCGCTCTTGTCATCGCCAACGGTGTCTGGAGGTGGATCGGGAAAGAACGGTGGTGGGTCGCCGGAGAAGGAGTTGGGGGGTGACCAAAAGTCAAAGGTTGACTCCGCTTCTGTCCTCCTTGATGAAGCAACAACTCTCCTCAAGACGCTCAGGACCCTGAAAGCGGTTCGCCTGAAACAGGTCTTTGTGGAGCCCGTGAACACAAGTCTTCAAGGTTTTGCACTCCTTGACGGAGGGGCAACACATGCCCTCCGAACTGCACATCCTGATGAAAGGAGCGAGATGACTCCCATCGAGGTTGAACTTGCTACAGGTACTACAGTTTTGTATCGCCATCCAAAGCACCGCACCCTTTTGTCCTTGGAGGAGGTGGAGCCGATCATCCCATTGGGGCTTCTGGTTGAACGGGGCTACAAGGTGGAGTGGCGAAAGACGGGTTGCAGTATCCGTCACCCAACACTCGGTGCGATCGACTGCTGGCTTCGATCTGGCTGCCCGATCATGCATCGTCAACCTGCTTTGGACATGCGCTCCCAGATTGAGCTCGAGGATCGGGGGGAGGTGGCACTTTCTGAGGAGGACCGGCAGTGGTGGCAGAAGCATTTTCCTGAACTACCACATCCTGTTCTTCAACACATGGCTGGACAAAGCCAAGATCCAACTACAACGCCCTGGAACCGGAGAATTCGGAGGGCACACCTCACTGGAAAGGGGGTCATTGTACACCTATTCAGTGGTCCTGATGTGAAGAAGTGGAATTGTGTTGGCGGAGGAGCATACTCTTGGCTGTGCATTGACACGGAGATCAACTCCTCGTTGAACCTGCGCAACCCGGCCGTTTGGGGCTATTTGTGGAAGCTGGCGTCTTTGGGACGCATCGTTGCAATTGTTGGAGGTCCTCCTTGCAGGACTGTGAGTCGCCTTCGAAACCGGTCACCACCAGGACCTCGTCGCCTTCGTGGTCGAGGAGAAGATCGCTGGTGCCTCAATGACCTCTCGGAGGAGGAACTTCGCCTGGTTCATGGCGATACAGCTTTGTGCATGAAGCACATGGGTCTATGGATCCGAGCTCAAGAATGCCGCAGAACATCGACGAATGTTGGCATGCTGTTGGAATCACCGCGAGATCCTGCTGAATATCTTGCTGGTGAAGAAGGTGGGCAAAGCGCTTCTTTCTGGTGCTTCCCGGAGCTGATGGCTTGGGTTGGAACTGCTGGCCTTCGCTTGGTCACTTTCGATCAAGGAAAGCTGGGTCACCAGAGGAAAAACCTACGACAGTTTTGACTAACCTTCCTGCCTTCCAAGAACTACATGGCCTCCAAGGCGATGGTTGTGATGACAGACCACTCCCGTCGAACCTCGGTGACCGCATTCGCACTTCGAAGACCTGGGCAGCATGGGCACCAGGCCTTGTGGGAGCGATTCAAGAAGCTTTGAGGAGGTTGCTGGGCGTTTTGGAGGAGGAAAAGGGGGCTGGAGGTGGTCACCATGTCTCCAAAATGGACCTTGCAGCTTGGCATCGACACATCAAACAGGGTCACATCCCCTTTCGTGCTGACTGCCGCATTTGTGGGGAAGCTATGGGCTGCGACAAACCACACAAGAGGCTTGGGGGGAGCGCCACGAAGTTCACTATGTCAGCCGACCTTTGTGGACCGTTTCCTGAAGGGAAAGATTTGGGCACAGGAGTCATTTGCAAGTACGCACTGGTCTCAACTGTGGCCGTCCCCATCATCTCTGAGCTTCCAGGTGAGGTTACTGAGCCATGCGACACCGCCAAGGATGTGGAGCACACGGAGGAGATTCCCTGCGAGCCAGAAGACCGTGACCTAGTCCCTGAAGATGAAGTCCGGAGGCTCAATGAAATGGCTGAGATTGAGAAGTCTCAAGAACCGCAAGGACATCAAAATGTCACTCTGGCTGAAGTGATTCCTGATCGCACGGTGGAGTCACTGGTCCGTGCTTTGTCCCGCTTGCACGCCAAGTACCGCATGCTGGGCATCCAGGTCTACAGATTGCACACAGATCGTGAACGATCATTTGCTTCAGCACCAATTCAGAAGTGGTGTGAACAGCGACAGATTCGCTTGACTATGACGGCTGGCGATGATTCCAAGGCCAATGGCCGTGTCGAAGGAGAAGTGAACCAACTCAAGCGCCGCACCAGGTTGTTCCTTCATGATGCTGGACTACCTCACTCCTTCTGGCCAGTTGCCCTTCGCCATGCTGCCGAACAACGTGTTCGACTACAACTTGAACGACTTGGGCTGGAAAGTCCTCCTATGCTTCGCTTCGGAGCATCAGTTTTGGTCAAATCCAAACGATGGCATCGTGCAGGTCAGCTCTCTACGCCATACCGAACTATGCAACTCCTTGGTCCCTTCCCATACATGTCGCATGGCTGGATTGTCCGGGACAAGAAGGGCCAATTGTTGCACGTGCGCACTGCACTTGAACCATCGCCGGTAGCCGATCAGGCGATCATGGAACTCCAAGAGGTGCCTGCCGTGAAGCATCGCATCGCTGGAAAACACCCACCTCCACTACCTGACCATCCCTTGGCTGGCCGCGTGGGAGCGCTCTATGAGGAGTCGGTTCCAGCTCTAGCAACTTGCAGAGCTGGGGGGGAGGACTCTTTGGATTCTTTGGACTGGTCTTCATCGTTGGATGTTGGCAAGTCGCTTTCTGTCAGGCTTGAGCCACAGGGGGAGTTGGAGGAGGTGAATGGTGGCCACAAACTACATGATAAAGTTGAACCTGGTGATGAACTTTTGCACCGTGACCTTCAGGGGGAGGTCGAAGATCCACTGCTGTGTGATTGGCAGCAGGTGGAAAAGTGGCATGAGCTTGAACAACAACGACACTGGGCGCTCAAACAGCTTTGGTGTCAAGGCCTTCGTGAAGTTGCAGTTGGTGAGAACTCCGGCAGTGTCCATGGCAGCTGGCTTCATGAAGTTGAACTACTCCTCAAGGGTGCTGAAGATCAACTGTCGTTTCAGCACTCTGCAATCGAGAACTTCAAGCTGTCGGCATTGGCTCCATCAATGGGAACCCCAGATGCTCCAGCAACAGTGCTTCAGACCTATACGGTCTCACTACAGCAAGTTCGCAGGGAATTGGAAAAATGGAAACCTCCTCTGCGTGATGAATATGGACAGCTGGTGTCCTCAACTCAGGCAATCAAGCCTACTACAGAGGAAAAGTTGCGCCTGGATCCAAGATTTCCCACTATGGAGCTGGCTCCAGCGATGCTTGTTCCTACAGTCAAAAGTCCTCATGGACGTCTTCGAGCTCGGGTGGTCATTTGTGGAAACCATCTCACCAAGGTCAATGAAGAGAGCAACAACTCTGCAGGTGAGACACAGCCCAAGGACTCAAACCCGTTCTCGCTCTATGCAGGTGGAGCAGATGGAACTACGTTGCGCTGCTTGATGAAATGTGCGGCTGAAAACTCGTGGTCAGTCGGCACGGTGGACGTCAAAACAGCCTTCCTTCTTGCACCACGACCTGACGAACAAGAACGTCTGCTAGTCGCTCGTCCACCAAAGGTGTTAATTGAAGCTGGAATTTGCGACGCTGCGGAACTTTGGGAGATCTCGCATGCCGTCTACGGGCTGAACGATGCTCCAGCAAATTGGTCGCAGTACCGTGACCGTGAACTACCTCAACTGCGCTTCTCGGCAGGAGGTCATGACTACCAACTGGTGTCCACACCGGAGCCAAACCTTTGGAAGCTGATCAAAACCGACCCTGGTGCTCTTCCGCAGGAGGACAACTCTGAAGGCTTCCTCGCTGTGTACGTTGATGACATGCTTGTTGCTGCACCAGGTCCCTTGGCAAAGTCGGTGATCGATGGGATTAGGGCTCATTGGCGGTGTTCGGAACCAGAGTGGGCAACGGCAGAAAAGGCCATCAAGTTTTGTGGCTTTGAGATCAGCTGCAGCGACGATGCGGTGATCCTCAACCAGGCCTCATACACTCGAGATCTTTTATCTCGCCATGAAGGAATCAAACCACGTCAAACGCCTCTTCCTTTGGGAGTTCAAGATGAAGTTGAAGCTGATGTGCAAATCTCTCAAGTCCGACGAGCTCAAGCTTTGGTCGGAGAACTTCTTTGGTTGAGTGGCCGCACAAGACCAGATCTTTGCTACGGTGTCTCCATCATGGGACGTTTGGTGACGAAGGCACCGACCAAGGTTCTGGAGTGGGGTGCTCACATGTTGGGCTACTTGCAGCATACAGTGGACTATGAGCTTCGCTACACCAAGCAGGTGGTTGAGTCGTCCCTTGATGATTGTGATGCTGCCAAAAAGCCCTGCCTGAAAGTGTATTCAGATGCTTCTCATGGACCCCAAGGAGGACGAGGACAGCAAGGTCTTTTGGTGACCTACAATGGCTCTCCAGTGCAGTGGGAGAGCAAACAACAACCATTTGCAACTCTTTCAAGCGCTGAGGCCGAGCTGATGGGCTACGTTGATGGAGTTGTCATCGGAGAGTCAGTCGCCTCAGTAGTCAATGTGCTGGAGGACAATCGTCTTCATCTCCAAGGCCAACAGGTCCTTTGCGGTGACTCTCAAACTGGCTTGAAGATTTTGGTCGCCCCGGATGGACCCTGGAGAACAAGACACCTTCGTTTGAGGGCGTTCGTTGTGAAGGAACGCATTCAGCAGAGCTGCTGGAAAACCCAACATGTTCCAGGTGCCGAACTTGCCTCAGACCTGCTCACCAAACCAATCGTCAACCCGACGCTGTGGCAGAACTTTTACACCTTCATTGGAGCTCGTGTGTTGTCCAAGGATGTTGACCGAGATCCAGGTGCATCGCTGTCCAAGTCAAGCTTGATGGCTATTCTGGGCGGCATCATTGGCATGGCGGCATGGAACCCTTCGCAGGAAAGTCACAAGGTGGCGAGATGTGTCACCATCTCAGCTTTGGTAGCTGCACTTGCAATTTGGTGGAAAAAGACACAAAAGACCCCACAAAGACCAATGGGCACCTGACGGTCGATTCGCGGGCGGGGGCACCCATGGGAAGCGAATCGGTCGAAACAAGAAAGTCAAGATCGGTGAGGGAAAATGAACCCACCGCACGGGAGGGACTGGGGGGGTTGGGACCTAGCCTAAATGGCTATACCTCGGCCGCGTCTCGTGCGTGCGATCATGGCGTGCGGCTGGCTGCGCTTGGGGCTCGTGCTGGGCCGGAGCAGCCGGAAGAGCGGATTTGGGAGTGGTTCCCATTCCAGCTCCCTCCGCAAGGCCGCGACCGCTGGGGGCGATTGCGCTATGGATGGTGGGTGAGGCATCATGTGAAGCCTCGAAAACGACCTTTCCACCCACTACACAGGATGACGCCCTTCAACAGTGCATCCATCCGACACCAAAGGGTGACTGTTGTTTGGCACCATGGAGAGAAAACCATCTTCTACGACGACTGGAGGAGTGGCATTGGCCCTGTCTTGCCTGACCAGGATCAATGGGTGGGATACACCTTTTTCCGGGAGATTCCGTCCCCAGACAACAGCTTGGGACAAACAACAACTTCCACCGATCCACAGTCGAGCAGCTCAGGTCCACCTCCGGTTGATGACACGCTGGAACCACCCCAACGAAGGGCGACTTTGGATTCCGTGGCAGAGAACTCCACTGGCACTCCATCGTCTGAACAGGTGGAATTTCCGACGGCCAATGTGACCTGGGTGAGAACTGAAGTGCATTCGGTGAGGAGGACTTCATCGTCATCGTCCTCTGCACCTTCACAGACCTCTCCCAGCACAAGGTCCAGTGCGACTGGATCTACGGCAGCGGCTCGGGGCTCAGACGCCATTGATGCTGGCGTGACCCTTGGCTACATGGGGCGACTTGGCGGCTACCTCTCTCGCGGGGAGAACCTGCGATCTGGGCCGGCGTCGAGCGCCACAGAAAGTGAAAGTGAAAGGGAAGATTGGAGGAGGAATTTAGATGTGAGCTCAACCAGCTCAGTTCAGGGGCACGAAACGACACTACCTCCTGGACTTCCTCCTCTACACGAACACTTGGATGAGGTTCCGCAATGGATGGGCATTGTGAGCCAACTCCCAGTGAGGCCGCGTGGTGTGCCGGGTCAAAGTGACCATTTGAGGGATCCTGATTCGGATTCTGACGGCAGTTATGAAGTTTGTGGTTGAAAAACCACTTGAAATGTGGTCGAAGGATCACTTCCTTTTTTCCCTGAAGTTTGACCATACGATGGTCAGGGGGAGTGTGGCAGTTGAAATGGACCACCAACCTCCAAACTTTGTTTGCAGTCAGGTGCACAAAACGAGAAGTGTACTTGAAACCACTCAGGTGAAACTCGCCATTCGATAAACATCGTTTGGCTCAAGGTTGCGCGGAGAAAAGGATCCGTGCAGCACCACACGACACACCCAACCTTCCCTAGAAACAATCAAAACCCGAGCAAACATCTTACAATACTATTCAATAGCATAGGGAACATATAGAAACACTTCAATAGTCTGTCAGTCTTAACAAGTACAAAGGCGTTGTCATCCAAACACCGAGTCTCTGCCACCATTTGCCTGAACCGATACCAGGACCAATGCTGAACCGGTCGACATCGGCGACGAACATCGTGTGTCGGCGACCCACTTCACTCTGTGCCCTGCTGTTCAGGACGTACGTCAGGACGTACGACAGGTGGAACGGAGGCACGTCAAAAGCGGGGAGGCAAGTGCGAACGTTCTGAAGAACTCCAGTCTCTTCCGTGAACTGAAGAACTCCAAACAGCCACGTTTTCTTCTGGAAAACTCCGGACATCTTCACCCAAAGCGTCAGTGATGTGTCCCACAAGTGGATCATAGTGGATCCTACCCTTGAAAGGGTAGGACCCTCCAGTCACCTACCTCGCATGCCAGTCAGTGGATCAGTGGGTCTATGCTATAGGTATACAGTATATAATGTGGAGGTCCCAAATAGATAGAAACGGTTGTGCAAAACATGTTCAAGATTGTTCAAGTGGAATCGACTCGATTCCGGGGTCTCGTAGATCGTCGATTCGGCGTTTCGGGTCCATGTCAGACGCCTCCTGCAGTGTGGCCAAGGTCTCTCCGGGCAAGTCTTCCAAGAGCGAAACGGCTGTGGACCTGAGTGACTGAGTGGCTCCGGCGCCCCGTAGGGCCACAGGGCCGGTGATTGGGTGAGCTGAACAATGGCGAACGGTGAAGGAACCGTGGGAACCCTTGAGGAAGAGCTGAAGGAAACAGCCGGTTGGTTGAGCTTCTTCCTTTTGCTTCCTATCTTATTCAAAAGATAGTCGAAAGTAACCCAAGCTCTGAAATTAATCACACAGATTCCCTCGTGGTTCCGCTGTGTAAACCAGTTCTTCCATCAACAGCTAAGACCCAAAACAAAACAAACAGCTCAAATGCTTCGAGTTGACATGCAAAATGCTCATAGAATTAGCCATCAGAGCGACTGGTCAGTTGTCCAATCCCTCACATCCCATCATCACCACTGATCACGTGTTTCATCAGTGTCACACCGGTTTTCGCGTTTTCTCCACCCTGTCTCCACCCTGTCACCGTGCCCCTGAGGCACGGCCCATCCCCCACAGGCAGCATGGCGCCGAGTCGCTCATTCTCAGTGACCAACTCTTCCTCTGCCCTCGAAGCGGGGTGACCGGTGCATCGAAATTAATACAACATGCGACATACATACTATATGTGAGTGTGTTTTTTCATACGTGAATGGTGCAAGACTCCTCTTGCAAGAATTCCCGTGATAACTCACCTAGTTGTACAATGGGGGATTGGGCCATAATTAGGACCTGCCTGTCAAATACTTCCACAAGGCAAAAACAAAAACGAAAGCTCAGGCCGCAGGCCGAACAAACATGAGACAAGTGCATCATAATCGAGAAAGGAGTACACAATGATAGAGTTTTGTTCATGTGATGCACTTGGGTTGTCTCTTAAGCTGAAACCAAACACAACAACCAGTGGAGCAGAAAACAAACAACAAGAGTAGGAAAAGGATGGAAAGCCAGAAAAGCAAGAATAAAGCAAGACTAACGCAAGGCTTGGAAAGCAACTGATAAATTTGACGGCAACAAAGGCCATAGAAAGCAAAAGCAAATATATACAATATATACAGTAGAACAGGAAAACAATACTATACGCAACAAAAGGACAAGAAGTGGGAAAGAAAAGACAAGGAGGAGAAAAGCCAGGAAGAGCAAAACAAGCGCAAAAGAAGCAGGAAAAGCAAGAAACACATGATAAATCACAGGGAAGCAATGAACAGCAAACGAAAAGCCAGGCAAAGTTTCTTGACACAGGTTGCCATCTAGGGTTGGCCACAGACCCTTTGGGCTTCAACACACAAACACACAGAGTTGATGCAAAACCCAACCTTTTAAACACCAATGGAACCCCAACGGAACCCAGTGGCTGCACTGCACCGCAAATCACGTCATGAAACCAACGTCCACCAGTTCCCGCTGGTGGCACCCGTCGAAGGCTGCTTTGAGGGTGTCCACGAAGAACTCTGAGGTATCTCCAACAAGCTCCTTTCACCGAGCGGAGTGGATCGGTCCCGGCGCCCGTGATTCGCTCATGACCGGGTGATTGGATCGAATGGATCAAGTACAATGGATCCTCCTCTGTAAATGCACTCCATGACCTCATGCGACCTCATGCCACATATTGAAATATATTATTCAGGCAACCCGTGCCCCTTTGACAAGAAAATGTCCTTGACTCTCCCAGATTCGCCCAGTGACTGAATAAACTCAGAGGGTCGAAGAATATAGCATCTGAACGGAGTGTTGGTGTTGTCCTTTTTGGTCCGGGGGACCGACTTTGCCTGATGTTTTCATATTCCAGGGGTCTCTAATACACACCCAGACTATATTCTCAAGATTCCCTTATATGTGAACTGGAAAACCGCGTTTCTTCGACTAAAGATGCAGGGCTTCAGGAGACGACGGTAGGCAAGCTCCCCAGGACGAAGCATTGCCCTGAGAAGACAGAGGTCCAGGGTCTCAAGTTCCTAGATCTTATTTTGAGGAGTGGGAAATGTATCCTCCGTCCACATGAAGCACACATCTGCAATGAATGAACACAGGTGGACAGAGTTTGCACATGGTTGTGTCATGTTGTGTCTCAGCAGAATGCCCCAACTTCTTGCTGCAACCCTCGGTTAGTACAAACATGCAAAAGCACAACAACATGAGGTAGCATGACTTAATTTCCTGAATCTGCTAGTCTCTACCACCCGAAACCATCCGAACCCTTGGTTCTGTTCTTTCCTATTTGATTTCCGCTGGGGACACCAAGCGCACACAAGAAAAAACCGACTTGTTGGACACACGTTGAAACTCACCGAAACGACTGCTCCCCCCTCTGAGATCCCGGGGTCATGTTCTGCGCTCAGACCCCCGGCGGCGGCACTTTGGGACATGGCCTCCCAGGCCTCAGGAGTGGCGTCAGTTTTGAGTGGGAGCATGGCCGAAGGAGGTCGCGCCCCAAAAAAGCTTCTGACACACTCATGGCATGGCCGAAGGATGATGATCCCCCAAAAATTGCATGTCACGGCACCAGTGTGCTTTCTTGGACTATTCCAAGTGGGAACCCAGGGTGGTTGGGTCGCGACGGGTTCGTAAGTAGCTCGTCGAGAGAGTGACCTGCTTCTTAGCCTTCCAGCCGACCACGATCAAAAGGTTGAGCTGTTGTAACGTTGTAGGATATTCAGTGAGCAGTCAACAGAATTAAAACATACCTGGACTATCCAACGGGTGCCCAATTCAATGGAGATCCCGTCAGTGGTGTTGGATAGTAGGGTAGTCCATGGTAGTCCATTGGACACTCGGATATGGTCCTGGTACGTGGGAAATGGGAATGCACCCTGTGACAGCAAGACCGCAGTGATAAAACAGAAGAGCTCCAACCATCCCTACGGATCCAAGTGCCTTCTCAGAAGGTACGACTGGACCCTCCTGGCACCTACATAGCGGTGTCTCCAATCACCTGCTGAGAAGGTACTTGGATCCCTAGGGTATATCCTCAGAAGGTGCCCCAAACCCACCCCAACCATCTTCTCAGGAGGTAGTTGGAGCCCTAGTTAGATCTTGCCAGCAGGGCCACAAAGCGATCTCGGGCGAGTTGCATGAACGACGCGCTCTCGGTACGTGGAAATCAACTAGTTCGTGTCTCGGAAAATGGGTGGAAGGAGCTGTTATTATGGGGTCATGTCCCTTCTTTTCTAATGGTACTTCTGGAGATCTTTGGAGGGTGCAAGTATAAGGAATTCTGCCTAATTCCTAAGCCGAAGGTAGCAACTCTCGAGGAGAGCTGGGGGGAAGAACTCTTGAAATACTCCCCGCAATCCGATGCAGAACGTACTGTTTCGATTGATTTCCCGTTCGCATGTCAGTCACTTCGGACTCTATATCCCCATGACCCACTGTCGGGGGTAGTTCATGGACACCCCTTTTCAACCCATCTTCCAGGCTTTGAGTCGACACCCTGTACGACCTTTATATATATCAACTTATATCTTTTATACGGGGTCCTAGTAGGGGAGGCCTCCAGTTTTGACCTCACAAGAACCAACGTCGCCTCCGCTGGTTGGTTAGCTTGCTTCCGCAGGTGACAAGGCCCGTGCTCCTGGCTCAGCGCTTTCCACTTGGTCCGCGCTTTCCTTCGCCCGCCGTGCGACCTGAAACATGGAGGCAAATCAACGGATCGAGCGAGGTGTCCAAAGTCATACGATTTGACTCTAAAGTTTACCAATCTCGGGGTGATCGGGTGATCAGACTCCACCATCATAGGAAAACCACTCGCAGACTCGCATTTGCGAATGCACCGAGGCCGCCTCTCTGCTAAATGTCAGTCCCACCCCATCCAAAAAATGTGCACTTGAGGCATCCTGTGAACTAAAAAGCAAATTCCAAAGAAGCTTTCCACCATGAGCCTGGCCATCCGCTATGGGCAACTGACTGGACCTTGCTCCTGTTCAGACCCTCTCAGGATTGGCGCCCTTGGAGCTTTTTCCGGCCAAAACCGCATCAAACCGCAACTAAACCCTCGCCTTGTCAGAATCTCCCAACCAGGTCCAGCCGTTGACGGATTGCCTTTTCGCCCTTTTCTTGACCGAAACCGACGAATTCGGCGCCTGCCTTCGAAGGCATCATCGGCACGAAGTCTGCGGAGACCCGGAGGCCAACCAGCAACCTCTGACGGTCTGACGCCGACAACGTGGCTTCCGGGCAGCCAAGGAGGAGAATGCATCGGGGATGGACGTGGATGGACATGGTGGGTGAGTTTCTCCAGCGAGGTTTCTGGGGGGAGGATGCGGCCACATGGGATCAAGGGATTATTTTTTTTGAGGTTCTAATGATGTCTTACAATATATAGGACCTGAGGTCTAATGCCGTCTCCACATGTCCTACAATATAGGACCTCCCAAAAAATGCTGCATCATCGATCAGAAACAATTGCATTGACCTGGAGACGGCCGTGTGTCGCATGTGCCTTGTGCACGACCTTCCGCAATGTCCCAATTTCCCCAATTTCCTGAAGACTTGTTCAAATCCCATTTATATTTTATATATAGTCAAAAGGACGGCATCGGAGTCCAATTTTTGCTCTGAGTAACTGAAGGTCATGAAATCCAAGAAAATTGGCTCAAGGGCAAGGGTTTGTATCTCCCTTTGGTCCATGGGGGGCCGTTGTCACTTTCTGGTAGAACGAATCCGTGGCATTTCATCAACGATCATCATGCGGCTGAAGTCCTTTTCTTGGGACACTTCTGTGCCACCCACACAGAGACTCTGCGGGGTGCTCACTTGGATGCTCATTCTGAGTACTCAGGCGAGATCTTGGCAAGTCGATTGGCCAAGTTGGGAGGTCCTATATATATAGAGATCAGTACTATAGAAGAACTTGGGTTTCCTTGCCAGGTTTAGTTGCCGTGATTTGGAGACACCTGATTCCCTCACCCGTTTGTTGTTCCACGTGCGGACCGGTGGACCAAATCCAGGAGGATGTCTGAAACCGCTTCTTCGGCCATGCTGTCCGCGGTACTTTCACCAAAAGACTGCCCTGGTCTGAGCAGTGGTACCTGGCCATGGGGGTCCTGATGGTTCTTGTTTCACCTGCAAGTTTGAAGCAAAGACATCCGAAGACTGATCTCGCTTTTCTTAGATTTGCTCGGGAAAAAAGTTAAAACACTTTCCCCAGTTTCGGAGCATCACCCGATCCACAAACAACTCCAGGTTTTCCGAGGCACGCCAGCAGGCATGCGGTGCGGAGGATCAGCGAACGCCCCTAGGGTCGATACGAAGGTGTGAACATCAGCACATCTGAAAGCGGGAAAGGGTCCAGGGAAAGCCCTTGAAATAACACTTGGCGCCTGGAAATGCCTAGAACCTCTGAGAGGGCTGAACAGTTGTTGTAATGGATTCTAGGAATTACGTGTTTTTCTATGTTTTTCTGCCTATTTGCACATTTACATACTATCATATACTATCAAATGTGAATCTGCTGTCGATGCACACCTCTTCCTTCCTGAAACCTAAAGCAATTGATTTCCCAGGTCTGAAGCAAAAGAGCGTCTTCTTCTACTGTCAATGGGCCGGCCACCCCAAATGTTGGATATGCCTTGGCATATGCTGGTGATTCTTCTTCACCTCGAACTCATCCCTGAGAAAGATGCCTTGGCCACCCATCATTAATACATTGTTACATGTTGGGATGTTCTCGAGCTCCGGGATGAAGAACTCCCAGAGAGTCTCAAATTCCTCAGGCCGGAAATGGCTTCCTCGCATTTCTTAGCACGTCCACTAGGAAACAGCGGCTATCTAGATCTCCGTCAGGGCCGGCCATGTTCAATAGACGCAGGCTTTTTGGATCTCTCTTTCCATCTCTTCAGGAACTGTTAGACTGTTTGGATGAATTCTTGGGGTAGCCTTCCGCCATCTTTCACCTCTTCCAAAGAGGCACCGACGTCCAATGGCCCGCGCCGAACCGGGCTCGTGACGCCGCCCTGGGTCGCCGGGCTCTGAAGGATCGGCCTGACGAGTGACGATCGACTCCAAGAGTGACCTATACATGGAGGGGCCACTCCCAATGTACTGTAACACATCAAAGATGTTGCTGACAAAAGGTCTTCTTTCCTATTTGGATGGGGTATAGTTAACTAACGTAATGCCACACTTCCAGTTCCATTTGTCTGGGTCAGAACATGACAGGACTTTCGCTGCGCCTTTCGGTACCCATTTCTACAGGTCTCAAAAAAGGTAACAAGCACAATGACCATAGCACGCGGAACCGGCCTGGACTTGTGACTCTTCCAGCTGAGCTTGGCTCTGCCATGGCGCTTCTTCGCCCCATGGTGCGACACAGTGGATGGCCGATGGAATGTTCAGCGGAGCTATATACACTCCTGACTTCTGTCTGGCTGTCTGATTGGTATACTAGGATATACTAGGTTGGTTAAGAAAAAAATTGAAACACATATGACAATCTGAGTGACTCTGGCTAGCAACATTCGCATGGACATGCTATTCATGGCAAGCTTGTCGCGCTTCGCATGGACATTCGCACCCCTCAGGACATCTCAATGACTCAGCGTACGAAGACGTCTTCATCCGAATCACAACACGAGGAATCGGGGTGTTCGGGGTCAAGAGCGAACACCCCGAACAATTATGCTAACATCGGTCCTACCATCGGTGGTCTATTATCTTCATGTTGAGAGATCAACCAGTGTGCTGGGGTTGCGAGCCAGTGCTGTGCTTGCTCAACATGGTTCCACACGGCTGATTGTGTTGGAGGATCGGGTTGTGTTCGGGAAGGCCATGTTGAAATGTGGACGTTGAAACACTAATTATTTAATCTTGGGCCAAATCAGCTGCCGTACCCACCCCGGCAGTGTGGTCCTTTGATCTCCTCAAATTCACTCAGCACATGTTCAAAAGGTCGGATCCAATCGGAGGATGCCGGGAATAAGCTTGCTCTCAAGCCTTTGTACAAGCTTTGAACGACTTGTGACCCCCGGAAAGTCTTTGAACATAATTTTTAGGAGGGCCCCGGAGGTCCTGGCAGCCAACAAGTTCTAGGCCTCCCTCCATCCCTTGTTGATAGAGGTCCGAAGCGGAGGTGGAGGAGAGAAAACGACATCAAACAACGACATGTTTGCTCCATGCAATCTCGTGAGAACTCAAAATCGCATCAAGTCGCCTACTCGTTGAACGATTCGGACGAGCACCCAAACCTCTCGTCCTTGAACACAAGCTGGAAGTGGGTCGTCAGCCCATCCTACCCTTAACCGAAGGCTTTGCTTCCATTTATATACATTTCCGTCAAAGAAGGGATAGTAAGATGCCCCAAGGGAGGACAAGTAGCTTTGGGGCCTGCAAGCATTCGGCCGGGCTGCCCTTCCCAAATACCCTTTTATCTCCTATCAATTCCTATCATATACCTCATGTATCCTCATGTCGGGAAGCAACCCCTATTCTTGGAGGCTACAGGCCTTTGCTTCAATTTCATGCCGAGACGCTCGTTCTGAAGCCCCAAGACCTCAGCAGCGCGTGGCCTCAATCCTCTGGCCTGGTACCTCGTGGATTCTGAGGATCCAGATCATCCAAGGTGAACAAATTCAGGTCCCCAAAATCCTGGGTCGATCATGGCTTAGCAACTTAGAGTTCCTGGATCAAAACATCCATGGCTTGGCTTTTCTTCTCTCCTCTCGATCGGCTCAGCAGCTGGGCAGCTGGGCACTGCTCTCCCCAGCCAGGTTCCCCCACATCCAGGAGCCATGGCACCTTCCGGTCTCGCGGGAATGAGGGCGGCCTGAAAAGCGGGTGAAGGACCGAACCGGCTCGAACCGGGCTGCCCGGGTTCCAGTGGCTCCAGTGAAGGAGAAGTGGAAGCCCCAAAAAGGCTCGTGAAAAAGAAACGCACGTCCATCTGGTGTCCTACCTGAAAAAGGCTGCTCAGGCTGCTTCAACGGCTCAGGCTGTTCAGCTTTTCCACACAGGACCTTTCCCCCTTCGACCTGGCGTCCCATTTTGCCTGCCTGGGAAGCATGGAGGATGGGTGGTCCTTCACAAACTCAGTCAAGTTCTGCACCAGCTTCTTGCCTGCACCGCCGCGCCACACTTACTTGGCCAATTTTGGATGGTGCAGTAAAGTTTGAGAACGTTTTCGAAGACCTTTTTGTGGACTTAACTTGACTTAACTGTTGCTTCTGTTGCACGCGTGGGCTTGTTCACCTTTGAGCTTGAGGGATACAGGTGGGTGCTAGGCTTTGAGTTGAAACTTGCACAGCCTAGCTTTCTACTTCAAGACAACTGAACCTCACATCACATCAATAGACACTCCCTCCATCATTGCATAGTCCCTCCATCCTGGCTGGAGATCAAGTTTGATCTCTCAGAATAGAATCATCAGTGACACGTTGGAGTTGGAAGAGTCCCAAATCAAAAGCATCCAGACCGGATTGGTTCGAGAACAGCTATTAGCTTACAACAAAAGAAAAGGACCTTACTCTATTCGGGAGACGAACAATTCACATCCAAGTTTGTGAATATTGTGGCATCTTGGTAAAGTAGGTGTCTTCAAAACCAAGCAAGTAGTATGCGGTGATGTGGACGGAACATGATCAAATGATCTTGCTGTTTCATACCTCACATTGAGTACACATGTTATATAAATTCAAGTGGTTGGTTTCCAATTATTGCAATTTGGTCCCCTGTCAAGTCAAGTGAAGTCTCAAAAGTGCATTGTTTTTCTTAACGAATGCACCGACACCGTTTGCTTGCCCCCTTGTTTAGGAACACCATTAGCTAGGGGCTCCTGGCATCGCTACGAACGGAGCAAGGACGCGTTCGTAGTATGCTCCTAGTGGTCGTATGGCCAGGAGCCCCGTTCGTAGCGATGGAGGTCTTGGGAGTCGAAAGGAGACCCGCTCAGCCGCCCTGCCGTCCTCCCCGACTGCTCAGCTCCAGGGGGGTTGGCAAAATCCTCACGACCGCGGTAGTTCCCAACGTTCGATTCATCCCAAGAGAGGTTGAGAGACCTTATAGGACCTGTAGTAGTACACGTGGGATGGGCTATAAGATCTATAAGGCTGTTCAACCTGTCTTGGTTGGTGTTGGAGCGAAGCGAATTGGGTTCGCAGCTTCTTGCGGGGATTTCTTCCCCTCAATAGCCCTGGAGGGCCAGAGGGATGCCCCGCCTGATGGGTGAACGCATTTTTACATTAATCCGTTCCCAGGTAGATTGCCGTGACACCAAATACACAAGGACTCCTTAAAGTGATTCCAAGCACATTGAGAATGTACAAGGCAAAGGAGTGGAACCCATGGTTGAACATAACACATGATAGAAGGACCCCTTTGAATTGAATGACACTGCCTGATGCTTCCTCAAAAGGATAAAGCTCCTCGCAGCCGTAGCAAAGACATCTGAATTCATATATATATATATACCTTATTTGTTCTTGTTCTTCCTGACACGAATCTCCCGAAACCTGCGTGACAGCCTCCAGTTTCTCCAACCCATCAGGGTCCTCGGGGTCTTGACACAAGGAGGCCAGGTCAAGGACCTGGCGAGGCCACATCAAACCTGGAAAACACATATTTATGTTTATAGTTATTCTGGATGTTTCCAATGTCCCAACTCTACCATCCATTCGGGGGTGCCGTGGTCGTACCTCTAAAGTATCCTCAAAGAAACATCACACGACCTCACCACGTGGTGAGGCTTTCAGCTTGGACGACACCATGGGGGCACCCACAGGGATCTGTCCCAAATTGTCTGACATGTTCTGGGTCGAAAGCTTTCTTGCGGGAATCCCTATAAAACTGAACGTGCCTGCCCATGTTGTTTGTCTTCAATGTATACGATACATGGACGTATGCTTGACCACGCCCCATCCCCATCCATGAATCCATGCGATCGGGCTGACCGGAAAATCCAAATCTCGTGCAATCCTGCCACGAGAAACCATCGCGGATCGACGCGCGCGTACGTAGAAGTCGCATTGCAGCAAAGAATCATAGGTTCATGGTCAAACACAAACATGTTTTATCTTGATGTCTATTTTCAGAAGAGAACTGATTCTGATTCAAATGGTGTAGCTTCCTAGCTCATTTTGGTACAGTATGGTACAGTAAGTAACCAAAATAGTGGCAATCTGTCGCAGCAGTTGCTATGGATCGATGAGCCCAGCCAGAACTCTATTTGTTTTTCAGGATGTACCTCACTCACTTTCATCCAGAAAATCAACAGGCAGGTCAAAGACTTCTTGAATGTCTTTGACTTTTCATTAATATTCTATAGTAGAAAATGCTTAATCCCCCTCTTCCTCCCAGTCAACAGTGGGGGGGCCAGGGAATTGCCTGTGGACAACCTCCGAGGCACAAGTCTGGAAAAGGCAAGTCTGGAAACCGCTAAGGGTGGCAGTTTTGCCTCTTGTGTCAAGTCATTGAGTAATTTCTTGCTTGGCCTAAGAAGTGGTCAGTGACTAATTGAAGGCGTTTGGGCCATCTGGGATCGAGAACCTGCCAGCTCTGAGAAACCACAACATGGGCACTACAGCAAAGAAAAACATAAAAAAAAACACATCAAATCCACGACAGGCTCTGCCAAGCAAAGGCACGGTGCTCGGACCTCACTTGGACTGCCGAATTTGGCGCACTTGGCATGTCTTCCTCTGAACATCATATTGTATAGAGTATGGTCATCCTGGAGAGAATATGGGAAAGTCCAAAAAAACATTAGATCATTAGGAAACTGATCATGTTTTTGGATCTACACACCAATATGTACAGTACCTCTATGGTCTTAAGGGGGTCAATTGGCCTCCACCTCGCCGCCAGGCATTTGGGGTTTGGCAACAACGCCCTCCGTTAGTGGGGGCGACTCCGGATGCTTCTCTCCAGCCGATCAAGACCTCTCCTCCGGATGCGACTGTTGTGCAACCTGCGCGACGGGGGAAGCCGTGCAGGCTGCGGCGCGCTGGCACAGGGCCCCCTGAGACCAGCTTCGCCCATGATCCTCATGGTGCGTGGTGGGTTTCCAGACTGTAAGTTCCTCATGCCAATCAAATCTTGATACAAGATCCTTGCCTTGCAGAAAATGATTGTTGTTTGGATTTATTTGGAATGGAATGGGTTGCATGACTACCTGAGATAGTCTGTTCAACAGCTTGCTTCAATGTAAACTCCCCCTGTCTCAGTGTCCCTTGCTAGATTGGCACAGATTAATGACCCAGACCTTTCCATGTGTCCTTTCCAATGGATCAGAATCAGTAAACAAATGCAGGGGAGGGTTTGTTGGAGATGAGATGCCTTCCCATCAACATGTTTGGTGATGTTGTTGAATTTTTTGAATCCCCAATTCGTCCAAGCTAGGAAATGACGGTCGTGGGAGATCCTCGAAGTGCGTCTTTCAACTTTTCTAGAGACCTCTTGGCCTCTTGGTGAAAAGAAAATTTCCTGTAGAAATCAAATGACCTAAATTGGCATGACTGAGATGATATAAAGCTGATGAACCAGGACTATCTCATTCGGTGTTAGGAACTCTGCAAAGGGAGAATACGACCTATTCCTGAGCATGACCCTTCAGGTGAAGTTTGAGATGCCCCTGGAGTGTCTCTACAACAGGGTTCAGTCGCAGGGTCGTCTTTTCTTAATCTTGCCCGTTTTCGGCCCGAAAACGCGGCCTCCGCCAGTTGTCCGTGTTCCATGTGTTCCGTGCCCAAACGAATGGAGGGACCCGTACGTACGGTCCACGTGTTCTTCAAAGGTCTCAAAACACACCCCGACAAAATGGAACTCATGGGCGAGTTGGCATACTCTCTGTGCCTGGAAGCCTGGAAGTAACATGGAAGTGGATGGCACCACCTGTTCGTAGAGGAAATTATGAATGACCCTGGAATGAACTGAGCTGAACTTTAGTTGCTCCCTCACAGTTCACCTAAGTTTTGTTGGTGCATGAATACCATAACTCTCTTCTTAAGCAGGACTACGCCTTTGGACGAATCGTCAAGTTTCTTGCGACCATGACGAAGGTTAACATCATACATCAGCCACGTTACGTTGTTCATGTTATTTCAAATTCTCCGGCTGACAGTTTCATCCACATGTCCCAATAATTTCCCTCGATCAATGTGAATTGCTGCTTGATTAATGGATGCAACAAGCTCACCACCTTAAACTCATTGTAGAGAGCTCTTATTCTTCTCCCTTGACCCTCTTGGGCCTGGTTTTAATCCAGTCAACTGCAAGTCTTGTAACAGCACTTCACTTTGTAGGTTTCTATAATTCATATACTTATAGGATATTATAGGTAAGAATATATATATATATATACAATATATATATATATATGGTACCCCCCCCCAAAATCAACACTTTCAGACAAATAGGGGAGGTGGGGGGTACCAACAAATCTGAATCTGCAATGTGCATGTGGCGTCTGATCAAAATGCTAAATGAACATCCTCCTACATCTGATCAAAAATATATATTTAATATAAGCTATATACTGGTGGTATAAATTTTCGATTTTCTTGAGCCTGCCAGCACTTTTGCAAGGTGGGGTACACCAAAAACTGCGAAAACACTGGCAGGCTCAAAACAAATAAAATTTCAAAAGGCAGAAAGATCTTTGGGTAGCGACCGGAGAGCTGTGCACTTGGGAAATGAGAAATTTCCTAAGAACAGCGTAGTGCACTTTGATCGCTGATGAGATCTGCAAGGCAAAATGAGCTGTTTGTGCCAATGCATCCAAAGGCTTCATCTGTTGTACATCTGCTTGGCCATCACGAACAAATCTGCTTTCAATACATCTGCTTTAGCATCAAGGACAACTCTCACATACAAGCAAGAAATTTGTCTGAAAACTTCTTTTTTTTGGGGGTAGCATATATATATATATTAATATATATACATATAACCTCTTCTTGGGCAGAAATTTCTGCCTATTATGGGTAAAGGCGACTTTGCCCGTGCTACATTTGTTTGTCAGGAATTCACTTAATGTTTCTCTTGTGATCTCTTTTGTATGTTTTTAGTTTTTCTATGCTTTGATTCATTGCTTTAATATTTTTTTGCGTAGGTGTTCTTCCCGTCACTTAGGCGTTCTTACCCGTTACTTGGGCGTTCTTGCCCGTTACTTAGGCGTTCTTGCCCGTTCCCCCCTCACTACAATCAGTAGTTGGACGGACAACGGAATGGTAGCCTTTTGGGGGGAGTGAGCGACATGAGTTTCAAAAACTTTAGACTGGGGATTAGCGTCAAGTGGCAGGCGTTTGTTTTCTCAATTTTTGTCATTCAAATTCTGGCTCTGCCTCCTGCATGTAAGAATGCATGTGACAGCTTAGGCGTTCTTTGCAAAAACGGGCTGAATTTTCTGCCTAAATGGCGTTGGGCATCGTTGGGCGGAAATTATTGCCTAACGAGGTTCTAGGCGTTTTTCACATAATTATCATTGTCACTCTCCCCCAAACCCGGCTGTGTCAAGGGTTTGGCCAGACCGGCTTCCAACCCGTGGCGACGAGTAAGGAAACTGGTCTTCTGGGCCATGCCATGCACTTCCATAGAGTTCCAGGGAGTGTATTCCTCACATGTTTCCAATGGACTCTTCCAGGGAGTGAGTCACTGTACCGTCCGCCCATGTGCTTCACTGTCCGGGCACCGGCGGCGCAGAAAGGGATGTGAAGCCGATGAAGATTGAGACCCTCGCGATCCACTGGCACCTTCTCAAAAGGTACGACTGGACCCTCCTACATCCAAAGTGGCTGGGAATCCTCCTCACGGTCTGTGGATCCAGAGGGAGATCAAGACACATCCAAATCATCACCAAATCTGGACCAAATCTCTTATAACCATTATTCATCATTATTCTGTTGAGCCCGGATTCCAACCATCTTCACACCGAATCCTTTCATGGACCAGTCACCAGGCACGAGTACCACTCACATCTGCACGACGGTGGACCTTCCCCCACCGCGACGCACACGACCAGAGCTCCGGTCATCTCTTTTCGTGCGCGTCTCGGGGAGCTCGGTGGCTCGGACGAGCTGCTGAGCTGCGCAAAGGCGGGCTCCAGATACACCATCGCCCGCGGGGTGTTTCTGACCGTTTCTGAAAGGATCTAGCCGTACTTGTTCCTCAAAGCTTTGTTGCTGGTGATGTGCAAGTTTTTCACCATCACATATCCACCTGCACGGAGTCAACTCATGGAGAAAAGTCGAGGCTTGGGTCGAGCCATCCAACATTTGAACATGTCTTTAGACGAGCTATATCTGCAAAAAGGATCAAAAAGGTGTGGCAAGCCAGTGAAGCCATCGGACCCCCCCGGGCCCCCCTCACATCCCGTCACACGCTTCCACCCACCGTGAACCGGACCAGACATGACTCTCTCACCATCTGACTCTCTGTCGGGTGACCAGTGTTCGGGTTGTACATGGGCGTGGCAGTCCATAGAAAGATTGGCTTGACGTCATCGATCTTCGCTTTCACCTTCGAGAAGGCCTGGGTCAGAAGGCCTGGAGTTGAGTAACCCGAAAGGTAGTGAATTTATCAATTCGGAGCTGACCACCTCAAATGATTTGGGTATACCCTTGGTGTTATCAACAGGTTGCCTAGGCACCCTAGCTCCTGAACTTTATTAGACCTGTGACCTGGTTGCCAAGGGCTATGACTTGGGTGGAGAAACCACCTCACATGGTGCAGGTCATTCACATGTCCAAAACAGTGCCCAGGGGATGATGATGGTTACGTTGCATGCAGGCTTTGTTCAAAAATCGTGGATGATTCTTTACTGACTGTTACAGCTAAGAACGGACAGACCGGGCTTAGACCCTGGCACCCACCCCTACCACCTTCGAACCGGAAGTTCTAGTACCCAGACGCTCCGTTCACAGCCCTTGGTCCCTCAGGACGTCGGGATTGGTTCGACCCCAGACCCCTTGAGAGGAGTCGGGATCCGACCCCTCCAGAGTCGGGGCCGAACGGGTCGCGTTGATCCTTCGGTCAGATCCTTCGGTCGAAGCGACTGCGTCCCTGGAAACCGACCGCTGAAGCCGCTGGTGCCGGTACTGCGTCTGGTCGAGTCTGGCCACGGCTGCAGCAGTGACACCAGTGCTTGGTGCTTATTATAGTGCTCTTTGCCTGGATCCCACGGGTTTAGGCTTTTAGATCGATGGCTTTTGCTTGGTCCTGCTTGGGTGGACCCCCTCCGTGGCGCCTTTCACCGAGGTGGTACCCCCCATGCGGCCACCAGGGGATCCGACCCTTTTTCAGACCGGTCGCCAGTGTGCGGTCGCGGGTCGTGGGTCGCCGTTGTGGCTTGAAGCATGTTCAATGTATGCCATATATGCCGATCAATCGGGGTGGTTTGGGGGGTCAATTGATCGGCATATATCATGCATGGAGTGTATGGGAAACGGTATCGATCCAGCTCCTCACGGAGTTCATCTCGGATCCTGAAGACTCGCTTCCCCGTTCTTGGCGCGCGCGGGAGTGCGCTCCCCTCTTCGCGCGCGCTGCTTTGCTTAGACCGAGCTTCACTGCCGATCTTCTGCCCGATGGTTTTCTTCTTCCCATACGTCACACCCTGCGTGCCTTTGCCGATGAAGCAATGTTTCTTGCTCAGCTGCACGAAGGGCGCGCCGAAACTCATTTCCTTGTTAATGTCGCGCCTGGGTGGAAACCCATGGGCGCCTGGGAGAAGCGTTGAGAGTGGTGCCTCCGAGTTGAAAATCGTGGTGCTTCAATAAGAGTTGGATCTGCCACCCGGACTATGACTCTACATAGGGACCCATCATAGCGAATCATACCTTCTGAGAAGGTGGGGAGTTGGGGATGTTTCAAACGCTTCTGATGCCGTTGGATCCACAGAAGCAACATCGTCCCATCTTCACAATGCTCAGTCAAGGAACAACCCGCCAAACCTTCAGGGTCTTTGTTTGTCATGTCAATGCCATGCCAAGTCTCTTGAATGGGTTGAGGATGCTGCCGATGCTGTGCGGGTTGGGGCACTTTTCCAATCCCAAATCATCCTTTGCCATGGCCTCCGCAGCAGTGTTGCTGCAGCAGCACTGTGTTTCCTCCTCCGCACACTCCAAACAAACAGACCTGTCCCACTGGCTATTGATCTGGGTGCCACAGCATCTACACAACACATGCGGTGGTGACAATGGTGATCTAGAAATCTGGTAAGAATAATAAGTACAACTGCCATGGTAAAACATGGAAGAAAATGCCTCGAAACATGTCATGCCTGGCACCCAACTGCAGAACAAAAGGCAGAAATTCCAATTCCAACCTGACACAAAACTCACCATCAGCAGTCCTCATTATTGCCTATGCCACACTTGAACAATCCTCTGCCATTCTTCCCCCGGCGCTTGTAGCAATCGCAGTACTCGTTGTGCCAACCCACAGGGCAGCCATCCTCAATTTTAGATGAAAAAAGGAAGATCAAGGATCCAATATGATTCATGATCCAATAAGTCTTGGAACTCCCAACCTCCCAGGTCACCTTTCCTGGATCTTCCAGCTTCACGAGTTCCACCTCCAGGTGGACGTGCTGAGCCCGGACCGTCCCGGACCATCGGAGTGGTCCACCGGCTGAAGAACGAGAGCCGTAGGCTGTTGATTCAGAAAACCTGAAAACCACTGCCGGGGGGTTGGAGGAACATCGTCTTCCAAAGCTCCATTTTCAGGTTCCATGTGAATCTTCCAGGATGTAGATCGCCAGATATCACCAGGTCTAGTTCAGCTTCACTCTGGAGCCTTTTGGGTCAGGTCGCTTGGTGAAAACAAACATCTTGTGAAGTGGAGATGCTTGGGGTCTTCGTCCAAGAGAAGAGGAATAGGAATAGGATGGGAGTCCAGAGTCTTGAGAGATGGCTTCGAGCACGTCCGGCTGGGCATCCGGAGTATTGACCCACCGACGGCATTGCAGGCATGGGGAGTTTTGTTCGACATGCAGTCTACATGACATTTTCAGGTACAAACGGCAGACCTTGACCAAGCATCTGGAGTGCCCGCGTCGAAGTTCTTGCATACGCCCTTGACCAAGCAACACGGGACAAAATCATCAAAGTTGTCGCCGGTCAAATTCCCAAACTCCACCATCTCCTGGTCGTGCACGGAGTCACAGCGGTCATCATGACCTGTTGTTGAACAACTACCTACCGAAAGAAACTCTGAACAATCCCGACATTGAATAAGGAAAAATAGAACAACTATACTGTAGTCATGTGACCCTGGGGGGTTCGGGCAAAGACCGCCCATCGATTCTTGATGGATTTTCCCATGTCCAGGGCACGTGGAAGTGGAGAACAGTCCAGGTGTCCTTTGTGTTGGATCCCCCATCCAATGCCATAATCAATGGTCAAGAATCACCTCCGCATGCTTATAGATGTCATGATCGCAACGTGCGGCCATTTGCTGGTGATGAGACATAATTAGTGACATAGTGACATAGGCCTACCAGGGGAGGTCAGCAATGGAAACAGCTGGCTGTATACTGATACACCTCTACTACCCGCCTACCCGCTTCCAATTTGCCGTTCTACTATGTTCTACTACCCATGGCTCAAACGCCCACACCCTCCGGACGGTCCTACCAGTACCCTCGGATATGCCAATGGACGTGTTGGATGTTGTTGTTCCCCTTCAAATGAGAACAACTCCTGTTTTTATGAAGCTTTGGGACGCTTATAGGGCCATTGTTCAAGAATCTGGTGCCCAGTTTATAGAACGCGGCAGTTCATCTGGGGCACTCGTTCATCTGTCCTCGTCCAATCGCACAGCCCCCACACGAAGCAGCCATAGTGCTTGGATGACTCGCATCATGGCCTTGGATGACCCACGGTGTCGGTGTCGTCGAGCCAAACCACCAACCGCCCCTGGTTTTAGTAGGGAAGAGTTGGGATCGAACGGGCCAGGTACGACAAAACGCATGTGTCAAGGAAACCATCCCATCATTTTGTGTGTTTACATGTGTTTTACGATGAATGAGTGTTTTGCACAGCTAAAAGGCACATACACAGCTGAAAGGCACATTGAACCACAGAGCAACCCTCCTTGGGTCGGGAATTCAGTGGGGCTTCACAAGCTTTGTTAGGTCCTCATGCCTACTCGACTAACACGTCACACTCAATTTAGATCCACTCCAATGGATTGCATTTCCACTATAACAACAGGTAACCAGTAGTTCCATTGACTAAAGGCCTTGAAGACTGCAATATAGTCCAAGAAGGAGTTCACTGGGAGTGCTATTTTCAACATCTATATACATGTACCACCAGACCTGGCTTGGTTTGTTTTGAGTCTAGTCTACACTCAATCACAAGAGAAACACTCAGACCTGGCTCTCCGGCGAGAAGGCTAAGCGGAAGAGTTGCCGTGATGACAGGCAGGTCGCCAGGTTCTCAAACACAACGTCAGAGTGATTTGATGCGTCGCAGCTGCAGCGATGGTCGGCATGTTCTTTGCTGTTTGGTCTTTAAGACAGGCAGAAAGCAACACACACACAACTGAAGGCGGATGAATTCAGGTCGCCCTGGTGCTGTTTCTGGGAACAAATCTCTGGGGATGGGTCTAATCTCCAAAGAAGGAGGCCAAGATAACCAACATTGACCAACAAAGAGTGTACAAACCACATCCAGTATGATCATATTAATTTGTGTTCCTTTCTCTCCCTCATGTTTGTGCCACTGCCACACGCCAATGCGCATCACACAACGCCGCAGGCGCTGAAACCATTTTTCTGCGGAGATGAAACCTGGGATGCCAAATTGAGCAGCACAAAGGAGCAGCTTTTGACTCAGGCAAAAGGTTCAAGATGGTTCAAGTGTTTCTGGGGTTGTAACCTCCCATCATGGAACTATAGGTGCCCATATATGATACACTTCTGCCCATGGGTCTGTGCTGGAGAACCCATGGGGGGCGTGGTGGTTTCAGACATGAACATCGTTTGCCTCTTTCACTAGAAAAACATCCGAGAAACGACCTGAGCTTTGCAGAGAGCTCAGGATCTCATCATCGGCTCTCTGCCGAAGAAGACGTGCCGTGAAAGGAAACTGTCCGGGATCGATTCGGGAGAAAGGTACGTACCTTCGTTTCGACGCGACCAGGATTGGAAAGCGACCACGGCCACGAATTCGTTGCTGACACCAAGGTAGTAAGCACACGTGGCTTTACTCGAAAGGATGTCCAAAGAAAAGAACCAAACACTCCCTGGAATCATCATGCAGAAGTGGATGGAATTGGAGTTCACCACTTGTTTTTACATGTTTTTACATGCTATTCAGGGGGTCATGATTCCAGGGAGTGTGCTCCACCCTAAACCGGGCTTCCTGATCACCAAAAAAGCTTCTTCGTTCAGCAGGATACTTGTTTCTGTCAGGGTGGCAAAGGGAAACGCCCAGCTTTTGACTGGTCGATACCATGCGGGTCTAAGGTTAGGGGAACTATCAATGATTTCTATCACCGTCCAAAGCGTCAGATCAGTGTTGTTTTCGCCAGGCGAAAGATGCCACCCGTCTCCTTACACACCTCAAGACATGTGGTGTGCTGCCTTTGAAATACGGTATTTCCTTTTGAACACCGTGACGGTCAGACACGTCTGAATCTGATCCATCCCTAACAAGTCCGTCATTCTGAAGCACCAGGCTTGGACTCTAGACGGAACCACATATACCTGGACCCTCCAAAGTACCTTAGAAAATGGGACTTGATCCCCCTCCAAAAAAATAGCTGCATACTTATAATAGAGTAAAGGCAACAGGTATTCGCATCCATCTTCCGCGGTACGAACTGAGACTCCAGGTATATGCGAACCCCAGGGGCTGTGAAAGACAGATTACCCAGTCACTTGCTTCTCAAGTCCCAGTTACTTGCTGGGCTAAATACATATGATTAAACCATATGACAAGGCCTTTACTTAGTTCATCTTGGGAGTTTTTTGGCCTTGCTCACATTGTGATTTCGTATCCGAAAGTCATGAACTTTGTTTTCATCTGAGAAGCGACTGTTTTCTGCTCGAGTAGGGACAAAGAATACCACTAGAAGCCATCAAAACCGAACAGAAACTGGACTGTTCTGATGAGTTCGCCAGACTCCAATTCCCGGCGCGGACCAACTCTGCCCAGTGACCGATGCAGCGCAGCTGGAGGGTCGGTTCCCTGCCAGCAAGATGGAGCTGGCTCACTGGCATGTAAGACCTCAAAGAGAGAGAACACATGCACAGACCTTTTTCTGACATGGATTACTTATAGTCTGTAACGACAACGACTCACGACCGATCTTTTCTCGCGACAACGGCTGATCAAAAACGCATGCCCTGTTAGTAACAAGTCCACTACTTTAATAACAAATAGCTACTATATAGCAGCTTCTTGCTACTAGTATACTATGCACTTGTAACTAGTAGCGATGCACTTGTTACGAGTGGATACAAAGCGTCTATGTAAAATATATTAAAAATTTGCCCTGCCCTATGATGCCCTAGGCCAACACTACCCTGCTAAAATCATCAATCATGAACAAGAAATCAAAAGACATGACATTGGTCCGCTGGATTCTGAATACCAGGGATCCCCCATTGCTGGACGACCAAAGAGGGGAAAACAAATGAGACAAACATTCGAAGTTGCATAGGTGTTTTGACCCTCCAAAGATTCAGGAACCCTAAAGATCCTACAGGTCGAGGACTTCATTTCACTGAAGACTGGACTGGTAGGAGAGTTTGAACCTCACTTACAGTAGGTGGCAAAGGCAGCTGCCGCCGAAAAGCAAAACAAACACACAAGACCTTCCCTGAACGGTTGAAAAATGCATCTTGAGCTGTGCTAGCTGCTAGCTGCTAGCCCCGTTGCACGACTTTGTCTCGTACCACCACTACTTGGTCATCCTGAGTTTGGATTATCATGGAAGATCTATGACATGAGAAAACCAGAAACATATCCTGGCAGAAAGCAACGGAGAACCTCAGAAGAAAGACCTATTTCTGAAGATTCGCCAAACACACTCCGCCTCATGTCAACAAAACATGGAAGTGGACAACCCGTGAAAACCCCCCTGTTTGTCACGAAAGCCGCCCTCCTTCGGGACCATTGTCCACCTCCTTGTTCGTGAGTCAGAGTGTATCTCAGTCGGTGGTTCAGCAACGGAATCTATCCCGGACCGTCGGCGAGCTGCAGTGCTGGACCGTCCGTGGCTGCGATCGCCTACGAGCGGCGATCAGGGTGGCTCTCAACGGACAAAGGCACGAAACAAAGTTGATGGTTGAACAAAGTGGACAAAAACAATATATCTGAGCATCTTCTCAACCTCTATACACTTACTGACTAACTATCACATGTCCCATCATGTCCCATCTAAAGCACTCTTACTGACTCTCCATCGTCGCGTCCGTCGACGAAGTTCGTCGTCGACGTCACCTGCATGGCGTCTTGGATCGCAGACTCGGCGTCGGCCGGGCAAAACCTCGGGCGCTCGGACGGTCGGACCGGTCTCGGGAAAGCAAAGCTCGGTCTCGGTGGTCTATAGGGAATGTGTGGCAGGGAAGGTGTTGAGCTTCACCCCCTGGCGTTTTTTCAAAGGTTGACCTTCTCCAAAGGTAATCATCATCGCCACACCTGCAGGCAGGTGTGCAGGCAGGATGGTACTAGTACCTCAATGTTAGTTCTGAGAATACGTATGACATCAAGTGCACAAAATACGTCTACCTCCACGATCTCAAGCGAGAGTTCCACACTTGACCCGAGCTGTTCCTCGGCTAAGCCTTGATCAGCTCCTGAACTGAAACAATGGAATCTGGAATCAGCTCAAAGATTCTATGGTTCGTAACTCTTCCGATGGAAGGCTGACTCTCCGTCCACCAGTTTGTACAAGCGAAAGGAGAACAATAACTCGTGCTTTCATCTGGTGGAAAGAATTCAGATCAAGATTTACCACGACCTCCAGGATGTTTCATTTTAGGCTGGTGACTAAGAGGCACTCACTGCTATGCACATCCTCCACTCACTAGGTATGATGCTGGGCCTTTCAGTCTAAAAGCCACCTTTGGAATTGCTGGGGTGAATTATTGAGGATACCATATAGTCAAATATGCACCTTTAGTCCATTCTTCCTCTTAATTACCCTGAGGAGTCAACCCTGATTATTTCAATATGCATCCATTTCTTTCCCTTTCAGCCCACAGAGATGTTCCATGCAGCCAGCTGGCTGGACTTGCAAAGCAGCCAGGGACCCCCCGATGTCCTGCGCCTGCGCCGCCAGCGTGGGGAGTCCGACTTGAGGGATTGGCTCGGCTGTGTGGATGCCAGATGTCCAAGACTCCACAGGTTTCAGAAACTCTGGACCTTGATTTGCCCCAACCGGACAATTTAAGTGTGGAACTTGCGGAATTTTGCTTTTGGACATGATGCGACCTGTGAACCATCATACTAACAACAACATCATCATCAACTATGACTATCACTATCATCAACAACACATTTAACGACCATGAGGTTCCAACCGGAATCACTGAATCTCACTATCACTATCGTCAAGGGTCCTTCAACCGAGTCTCGACGTGAGACGTTCGACGAGGTTGAACGTCCCTCGTCTGAAACCGGTTGCTTTGCACGTCGGTTCTTCCGCGACGTTCGACGTGCTCCGCATGTCCCCAGTGCAGGACATCCGAAGGAAGCAGCGTCGATTCGGGCTGTCGGGAAGTGGAGCGTTTTGGAAGTACGTGGAGCCTTCCACGCGCTTGCGAAGAGATGATAAGCCTGGTTGGTCTCAACTCCTACCCACAGACGCAAGCATCTGGGGACAAGTGGACAAGGATGTCCAGTCACTACCTATTGGGATGATAGATCCGTTCTCTCCAAACGAACGGCCCCCACCCACGCTACTTGGCCCATGAAAGCTCCTTCGGTGGCTGTCCCAATTTGTCCTCACGCATGTCCTTTCCATAAACCACCCAGAGTCACACATGTCACCATAATCTTCGACAAACCTGAAAATCCAAAAACAAATCCGCTGTCCAGGAACCAGGAACAACATCTCTCAATTCCGGGGGACACCCATCAGGACAATTGACATCATTCCGCAAAACCTGTCCCAGGTCGACCGTTACCATCCCAGGTCGATCATCCCAGGTCGACCTCGCGCTCCAACATGCACCGCAGCTGCTGTGCCAGCGCAGGCAGTTGCGACGGTCTTTCGGCGGAGGCCTGGAGGCTGCGACTTTGGCGAAGAGCAGAGCTGAAGGAGCTGAACACAGGAGCTGAAGACCTGAAGGCGTGTCGTTTGTGTATATGTTTTTTTGGGGGGTTAAGTGGCAAAGTCATATGATTTGGGGGCTGTCAGGTATACGGACTTGCGAGGTCTTGTGGGCATTTGGATGTTGCGATGCTGTTCATGAGAGGCAACAAGTTCGCCGCAACTGAAGCGCAGGGTGTAGATGTGGAACGAACAAAACCGCGTGATGCGACCGATCCGCATGATGCGACTTCATCCGCATGATGTGACCAAATCATGGTGAGTGCTTCAAGGACATCCGGGATCTTCACACCTTCTCAAGTCTGGCGGCTGTACGGAGCCCTGCGAATTGAAGAAAGTGTCCTGACCTGATGATCTTCAGATTTGGGAGGCCCAAGGATCACTTAGAAAATAGTCAGCACATGTCAGCACACTTTGCAAGCGCAATTTATATTCCAGTGGCTTTGCGGTTCGCAACAGAAGTCACCGGAAGGGTAGCCGCTAAGCGGCTTGAGCTCCTCCTAAGATCATGCCACGAGTTTCTGACATCCAAGAAGGCCGAATACTTCATTGTTCATCCAAATTCACTTCCGCCCAAGATGTTCAAATGTTTCTTGGTGTGCACACATTTGGCGTGTCAAACGTTCTTTTGGATATGACCTTTGCATTACTATGTAGTAAGTTTTCCATAGTTTTCCGCGATGACGAGGTTCTGTTGATATTGTTCAAACACATGGACAAAAGCTGGACTCGCCTCTGCGATTCGTATTCCGAGCGAGTCGCTGCTGCACATCACGGTGATCTCCACCTTGGCAAAATTACCCGTGGAGGAAGAAAAAGAGTCCTTAACTCACCACTGAGCAGGGTAGCTTGTGGCGTCACCTTCTATTGTCGCTACTGGTTTATATTGCCACTACTTAACTGCTAGCAGAACGCTAGCAAACGAGAGTTCGCCGAACTTGCACGGCAGACGGGACTTGGGACTTGCTACCGAGGCGGGCGAGAACACTGGCCACACCTTTAGGTGCCATAGATTGGATTGTTCATTGATGTTTCATGGTTCATACTTCTATTCAGTAGAGTTCGTGGTACCCAGTGGCCACGGGTCACCACTCTGGTTCATACTTTTATTCAGTAGATGGCACTGACAGCACCACACGGCCCTTAGACCCACACCCGGGGAGGTGGTCTATATCTCGAGATGAGATACGATGCCAAGTAATACACAAAGACACGTGCACAAACGCCTTGTATCTCAGGTCAAACAAACAAACATGTACATGTTGCAGTATGTTGTCGTATTTTGCACACTCCATTGCACAAAGGGATTGGCGTACATGGTGGTTTATCCAGATCATGAAAGTGGAGATCACAACAAAAGAGATGCCCGAAAAACAACAAGGAAAGTTGGAGGAGGTCATTGCTATTGATGGAGGCCCTTGCTAGTAGGCCCACCACTAAGACTAGGTGACCTAGCTGTTATCTCACAGGCTTGGCTCTGGGCATGGGCAGGTGAAGGGCCGTGTTTTGTGTGCGAATCGATTTAACAGTCCAAGTACCCCACGTATTGTCCATATAGAATGGTTTGAATTTTTCTAGATTGAATTCACCTAGGAATCATATATTGTATAGCAAGCACAGCTCGTGTTTCTTCTTGTCACTTGTCCCACGTCGGTCTATGGTCCACAGCACATCACCTGCAGGATGAATGTGCAGCTGCTTGAAATGGCCTACACGTGGGGGGTTACGCACAATGACTTCCTGCAAAAGAGGCAGGAACTCATGAGGGAACCGATTGAATGGCACTGGCAAAGCTGCCTTCCGAAACTGCTAAAGCTTGAGATCAATACTGTGAAAAGGGGATGAGAATCGCTTCGCATCATACTGAGGGTTCAAGTAAAAGTTGTAGATGGCACACTCCCTTGCTTTTTGCTTTTTGCTGGGAAGCTTATCACTCAACCTGATTGTCGGGCTCAGTCGCTCTGCAGCGCTGTGCACCTTTCCATGGCAAAAGCCATGCCCATTCTCAGCCTCCCCAGGCGCCCACGCGCAGCCGCCTTTGGGCAGTCGCGGAACTTCCGCGAAGCTGATGAGCCTGCCCGCATGGCGTTGTTTTTGCATTTTGTGAGGCCGCTCGGTCCTGGCACTACGCAACAAAAAAATACACTCAGCGCGGCAGCAACGCTGCTCTTTCCAGGTGGGCTCCAGCATCCAGGTTTAGCAACAATGCTTGCACGGAACATTGGGCGTCCAGGATGGCACTGCAGCACAAAGTGTCTGTCTGTTGAAATGGATGGTACGATAAACATGCCCGATACACCTGTTTCAGTTGGTGAGAAAGGACCTACTATAGTCTAGGGTATAGTCTTCACTTTCCCAGTTCTTATCCTCTTGATTCAAAACCCGTCTCTGGCTCTAGAATTCAACATCCAGTGACTGACATCTGAGTGAGCATCTGCGTGCCGCTTCCACAAACCCTGATATCAAAGTCACCTTGCTACCAAATGCTACCAACTTGAACAGCGGTCTCTGTTCTAAACCATGATCTGTGGTCTCGGTACCGAGCAAGGCAAACCCTTTTTTCACCGTCACTCATCCCAACACGTGCGCCCCCGCCGCGAAAATCGCAGCTCATCCTCCTGTCATCCTTCACTTTTTTGGGGGTGCTTCGGGTCCAAGATGGACCCAACCAGCAATAGGACCACAGGGCTCGCTGACGAGCGGACTAAAAGATACACTCCGACAAACACATCAAATGGAGGTGGCAAATGGTCCCTTCAAAGACTACTTTCCTGACTACTAACCTTTACGAACAGGGCGTTTTCCACTTCCCTGTGAGTGAGTCAGAGGGCATACCATAAAACGTGTATAAAGTGTACTGTGGAGCTAGGGGAGTCCTTTGGCACCTGCTCATGTCCTTCACTTCCCAGGCGCTCCCGAGGCCAGAGTGAGCCACGTGTTAGGAAACAGATGAAGACGATGCCTTTCATGCGACCAACGATCTAAGTTCTTGGCTTCAACTTTCAAACCGGCTCGGCAATTCCAACGACCCCAGCGATCTGAACCCATCTTCGACCAACGGCGCAGCTCAGCTGCTCTCCCAAGCGAGCCGGTAGTGCGGCATCAGCTCTGGAGCAGTCTGTCGAAAGTAGGCCAACACTTCTTGGCAAATCCTGCAGTGCTCCCCCAGCAAACCCCCCAACTGCAACACAAGGGCACAACAAAAAACTGCACAAGTGGAGGCAGCTGGGCCATTCTGACTGAGTTTCCAAATGCATGGAATAGAACTATACATGTTGGCCTGCTCGAACATACACCGTATATATCAACACTGATGTGTTTCTTTGTGACAAACTGGACTCACTCCCATGTGCATCCAGGGAAAAGCATCATCTCGTTTCTAATCTGATGATTGGTGAGCAAATGTTAGCAGTATCATCATCATCATCGTCGTCATCCTCCTCCTCCTCCTCCTCCTCATCGTCATCATCATCATCAGCGCCAGCGCCATCGCCATCATCATCACCTTCTTCTTTGTGACAGTCTTCTTCTTAGTCTGAGTCTTAGTCTTCTTCTTGTGGCGCATCTGTGTTGTCATGATCTGTTCTATCGTTTTGGACCCTCGAGATCTGGGTCTCTGGCTCCAGGCCCACTCCAGCTGTCACATAGACCTCGTGGTCAAAAAGCAGGATGATTCTTCCACCGAGCCTCAACCAGCCTTCACGGTTTCAGCTAGGGTGGTTTCTAGGTTTCAATCCCACCTAGAAAAAGAAGAAGTGCCATTTAAGAATCGATCATCCCAGGAAAGTAAAGGTTGAACATCATACTATATATTGCTAAAAAGGAAAAACTTTTGGATACCATCAACCAGGGCTATTTGTTGAGGTTTAAGACCATCATGTTAAACTTCATAGGCTACCCTGGCTATGCTGGAGACCGATTGGGCCCTCCAAGCCCCACGGTGTCCGGCCAACATGTCTGGCCTCCGATGAGCCAAATGCGTGTAGGGACTGAGATAGAATCAGTGAGACTTATCTTATCTATGTGGCACACTATGTGGCTCCTTCTCAGGAAATTGGTATTATACGGTAACTATACATATCATTGTGTATCTATCTATGTTGCTCTCAGAGATTATCGGGATGTAGAGAGAACACTTCTTTGTGGTTGACCAGGTAATGTGACCGTAACCTGGATAGTGATTTTGCGATTGCTCGAAAGCTTCGACCAAAAGTTTCCTGGGATTTCCTGTGCCTCTCAACGACCGTCTGACTGCCTTGGAACATAGAACACAAATAAGGTTTAGCCTACCTGTTCTTGTTACGTGGAGGTGTCCGCCAAACCCCCCTTGCTACGTGGGTTTCTGCAGCTTCTCCACGTACTTCGGTAGGCGCTCGCCTTGTCGCAACCTGGGATACAGCTACGCAAAAATCGCTCATCATTGCACTACTGGCAAACCCAATCCACACCCCAGCACCTGTCTGGAACCCCAGCACCGGCCTGGGCCAAAGAAACTTCCTGGAAGCCACTGCCCATGACCTGCCATTCGCAATGTCGAGGTCAAAAGAGACCATCATCCAAACAGGCAAATCCCAGACAGGCATGTAGTGAATTCACTCGTGAACACACACACGATATATATATATATATGTATATCATCCAAACACTGTTTTTGGTCTTTCATGGTCTTTCTTACCATCCTAGTCTCCTAGTTGTCTAGATGTCTCTTAAAGACAAAACCCATCTCTCTGAGGTTCGGGAACTGGCGATGTTAACTAGGTGGGTGTCAAAGGGTTCCAACAACCTTCAAAACGATGCTCTTGGATCCATAAGGACTCAGGACTCTAAAACCAGCGTCCTTCCATTCAGTTGCGTGCTATCCATGGTGCCCTGAACATCACACCAACTTACTTATATACAGGGTCTACACACACACACTGCACTCCATGGAATTTCTGGATGTATCTCTCAAGTCACTAGAAAAGCTGGCACTGTGCCACATGCGTCCCATTACGTCACTAGAAAATGTGAAAATGAAGATCCTCACATCTACGGTCATCTGTCCTCGCATCGAAGGAGGATGGCAGGTGGATGGCTGGATCTAGGTGCCAAGAGAAAAAAAGCCGGCGCACACCGAGCTGCATGTCCACCGCAGGTCACTGCTGAGCTACTGAGTTCATCCATTTCATGCCGTCTTGGCCAACGTTGTCAGGCACCAACGGAGTTAGACGGTCTTTCGATGCTACATGTCCTTCATCTGCATAAAGGCCTCCAAAAAGAGGGGCCAGTCAGGGGTTAGCTGGAACAATTTGCTTGGACAACTCTAATCAAATTCATCTGAATCCAATCCGTTCGCGATTCAGATTCAAATTTGCACATCTCGGTTGCAAGGCATGCCAAGACTCCAAGACATGGGGGCCACAAATGGTTTCATGATGGCTACATAGCAAATTGAGCTACGTTAATAAAGCATCTTGTGGCACATTCATATAACATCACAACGTTAGAACATGTTAATATGTTATATCATGTTATATATATATAACATGTTATAACCAATGTGAATCGCCTGCAACTCGTCCCCAATCCTTAGTGGATCAGGTCAAGTTCCTGTGGACCCCTCCCGTCCTCACCACCCGTCCCACATCAGCGGTCTCCCAAAACGTACCGCCTGCAGTACTGCCAACAGGGACCGCATCAGGAGCCAAAGCTCCGCCTGTTCAGCCAGGTGGAACCGGGTGGTGCACAGCTTCATAAGGAAGGCAACACCAGCCCTTTTGGATGTATCCGAGCAAAGAGATATGTTTCGGTCCGTTGTGGTGTTTCACGCCCTTGTCTTCGGGTTTGGTGTTCTCCTCTGAACAGAACCTTGCAGGCTCGCATGTCCATGTACTGTATCGTCACAGGTGTGACGTTGCTGGTTTGCCGGTTTGCCGCCCAAATCGCCCACAACGCCCGAATCGCCCCACCTGAGCTTGTGTGAGGTCTTCCACCTGTACGAAGGAAGACCAACGGATTGCATGCTCTCCCTCAGGCAGGTGCATGGACGTGCAGGCATTCAAGTGGGCAATGAGGAGGTGCAGTTCACTGACTCAAAGTTCTTTCAGTGATTCCAGGGTCTGCAGTCTATAGGTGACTTCACCGTGGTAAGAACATGCTAACGTGCAAAAGCAATGATGCATGTGAAATCCGACTTTGAACACATCTCCAATATTGGAATCAAACCCTCAAACCCTTCGTCCGATCTATCTAACATCTATTGCAACCCTTGATTTACCAATAACATCAGCAACATGCGTCCCTCAAGCAATTTCACCCAGCCCTTTCGACCGCCGATGACGCGGTATGTATGCGCCGCCGGTCTGGGCCTTTGGTAGCGCCATGGAGTGAGGCCTTCGTTCAGAAGCGATGAGCGCGTGGACACACTCTCTGCATGAATTCCGACCATGCAACTCATGCGATTGAAAGCAACTCATCATAATTCGACTGTTCATGAATCAAACTCCACCTTTTTTGGAATGGTTTGACATCTCCATGCATGGGGGATTTCATGAACCAATACCCAAGCCATAGCCATTGAAAAATGCACCAGTCTGCAGAACAATCACAAACAGCCCATCGACAAGTCCCAGACGACTGAAGCAACTGCTTCCTAGTGAACCGAACATAATGAGTAGATGTGTGTACCACATAGGTTTGGGGCTCGACTCATGCCCATATCAAGCAACAAGTCAGCTGAGAAATGCTGAGAACTGCGCACAGGCCCGGATTGGAAACGTTGTTTCACCTGGTTTCACCATTTGGTCATGGTTACGATGTCGCTACAGCTTCCAAACAGACCCCAACATATAGATCAGTCACATATAGATATGGATGTGATGATCGGAAGCACACGTGGTCCATGCGGCAAGACATATGATGGCAGGCATATCAAGGATCGGTCCATCCGCAATGCTTTTGCTTCCGCAAGGACCCAGGATTCCTCCATCACGTCCAAGGATCGACTTATATATACCCCTAGGGCTCCTGGCCTACGTCCGGTTCGAAGGTGGTTGGGATGGGTGCCAGGGGGGTCGAATACCACCTGAGGAGATGGTGAAGTCGCCCTAGGTTACTACATGGTACTACAGTATATTCTTCTTCCCACGTTCCGATCCGCTCGATTGCTCCACAGGTCTCGTGCTCTTGGCACCGATGATGAAGCACCGGTGAGATGAAGGCTCCGTCACGGACTCCGGGCTTTTGAAGCTCAAGGCAATTCTGGCTCACCCCCGAAGCGACCCACAGCACGAGTTTTTGGACCCACGGGTGCTCAACCATGTTCATCTCAGCTCACAGGGCCACCGGGCACGAGTCCTAAGACCCCACTGCTGCACAGCAGATCCGGCGCCAGGCGTTGCGCCTGCGTCCGCGGACCGCGGCGTACGCGGCACGCGGCAGAGCCGCGGAGGTGTGGGGTGGGTCTGGAGAGAGCCACTTTTCAGGGAGAGCATGGTATGAGTTAGTATTATCCAATAGTGATAGTGGGTGGTGGGGGGGGAGCTCATCCTGCCATGCTAGGGGCTGTTCAATGAAGCTGCGGATTGTGGGAGCAACGGTGGTAATGCAATGCTTGTATTGTGTGGGACCAAAAGAAGTCATACCCCACAGCAGAGGAGATCACAACATATCACAACCTTGCGTTTGGGGGTCGCCTCTTGAATGTAACCCTATGGCACTATGGAGCATGACTTTCATGAAGAAGCTTGGGGTGCAATGGATAGCAAATCGACCACACTGGGAGGTCAACCACGGTCTTGGGAGGTAAACCCCGACTGAGAGCCGGATTGATGTTCTATGACATCCCTGTAACACACGGCTCCTTGTGCTGTCACCCTTACAAAACCCAAACAACTGTATACCAAGGACAAACATGGTCAAAACAAACACACCGGTCACCAAACAGCTAATGGTCTTCCGGTCTGCGGACCATCCGGTGACCTTAGCGGACCACCACGCCCATCTCCGCTCTGAAAAGCGGCAGCACTGAGCTGGTCAGAGGAGAGAGAGAGTGAAACAAGACTGTCTTGTTATCAATTTTGTCTAATTGGTGTCGATCTAATCTTTAGCTATATATATAAAGACTCGTCAGCCTTCTTTTCTAGTTCGCTCTGCAGCAGGTTTGTCAAAATGATAGTAAACAATCAGGGAAAAACAACAGGAAAACACAGACCTAGATGGTTACCCCCCCCCTTCTTTGGTCCACTACACAAAGAAGGGGACGTACCCGGGTAACCCTCCCCCCCAACCAGGCGGGCCTGACCCCAGTCCCTGGCCAGGTCCTGGGGAGTTTAAAGTCAACCTTTTTTCCGGCTCTTCATGAGCTTCTGGAAGGTCTCTTAAGGGTTTTCTTACCCTTCTTTCCACGTCCCCCGAGCCGCCGAGTACCGGCGGACGGCCTGCTGCTTTGCAGCGGCTCAAGTGTTTTGAAAGATTTGGGGGTGGAATTCGCAAAGAAAGTACGGTACGGTGTCACAAAATGCTGAAAAGGACCTAATTGCATCTCTGTCAAGACTGCCCGGGATTCGTTGAGGTAAAGACGGGCAGTCTTTTGGGCTTGCCAGCGTCCTAGAAGCATTACGCGATCTAGGTTTCCATGCTGGCAAAACCACCATGTAGCCCCTCCCCTTCGGAGAGAGTATGGTCTGAGGTCAAGGGGTTCCAGGTGCAGGGCTTCTATGCATGTCTTGAAAAGTTTGCGCCAGCGTGCAGCTGGCGGGCACAGTCGTTGGTGAGTACTAGCAAGTGTCATCCAGCGTTGCAGGTAACGGAAGGCTGTGTCATGGCCCACTGTGACGCTCTCTTGGGCGCCGGCCCTCTTGCCGGCCTTCGTCATGCCTAAACTGACGACAGCCACTCGGAGGCTTTCAGAGACATCGACGCGACTCTTGGTAACATCCAGCAATTCACCTGTGCGAAGAGTACCATAAAAACAAAATAAAAGGCTGGTTGCAGAAGAAAAATGTTGATGGTACAAGCTCCATCCCACCATAGCGAGGAGGATGCTCTCAGGCATTGGTGGTGCCCTGTTGGGCAATTCATGCGTGACCCATGTCTTTACAAGGCGCCAGGCTCCAGGGAGTTGCCCCCGAATTTTTGCGTCAAAGTCCTGCAATGACGCCAGGGTATCGGCGGCCAGTCCACGCCCCTCCCCGGTGCGCCAGAGGTGTTCTATGTATTCCATCACCAGAGGGTCTAAAAAACTGCGGCGAGTGGGCAACTCCAGTCCCTCCTCTTTGAGAAAGGCCAGAAAACGATTCAAAGCACGGTCATATCTCACACGGGTGGCTGGTTGGACCGTAAGGCCCCTTAGTGTACCTAACCTTTGCCTTTCTTTCGCTCTACTGGCTTGAGTGGTTCCTTCAAGTACGACCTTTGGCACGCTTAAACTTAGTCTTCACTGACCACCGCGACGGCTTATCCGCCGGGTTCAGGTCAGTATGCACGTAGCCCCAAAGGGCTCCAAGGTTGTGCGCCAATAGAAGCGAGTTGATTCGGCAAAGGGTTCTTCTCAAACGGCGAGATGATGTCCTTCCACGGGTGAGGCTGTGAAGACACACAAGAGAATCTGTGAGGTGAAGGATACGGCAACCATGTTCCTTCAAGTGTTCACATCTCCACCGGAGGCATGCTAAAATGGCCCTGAGCTCCAGTGAATTTATATGCTCACCTGGTGTTCGCCACCTCCAGCCTGATACAACCTTCCAACGCCACATCTTTGCATTTACCGTATGCCGAAGTCGTTGATAGCTTTGAATCTCGTCTTGCGCCGCTGTAATCATAAGATCGGACCCTTTTGTGGACACCAGGCGTCCTAACTGTTGTACCAGGGCCTCTTGGGGTCCCGAGCTTGCACGCTGGTCAGTCTGCAGGGGTGGCCGCATCAGTCGCGATTGAATGTAGGGATTACCCTCCAAAGTAAGGCGAGAGACAACTTCTGCTGGAGATAGCAGGGGTCCTGCCCCCCGAGGTCCGACCAGCTGCCCGATGAGCCAGCTTACCACTGGCACGGCCCAGGCATTTCCAACCAACGTAAGCCGCTTGTCAATGCAATCAGCGTGCTTCCGCATGGACTTGGGCATGCACATCAGCGTGTAACCCACTGGTAGTCCCATCATGTACTCCCTTTCGCGAATATTCGGAAGTCTGTATTCACCGCGTTTGTTTACCACACAGTTGCGGGGAATATATTGATACGGTGGGAACCTGTGGAGGTCCTCTTCCCATCGAGCGATGGTACTTTTGTCGCACGCGTCCAAGCCTGCAGGGCGATGTCCCCGCGTTGTGCGTGGCCTCGATGTGGTGAATGTAGGGAAAGGCCTGTCTTCGTCAACTTTGGTCCAGCCAGCTTCGACTGATGTTGACCAGGGCTGATGCCCCGTAAGTGTCACGCGCCTGTCGGAGATGTGAACGTCGTCCCCCTGTCGGTTGAGCTCCCAGCTTATCCAATATAGCCGTGGTCGGCTGCACCAGCAAAGCGTGCCAGCGTCAATCTCCCAGGGTCGATCCCCGAACGATTCCGACATGATTTCCTTGTCACGATCATCCATGGATGCCACACTCTCCATCAAACAGTGGACTTGCCCCCACGGGAAACAACGTTGTACCAACTCACGTAAGCGCCTGACGTGAACGAACAATGACGACCGCTCATCACGCAACGCCCCTTTGCGCTGGCTATTGAGTCCTGAGACTCCTTGACACGGTGGTCCTGCACCGATCAGGATCAACGAGGCTTGCCCATAGCGCAGTGCCCAACGCTGCACATCGTCCTCCGATATCTCCTCAACGTCACCGTAGTGCCAGCTATCCGGGAAGTGGTGTTCTACCACCCTCCTGGCTGCAGCGTCTTTCTCAACACAGATGTGGCCAATCACGTCACATCCCAGCAGATCCAAGGCGACCCTGAGGCATCCGATCCCATCGAAAAGCCCGACGCTCAAGATCCGTGGCCCGCTGCAAGCTACCATCTCCCGGCGTTCCTCACCCAGGGCCACCTTCTCCCCGTAGTTGGTGAGGCTAGTGGCCACGCAGACACCCCCTCCATGTTGGGAGGCATCGCTGCATGTCACCTTTGGGTTCATCCTCAGGCGGAAGTCCATACGGCACAGTGGAACTAAACACAAGAAACGAGTGATCTCCAGTTTGACACCATTGGGTATAAGCTGCCTATGACGCCCACAGGAGTTGAACGATTCAATGAACGCCCAGCAGAGGTTCAGCCCTCCGAGAAGTTGTCGCCTAAAGGTGGAGAAATACACCAGTCCTCCGCACACTACCTGCATTTGCCTTTGAGAGCAGTGAGTTTCGTTCATCAGCTGGAAGGCAATGGTCACATACTTGGATAGCTTCTGCCCTTTAGGGTACGCGATGCCCCGTTCCCCGTCAACAACTGCTCCTTGAACTTCTGCGATAGTCTGCCGGCTCACTGCTTTGCCGGGATGGCGGGGTAGGCCCCAAGCCTGGTATTCCTGCCTTAGGGCCAATACCTCTGGCGCGTCCTCCTCGGCTATGCCTCCTAGCACCTCATGGGGATACTTCTCCAACAAATCATAGTTGTCGAGATAAACCCGCCAAACTGTCGCCCCGTCCGGTAGAATCCTGTCCTTGCGTATCTCCTGTGAAACAGTATCCCGCACCGGGTTGTGAACCTGTGAGCGCATAGCCAAGACTCGGTGAACGTGCTGTGCTATACCAACGCTGTTCAGGAAACCCATAGGCAATACCTTTGAGCAGGGATAACAGGGTTGCCCCCGAAGTTCCGGGGGGACCAGCTCCGGTGGAAGTCGTTTGTTGAAACATAAGTAGGGATACCAGCAACTAGGTAGTCGCAGGGTGTAAAAGAAACACCGCAAATCCTCACTTGATACCACCACGGACTCATGCGGCGCGATGTGGAAAGGGGTCATTCCAAACCAATGAGGCAGGGTCGTGATGTCCCCGTGCAGCCCTTGACACAAGCCATTGAGTGGCACCAGATTCATAATTAGGCGGTAAACCGGGATGCCCTCCACTTCTTCGTGTTTCTCCACTCCAAAAAGTCCGTTAAGTAATGGTCTCCCATGCACTCTAAAGACCTCTGACTCAGGGACCACCCCGAATATACCGCTGTCCAGCAGTCCAGTGGCTACCTCTGTCCAGTCCTTGTCTGCTACCATAACCCTTGCCTTTCGCACCTGCTCCCACTCATGAGGTGGTTTAAGGAAGTGTGGGAAGTTTTCAATGTAATGCTTGCAGCCCTGCTCACAAATATCCTTCAACTCAACCACGCCAATCTCACGTGGTATGGCGGGTTTGATGTTCTTCCATGTGAATTGCTGTGCCGTCTTGACCTCGTCACCCTTATAGTCAATGCTCCTAGTTCTAAAAAACGAGCTCCATTCGAAATTCTCCGTTACCTCGTCAATCCCTCCCAGCCGAGTCACGTCTCGAGCGATCGACCGGAGGACGCGGGTGTGCACCTCCGACACCGTCCGCTGCTCCAAACTGGATTGGCCATCCTGCAGTGAAATAGCCGGACAACCCCAAAGTGAATTCAGTCCCATGCAAATAGCTTGCGCCCAGGTGATAACCCAAGGTTCAGAGGCGTCGAGGGCGAGGGCGATCTGGGTTCGAAAGGTGGGCAATGGGAAAGTGTCTCTAGCCCCCAAAGTTTCAGGCCCCTTTCCCTTTGCCGTGGTCTGGCTGCAGAGCGATGACACCCTTCGAAACTCTCCGACCAGATCCTCCCCCATCTCCCAAAGCCTCTTGCCACACAGTCCTTTTGCCGCCTCTCGGCGTCGATCAGGGCTTTGCCCCGAGCTGTTTGCACCACTTGATAGGCCATGATCGGCTGTTCCACGCTGATCGCCTGATTGTGGCACGTCCGGAGAAATGTAAGGCGGCAGGGGAGGGAATGGTTCATCCTCCACTTCTGCCTCCGCAGGGCCCGAACCCCGCACCGTGGTGCACCGTGCTGAAGCCAACGCTCCATGTAGGTCCATTGTCAGCCTCTTCAACCGGGCGCCAATGACCTCACCGTTCAAGTCACTGCCTTGGTCAGGGTCCCGCCCCCGATCACCCAGGGTCGCCTCTGTGCCTTCTGTAGTGCGTCCCTGAGGGTCCAGGGCTGTCCCCCGCTGAATATCTGTCATACCACCACCAGGGCACGCCCGCCCCGCATTGATATTGCTAATAGTGCTGTTGCTCCTCTGACCCAAGCCTCTCTCTACTCCTTCTTGGGTTTCGCCTTCCCTTTCTTTCCTTTTCCTTTTGCGCCATCGTCCTTTTCTGCTTTGCCTCCTTTTCCTTTGCCCCAATCCTTCCAAGTCCCTGCCTGGTGTGCCTTCACTTCGGCGCGGTGCTCCGCAGTCGCGATCGAAAGCTCCTGCCTCGACGAAAGGCTTGCCCCGTCTGGGGGCAAAAGTTCCATCCGCTGGGCGGACGTCCACGCGAGGCCGGAGGCCTGCGCCTCTAGCGACTTCAGCCTCTGAATCAGAGTGTCCATTGCAGCGGGCACCATGCCCTTCAATAATTGATCTCCTATTGTTGATAACGTCAAAACTTCCCTGGACATCGGGCCTGACATCTTGCGGAATAAAGTTTGTCTGAAGTATCTGAGTAAAGTGGGGCTCCAGGGGCCCCCCGCTGATGATCGAGCCCCACTTCCTGTACCAGGAGTTGCTGCATCTGCTCGATTGCTTGCGATGTCAAAACCCCAGGAAACTGTAGAGCAATCCCTCGGATTTTCTGGGATTCGCCGAAAATCTGATCCCCTTTCAGGGCCAGGTCTCCCCCGTCCTCCGAGGACGCCGATTTGCTCTCGTCCTTCCGATGGTGGGATCGTCGGGCCATGCGCTGAGCTCGGCGTCGTTGCTTCCTCCTGGTGCGGACATGAGGGTCCATGCCCGACCCTCGAAACAACACCTCCTGGGAGATCTCCTTGAATTCCACGGTCGATGAACTGCTCGTTGAACTGGATGAGCTGCCAGGGTCCTTCCCCGTTTCCTTTTTTCTTTTCTTTGACCTCCCTCTCTTGGATTCTCCGCTCTTTGACCTTGCGGATCGACTTCTCTTGCGCTTCTTCTTTTTCTTTTTCTTTTCTTTCTTTTTCTCTTTGTCCTCTTTCTCCTTGGCCTCCTTCTCGTCGATCACTGCTGCCGCGGCTGCTGCCCCAGGGCTTGGTACCCCGACTGCCTCCATTCTGCTCCTCAAACCTGCCAGCTCGTCCTCGGCCTTGGGTCGTCCTTCCAGCAGCACGTCTCGCCAAGGGACTTCGGCTAGTTCGTCTAACGACCTGATCCTGCGGAGGTCGCTGCAGTGAATAAGGCCTGGGCCTTCGGCTTCTCTCGAGCACCCTTCTGGGCACAGATGAACCCGGGCGGAGGTCATGGCCCCTGTAGCCCACGTCAAAAGGGGTTCGTGATCTGTTCCGTGAAGTCTGACGCTCAAGTGGCGTCCTGCTGCGTCCCTCGTATCCTCCAGGACGCGTCCGGTGAAGCGACACTGGGCGCCGTAGTAGTGAGCTTCCTCTGCAACCACTAGATCGCCCACGCTCGCGTCCCAAGGCAGGGCTTCCTCGCCCCGAGCTCCAACTTCCTCTCGAAGAGCGGCAGGTCGTCGTACACCTCGTCTCAAACGATCTGGCGCATCGGCTCTTGCGGGCCTCCTCATCTTCGGTGCCATTTGCCCTTACCTTTTCCTTTGGGCGGTCGCCCTTTGTTGCTGTATCCCAGGGTCTGCCCCCGTATGATGTGCTTGACACCCTTCCACTTCTTTGCAGGCGCTTGCTGCTGTCCACGATATCCCGGTGGTGACCTCGATGGAGTGCGCGGCCTTCTGGGTAATGGCTTCCTGGCTGATGGCTTAGGGGGGACCTTCCTGAGTCCCGCCCCCTCCGGATCTCTGGCAACTTCGGTGTCCGGACTGACGACGTCGTCGTGTTGATCGTCCTCGAACTCCTCCGCTTCCTCTGCTTCTTCGGCTTCTGCCTCTTCTACTTCTTCCTCAGGCTCTGTCCCAACTTCCTCCGCGGGAGGAGGGCTAGGCTCCTTTTTCGGCTTCTTTCGATCCCTTCTGCGGCTTCTGCTGCGAGACCTCGGCTTGTCCTCACGCCTTCTCCTCCTGTGCCTTGAAGACGATCCTGGGGTGACTGCCTCCTCTGACTCTTTGCTTTCCTTCTTTACGACGGCCGAGCCGGCCTCAGGGTGTGAACCACCAGGGTGAACCCCCGCAGCCAGGGATGCAGCAACCTTGCCCTTGCTGCCCTTGTCCCCGCTCAACAGGTACCCGTCCTGATCGACCACTCCGGCGGTCTTGTCAGCCTCGAAGGCTTCCGAGTCAGTCTCCAATGTATTGAGGACCTTGGCCAGGAAGTGTGTTAGTTCTTCAGCTTTAGCCGCTGGATACCTTGTGACCACGACGCGATCGATGCGGGTGGCCAAATAGCACGCGTTGCAGCGTCCGGAAGTACCAACCGCGAGTCGGAGGCGGTTGTTGCAGCCTTTGCAGGCCATCAAAAGGCTGTCCAGAGCCAAACACTACGGAACCGTCAAAGATGGTGACTAGTCTTTATCCCCGGGGGCGGGGCACCATATAATCTGATCTGATATATGTATCACCTCTCTTTCCAAATTTTGAGGCCAGGAATTCCTTCTCCTGGCACTCTTCTATATCCACCAAATCCCACCATCTCCCCCACGAAACCACATGATGTTTTTTCGGTTGTTATACTTTTTCCGATCGCGATCGCTCGGCGCCTGGGAGTAGGGCCCAATGCAGGCCATGGCCCAGGTGGAAATCGATTGCACCCGCAGCGCGTCCCGCGCAGACGCGCCTGTCAAAGGGCCAAAAAGGCCAGAGGTCTTGAGGGGATTCGCACATGGAAAGGCCGGAAAGCCAGGAGCTTCGGGAAGCATGTTTTCTTAAACATCGATGGTCAATATTTCATGTTGAGACAATGACAAGCTCTGTCTTTTCATTGTAAGGTGGCTCACTTGCAAGAAGCGTAGAGTCTGCTTTCCTGGCCAGTTTGGACGAAAAGCAGGTGGAGATATTGTGAGATATCGGGATGGAGGAATGACCAAAGGTAATGCCAAAGGTACACTCCTTGGAGTCATCATGGAAGCGGACAATGGCCGCTGGGAAAAACACGTTTCCTCTTCAAATGAGTGGTTTTCCACTTACGCGATGATTCCAGGGAGTGTATATACCTCTACAACCCAAAGAATCCTCACCACTTTCGACACGCCTTGGCTCGCCACCCCGTACCCCACGGCCATGGTTTTGGGCCTTCATGTGGCCTCAACAGAAGTCGAAGCCTCACTTGAACACCTGCACGTGTTCGCCGGAAACTGGGGGAGCTGTGAAACACTGCGAGGCAATGTGCTGTTGCAAAACAGGAAGTGGGCAGGCCAAAGCATGACCCGTAGCTTCTGTGCCCCAAGAAAGCAACTGGCTCTAGGTGAATTATGGTCAATGTTGGGCTAGTCTTCTTGCAAATCCTCTAGCCGCTGATGGCTTTGAGGGGAGGCTGGAGTCACGCATAAGTAAATTCCTAGCAGAGCGAGAACATGCTGCATGTATCCCAGAAGCAAATCAATTTAAATACGGTATTATATTGAATTATTATAGTAACCAATGCATGTCTTAACAAGGGTTCGTGAGTGGGCAAGGTACAACCATGGACAAAACATGAAACATTTGTCACACATTCAACGCAAAAAAGAAAGTCTACCTCAAACTCACATGTCTCAACCACCAGGGAGGAACAATCACAGTCCAAAACTCACGGTTTGCCATCTTCATCTCATATGTTTCTTCCTGCCAACCATCCAAAGCAAGCCCTGCCTGGAGGCAGTGGCGTTTCGATGCACACGCGTGCAGGCGGATTCTCAACGAAGTGCCTGGTGGCACCCAAAAAAGTCAGAAAAAAACTCCAAGCAAAAGACTTCCGCACTCCAAAAATCAAATGAGAAGGGGTGTCAAACCATGTGTTCATGCCAAACTCTCTGTCTGCGGGCGTTTCGGGAGAAAAAACACTCCCGCGCGCGCGGTGGGGGGTCTCCCGCAGGCGTCGTTGGCACGGCGGGGCCGGCGCACTTGGCGTAAGCTGCGTTGACCTCCTCGAAGCAGCTGAGATCCCGGACCTGCGCGGAGCGCGTGGAGCGGAAGGCGGCCAACCGTGTCGTGGGAACGTGGTTCGGTCACGAACGTGGTGACTTTCAGGCCTTCAAAGAGTGACATGGTGGTTGGAAGCAAAACAAAAAAACAGCAATTTGCCATGTATTTGCCGTGATTTGGAGTCCACGTCGGAGTTCAGATGGTGCCAGCATGTGCCAGCTCTATCTGCTTTCGGCGCTGTGGATTGATTGGGCTGCTGCCGGTGGGTTCGTTTTTCAAGGCTTGGGTCGCATAGGCATTACGCCACTGCCTACCTGGAGCTCTGCACTGCGGATGAACTACGCGGGGAGGGTGGTTTCGATGTGTCTGGCATCCTGAAAAGCAGGCACACTAACACGCAAATTCCACCAGTTGAAGCATGGATTCCTCACAAATATGAGGGGAGTCTGGGTTCCTCTGATTCATTCCAGCACCCCCAGGCCACAGCTTTCTGCATCCAGGCTGCAGCTGACGATGGATCATGATCACACTATCCCCATATATCAAACAACAAACCTTAAGTACCCACTGGACCGTTTTCCATCAAGCCTTGGGAGGGGCCGTTCAACCCACGAGTCGTACTTCTTCCATGCCCGCCACCGGCCGTCTTATCCTCGAAGCCCACCAACCCTTCAGGCATCCGCGCGGCCCTGCCTGAACTTCCGCGAAGGCCACGTCCTTGAGGTGACGCGACTTCAAGGCCAACCACTCAGCAATGGCCATCAGCAAAGCATCACACCTGACTGCAAAGGATCGGTTCTGCAGATCACGGTCACCAACAAACAGGGTTCTCTTGGGAGTGCAGTGGGAGTGCAAATACTCTTTGGTTGAGCCATCTGGGCAGAAGTGAGGCTGGGTCAACTATGATTTGCATGCATTTTGATATTGATTGGGATGCACATAGACTGAAACCAAAAACAACTTGTCCATTCTGTAATGAGATTCCTGATGGAAATTCCCCCAGTCTCTGCACCATGCGAATTTCTCAGCTCCCAACTCTGCTGCTGCAGACTCCCAACTTGATCCTGAGACAACGGTGGAAGCAAGGAGATTCAGACTGGTGGCAGTGGTTGTGATTGTAGAGTATGGATCTTTAATGTAATCTCCAAATCAAATGCAAGTCAAACATCGCAAAGCAAGTGTGAATGTATTGATTCTATTTATAAATAGCCTTACAGTAACTTCATCTAGATCATGAAGCAGTACCTTGATCTGTTAAGCCCAGGCAGCGACAGCCAAAGAGATGTTTCAGAGATCTCCGGGAGTTTCCCATGGTCCTCGCTATCTCTTGCAAATTCTTGAGTTTCGTGCCCCAAAACTCCTCTGTTGGCCGGGTCCAACATGTTCCAATGTGACCATTATAAATTATAACCACCAAGCAGTGGGCCGTGACGAGGTCGTCATTCCCGGTCACAGTTCCTGTGACGACCGGCTGAACATGACCAACATGACCAGTTCCTGTGTTAAACCAGGTGGTTGCTAGGCTAGTAACTAGCTACTCAGCGAGTTGAGTTGAATAGGAACCAGGTGGTGAATTGGCAGGACTGGTTCCTATATTACAAACATATTAAATGATATTACAATATATAGCAACTAATATAGCAATATAAGAATAAATACCTCGTAGATCATCACATTGAATATCTAACTTATATTTGTTCCTGGACTTGCTAAACACGTCCATGGAGCTGTACTTTCTGATGACTTAATGACTTCCATGGAGGTCGCATTTTTTACCCTCCCACCATACCTCTGCCGGATCGCTCCCCCAGAACCCGGCGTTTCATCCCAGTGGCCCAGCTGCATGGCGCGCACATCGAGGCTGGACGTCGCCCAAAGCGCCCCTGGCGCAGAGGACGCGGCCGCTCCCGACCTGCGATGAGACGGGTCCCTGCGATGAGACGGGTCGATCCTCCTCCCCAAACATGGCATCCTCGATCGCTGGTGAAGGAGCATGCAGCTTGTGGACTAGGACATGCGTCCGAACGCCCTTCGTGCGAAGTCAATTCTCACATATCAAGTCTCTAAGTGCTCAACTTTTCAGTACATCGCTTACGCAGCTGGGTGATCCAAGATATTCCAAACATTAAAAGGAAGGTAACGGAATTAACCAAACAAATCACTCCACCAACTAAGCTGTATTCTGTCAATCCTTACTATGTCTGGATTCTGTCTTTCCACCCAACAAACCATACAAGGAAACTGTGCACTTCACCCTGACAGATTGTACATCAACTGAAATTTTTATCCAAACATCTCAAAGCATCACTCACCTGCCTCCAGAAGCTCTGGTAGCAAAAAAACACATTGCAAAGAACGGTTCTTTACTGGATGCTGGTGAACTTGTCATTTGGGCAAGGTCGCTTTACCAGAAACATATTAAATTGTTCAATTACAGAAACCACTAGCCAAGTTGCTAACACGAAAACATAGCCACAATTCACGCAATCTCTCTCTCTCTCTCACTTTCCATCCATGTGGTGCCATGTTGGTGATTCTGATTTAAGTGATGTCCAGTGATTTTGGACGGGAAGGACAAATCTATCAGCTGGCCGGGAACCAACTGCGCACGAATTGGGCAGCATATCTTTTGGAGTGTGTCATTGCAAATGTTCTAGCATGCAGGTCTTTCTCTCTCTCTCTCTCGCAACTTGAAAGGATGGGCTTGAGCATTCAGCATCCTCCAAAGCTCATCTGCTGTTGCATCCGCTGCTTCCGGGATCACCTGGTCCAAATAGGTGCGTTTCTCTTGATGGAGCTGCTGTTTGAGAATCCCTGCTTCTCCCACTGTTTGGCCCAAACAAACAATATGAACATTCTCTGCGCCCTTGGCAACAATGTTCCGAACTTCCCCGGAGATATGCTCTTCAAGCCCGCGAGCGGCGGCTGACTCCTTCATAAAAAGTGCGAAAGCAGCCTCACATCGCACACCAAGGGGAAGAGTATATCCAAAGCAACTGCATGGACTCGAATGTTGTTACAGTCGTAGTCGAACCTGCCTCAGCATATCTCGCCACGTGTTTGCCAGGTGAATCTGTGAATCTGAATCCAATGGAGGCACTGCTGGCCACAACGGGACAGAAGCCACACACCAGCGCTAAGAGTCCCTGAAGCAGAAATTGCTTCTATTTCTTCCAAAACCCATGGGTGATACCCAGTTGAACACCACATGCCGAATACCGGTTACAGGAGGCTGCACAGTCCACTGCGCTTCCGAAATAGCCATTGCAAATAGTGCAAATATTTGTCAACTAAATCGCGTTCTGATTCAATGGCACGAACTTTGCCTCAGCCTGCGCTCCAAATGTTCCAGATTGTACAAAAACCTTATGACATCTTATAACCATATATGGTATTGGATCAGCGGGCGTGCCTGCATCCGATACTGCAGTGCACTACCCAGCGCTTCCTGGCACTCTTCATGGCTTGATACATCTCCTGGGCATTCTTCTCCCGAAACGCCTTTATTTGTAAGAACACTTTTCCACACATGAATCCTTGTCACAAGGTTGCTAACGATCTCAGCTCAGCTGACTCTTGTTATTTGTAGTCATTATTTCTTCACCCATCAACAGTCCTTTCAAACAACAACAACAACAACAACAACAACAACAGTCCTTTCAAACATCACTTCCACAGGCACTTGGGTCGTGCGTCTCCGGTCCCTTGGAAAACGCACCCACCGCGGAAGTGGAAGGCTGACATGGGGTGGGCAAACCAAAATGGCCGGCTTGAACGTTTTGGTTCACTCAGGAAGTCAAGCTACATGCACTCCAGGAGAGAGACAGTATTATATAGTCCAGCTTTGCCTTCTTGGAACCAAACGGGCGAGTCCATGTAAAAGTCTCTCCTCATTGATACCATCAGTATGTGGAATTTCTGCAGAACATCGCAGAACACAAAGTTGACATCGCCACCAAAAAGGAAAACAACCACTTGGTGGGTCTGAAAAACCCAAAACCTGGTGACCCTCCGCAGCTTGGAGACCCTCTCCACAGCGAAATGGTGCCCAAGTTCCATCCACCTCTCCATCTCTCCACGCCTCAGAGATCTCAGCGCCGCACCCCCAGCGCCGCCAGCATCGCTCGCACCCGCGCCGCCTGCGGAGAGGTTTTGGCTCTGAAAACGACATAGAACTGTAAGGATCATGAATGAACAACGGGGTCAATGAAGTTATTTGTCATCTTCCAAAACAATTTCATCTACACCAAAGGGGTAGCTTTTGAACCCTGTAAAGACTGATATGATCAGCAATCCACTTCTGCTCCTGGCTTGGGAAAACTATATTCCAATGAGAAAAAGGCTCTTTGGCCGAGATCAATCGGCCTTGGTGTCCTATCTCCGCCGCAGTGGAACTACATCTCTGCCAGCACGAGGAATCCTGGCGACGGGGAGTCGCAGTCAAGCAATGTCTTGTACTGTAGACTCTTGATTCATAGACCATTTGGATTGAAAAGCCTCTTCATATTGGCTTTGCTTCTTGGTTGCGCCTGTTGATGCGGATAAGTTGGGTCCTTAAAGCAATCAGTCGGTGTGAAACCCTACGTTTTGCCTCCACAATGTTGGTACGGTGAGACCACATGTCAAATGTGTGGTTGTTGTATGTTGTTGTTGTTGTTGTTGTTGTTGTTGTTGTTGTTGTTGCTTGTTTGATAGAGTGCGAAAGCGAGCTGGATGAAGACCAGTCTGACAAGTCTGATGTCGAATAGATCTGCATGTATAGTAAAGATCAGTGCCTACCAGCTATTTTGATGTGTGGTCCATGTGTTTTAACGATTTGTTGTTAACGCTGAATTTGTGTTACGCCTCTCATGTTTTCACCAACATGAACAGGGCCATAGTTGACCTACCATGACCTACCTAGCTTCATGTCACTTGAAACAACGGCTACCCGCATCAAAACAATAATCCTTTGTCACGAGTTAGATCAAGTTAGTACTTATCATCTGCAAACTATAAAAGGACTCCTAGGACAAACATTTCCTCTACAAACCGGTTCCCCCAAACAAACATCTGCAGAAATTCACACCTTGAGAAGTTCTGGCATGTGGCAGGTGGCCATACAGATCTAGAAGTTATAGAATATGTCTGGGTCTGGGTGCGACTCCCTATCGAGTCTTCCACTTTCGATTCCCCGGTCGTCCGAGCCGGAAAAAGACCAAACCGTCCGAGGCCGTTCGGTCCGGCACCTGAGGACTGATCAGCTCATCTATGCGCTCGCGGGTCATCGGCCTCGGTCTTCCATTCATCCCGCATGGGAAGGTCCGCATGGGAAGGTCAATATGGGGAAGGTTTGGTCCACATGTGACATGTACGTCTATCCACCGGTCAATTTACAGTATCTGTCCCTATATATACATCTACCTATCAAAATCAATCTATTCTGCTTGGGGGAATCTTAGGGCACGAAAAGGGTCGAGAGAACCGCTTGAGGTTGTCGACGCAAGCAGTTACTCGAAAGTGGGGAACTGCTATCGTGTAATGTATTGGGCGAGATACCGCCCAAGAGTCTTTCGGTGGTCCAATTTGTCATTGAACACCCGCTCTCATGAAGACACCAAAAAGAACCCTTTGCAGAAAACAGCATCCAAAAAGACATGTGTCCCAACAACTAGACCTAGCCAGTCAGCTCGTTTCTGTCAAACGCAACACGTTGGCTTTAGCTACCTCAACTCCTCCACGTGAAAGCTCTGAGAAAAAAGGCTGAGCTCTGCTCGGGTAGGTCTCTCGGTAGTACTTCAAGTGCGAGCCGGTGTAGTCTTCGAACCTGGACCGGTACCCCTCAGGTCACATTCCGATCGTGACCGGAATTGATTCGAAACAGAGCGACCCGTTCTCGCCGGAGAGCCGATGTTTTCCAGGTCCACCGAGTCTTTCACCTGTTCATTTGGAGTAGGATGTCACCAATCCCCCAAAAAGGTCAAAGGTTATCCACTGACTGCAGAAATAGGAGAAGGGACACTTTTGGCCGCACAGGAGTCTGGCCATAGCTGAAGAACTCCTTGTAGAGGTTAGGTGATGAATTTTGGCCGTATCTTCAACCAAAACTCCAAAACACCCGCAAAGCATCGTAAAGCCGCAGCCACCATAATGCAGGAATCCTTGGAACCGAGGATTGAAGATGTTAGGGCCATCGTTTTGGTGCTATAGCCTATAGCTAGACAAGGGAAAGGAACCAGTGAATTTCTACAATCTACATCGTACAGGACCTGAAATCCATAGCTATGCTTCCACACAGAAGTGTTTCACATTTCAACTTACAGTACCAGCTTAAACACTTCTTGTAATCACCCCATATCACCCCTGAGCATCCCTGAGCCAAACTGGCCACCGCACGTCGAACAAAGTCACATGGCTCTCCATAGCCTGGACACTTTCTCATCCTCTCTCGTGCTCGACTCGTCAGCAGTCCAAGCAGCTGCGGCTCGGAGGGAACATCTTCCTTTTCCTGTCTGGATCGGCTGCGAGCTGTGAGGCTACGAAGCAGTTCACTTTCACTCCCCTAGTTCCACAACAGGAAAGTAATGTTCACGATCTTAAAGGATTTGGCAAGACTGAAGATCGAATCATTCACACCATGGTGGTTGTTGTTGCTGCTGGTGTTCCTGTGAATTGCACGAATCCGAATGTACACCAGACCATGTAGGTCAAAATCCACCGAGAGATCTCCAGCTCCACATCTCCACTTTTGCAACTCGCATGTTTCACTTCCTCTCCCTAGACGAGTTTCGAGGCTGTTGGAGTGTTCAACGAGTTGTACTGAGTATTACGCAGTATAAATTCCACCCGAAAAGGTGGAACAATTCTTCAAAAAGGCCCTTGACCTTTCATTGTTTTTGCGGGGGCTTCCTCCTTGTGGGCTCCCTCCTTCACACGAGCAGCTCCGAAAGACACCCTCTCCGCCGCTCCTCACGCTTGGGTACTTCCCTGCGTGAAGAGATTGGCGGGTCGTGGTCTGAAACCTTGAGAAGTCACCGTTCAAAGAAGGGCTTGATGAATCACAAGCAAGGCCAAGGGGTCTGATAGGACCGTTCTTTTTGAGACGAATGTGTTCTGGATATTCTGGATTGTACCTACAATATGGGTGTAATCTCCATGGGTAGACTGGTCTATTTCCTTTTCTTCCTTTCAGGGCCAGAACGCCTGGTGTCGGTCTCCCTAGTGAATCATTCACACCCACAACAACCCTCCAAGTCCAAGTGACATCAGGGTTGTTCAGCTTGTTGAAACGACCCTCCAACGAACACATCGCAATGTGGAAGCGGTTCCAAGGGAGTGGGGAGAAGCATCCTTCATCGCTCAAAGAGGCTTCGAAGGCCAAATGCACTAAAGTAATTACCATCATACAATCACGAGCAATTACCATCTGCATAGGTACCTAGCGCTTCCTGTCGGGGTGCCCTGTCTGGAGACCTGTTTACGTAGTGTGGAGATATCCATTGGTGACCCCGAACGGAAGCAGCTGATAGGAAAAGAGTGCATTGCTTGTCAATACATCTGACATGATTCGGATGCAGCATCCCAAGTATCCATGACATAGTTTCAAAATGTCAAGCGTCTGCAACACGGTGCGGGTGTCCGCCGGCAGATTGCTTAATAAAAATCTTGCTATACTGCAAATAACTGTATCATCCTAAGTCAACCATGCAATGTCCAAATGAGTTTCTAAAATTACTTTCAGTGCTCACAGTTGCATGCTCCAAAACTTGGCAAACAAAGCTCGCGGGGAGAGGCCAAACTAGACTAGAAGGATGAATTACTTCAATGGCCCCGAAGCACTTAGCTCTAGGAACCATCCCAGCTTGTTCACACACCACCAGGAATCCGAAATCAGCTTCTCCTCCAGGCAAACAGAAACACTCCGACACTGGCAGACCAGAGGTTGCCTGATGGCCATCAAAGCCACGTCATCAGCATCCCCGGAGGGATGGGAAATCGCTTCCCAGGCGCCTGCGAGGACGACAGGATCGTTGAATCAATGAATTTGCTGTCCAACCGGAAGAAACAGATGCACCCAGAAGGGGAGTCACCGAAAAAACATCATCCTAGAAACAGCAGGTTTTGGGGGAGGCTTACGGGAGGCTTCTTTGGGAACAGCCAAAGTCATAGTAGATGTTTGCTTCAATATCAGCCCGTCAACAGGTCCTGGTTAATTGACATCCCTTAACCTTTAAGGGGCTATTTTTAGACACTCCTTTGGGGGGGGCCCTGGTTTATCAGGTCAAAGGACCGGCGAGTGCGAAACAGTGTGATTGAGCAGTCCGCCCGGCCTGGAACCCATACCCTCCTTGAAATGAGATGCTGAACCAGGAGCGATGGAAGGACACAGCGCCCCTGGAAGGAAAACCCATGGGCCTTGACTCTTGACCAACAGAAGGGTTTTCCCCTTCCATCTCTTCCCCAGAAGGGGATTCGCCGGATTCACCCAATAAACCGAAGAAACGTCACCCGAAAGCCGCAAAAAAGAGAGAAGATCGTGTGACTTGGAGGGAGGGGCAATTCCTTGAGAACATTGTTTTCAACTGGAAAGCTCGTTTCAAGGCGAGAAAATGCTTGTGGACGATCTGGGTTCGAGCTGCTTTGCAGGTACCGAGAAAAAAACACTTGCTTGAGATCTGTCTTAAGACCTCTTCAACTCTTCTCTAAGACAATCCATACCAATCCTTGATCTTGAACGGTTCACGAAAGTCACTGATCTTGACCAAGTCTGAGAAACTCACATATCACATAAGGAATTGCTGTACGATATGGTAGGGCACCATCATCAGTATTACTGTACGAATTACTTAGTTTCTTTTTGGACCACATCAATTGATTGTTCGGGTATGTCGAGGGCACCATCTCATGGTCTCTCATGGTCTATCCCAGGTTTCTCAGCCACCACGAGTGGTCCCCGACACTCCCTGCCTTCAGGCAAAGCCAAGCGTTCTCGGTAGAGCGGCGCATCAAAGACTGCCAATTCGTTGGCAGGATCGATGCCTCCTTGGGTCCTACCTGAACCTTTCTGTCCGGGTGTCCAACACAAATCCATGAGTAGAATGGGGGCCTTCATTGGTGACCTTGAAAGGAAGGTGCTGGTATGTGTTTGTTTCCATTCATCAGTACCGGCAACAAACAGGAGCAAATTCCAAAACTGCTAATCTGTGTCATGCTGCTTGAGGAGATAGAGAACAAATGCAAAGGATGGCTTCAGTCACACAAACACGCGAAAAGAGTTGCCACAAATGCGTGGTATAGTAGACCCTCATCAGGACACCCCAAGGGGGTACACCTGGAGTTAAGAGGGTGCCTGTATCAAAACTCCTTGGGATTCAAACATTCAGGTTTTGTAGAGGGCCTCCAGCATCCTCCAGCCCGTCGTTACTTAAGATTTTTCTGTCCGACACGCTCCAGCTCCCCTGCGCTGGGAGAAACACCCTCTTGGACTCATGTTCAAACGCAACATGCACCTGTTCAATTGGTGCAATCTATATTGAACACAACAAAAGCAGCATGCACAATTCACCCCCCTCAAATAAGTGGAACACACCCTTGCTGCAAAAACATATCCAGGCGAAGGCCAAGAAATCATCAATTTTTGTGGGTCTCCCCCAAGCTGTTGGTGCTTCATCTTAGCTCAGTAATGTAGACTCTGGACCCATAAAACACCCATGTCTGGGGGGGGGTTACGGTTTTTATTCATCATGAGTAAGCCAAAAGCCTGTTCACCCTCGTTGTTTTGCTTGCAGAAACCTTTCTTTGAAAAGAACAAACACATGTTTCCCATATGTTCCCATCCTCGAGCAGGTTGGCTTTGACAAAGCATGCTCACCCCCCGGCGCGGCGCATGCGCCGCCTGCACTCTCGTATTCGCCGCCCTCACCGCAAACATGCACGCCTCAGACAACAAAAACACATTCTGATGACTCCATGATGATGATTAAATTCACATGCATGGATGATTCCTGGGTAATATAGTAGAGTGTATATATTGGTTTGCCATGTTTGGGTAGTGATAGCTGGACGCATGATGGTGATCATGATGCTGGAGGCCCCACATCTTGGAGTGCAACATGTCCGAATCCTTCCTACACTTGGGATCAGCTTGCATCATTCTGAAGCTTTGACCCATGCCACCCCTACGAACTTGTTGAATCAGTGTTCAGTTTCTATAGCTGTTGTGAGTTTCTAGCTCAGATATTACGTCATGGAGTGATGGAGTTTGGTCACTCTGAAGCGTAAGTGAAGACCTCTGCATGGCTGATGTTGAACATGTTGGAGCTTGAACTGTTGCCTGTCCACCTTCTACAGAAAGCTGTTTCCAACACTTTCGATCATCAAATCAACCATTCTTCACCAACTCGGAGTGCATCTCCTGTCGCCAGAAACTCGGGGTTGGAGAGCCTCCGATCCATCAATTGTCCTCGGCCCCTGCAGATCAGGGTGTCCAGGCCCCACTTCTGACCAAGCCCAAAGAGATGAGCCTGGCAGAGTCGGCCCGGTCTGCATGCGCGGGGAGTGGTGGGCCTCCCCAAAAACAGGGTTAAGAGTGGTATCATGATGTATCCTGTGGCATCGTAATACATCCTATTGGCGCTAATGAATCCTCTTGCAGCAACTCTCAGGTTCCAAGCCTCGGGACGAAAAAGACACATAGCAACGGCGCATCTTGCAGGGGGGACTGGAAGCTTCCTGGGGTAACCCCTCGGCCAGGTGTTGAACAGTGGTTCATGTTCCCATTCTTATTCTCCTGCATCTTCCTCCACACCCTGGATGTGACAATCCAGGTTGGATGCTTTTTTGCCGAGCCAAGCAGTCATGTTCCTCCGCCGACCATCGGAGCCCCCCGGAGTTCGAGGATCCAGAGTACGGGATTGCCCCAATCAAGCAGTCAACCCACAATCAATCCACCATAACCCATTTGACCATCATACGAATGCCGTGGGGCAAAGCAAACACCAACAAACAATAAACCATATGTCAGTATAATTAATGAATCTTGTAACTATAAACATTTACAAACTAAAATCACTTTGCAACCAGTGCAGGCAAGCAGCGGCAAAATTGGACTCCAGGATTGATCTCCCTGAGTGCTTTTCGTGAATGCAAATGGTGGGCACCTCCCGGTGTTCCAGCAGTGGTTCGGTTCCTCAATCATATGGAAGTGAATGGATCCACTGTCACCCTCTGAAAAGGTGAGTGATGTGTTCCAACACTTTCACACTCGGAACACATTCCATGGAAGTGGATGGCTCCCTCCCTGTTTGTAGAGGAAAACACTCTTCCATGCAAGGGGATGGCTGCCATCCACTTCCAGCGGAATGTTTCGGGTCCGGACGGGCCGAATCTCCGGTGGCAGTGGATCCCGAACGAAAAGGTGAATATGGCTTGTCCCTTGCGATGCCTACCTAATGACACATGGGGACATGAAGTCCACGTTCATATGTTCTCAGTCGAAAAACCGGAGGCCCGGAGGCCCTGCACTCCGCGCAAGATGGGAACCCCTGCAAAATGACAAGGGGGATTTGATGGAAACACTTACGTTCATGGGAATTGAACCAACAATTAAAGCATATGCAAATAAACAACAACAACAACAACAACAACAACAACAACAACACCGAGGAGAGCGATGATACAGTATGCGATCATCCAGCATGTTGGACTGGCACAGCTGCGTGACTGTTTGGTCCTTTGGCACAGGCCGAGACGGTGGAAACGATGCTTCGCAGTGGGTGATCAACTAAGACCATTCAAAGGGTGTAGGTCGAACAGTCAAAAAGCAAAGTGTCATGTCTCTCCAATTATATATAGATCTCTCCAGTTCTATATATATAACCACAATATCCAATAGAAAAGAGCTCGACAACATCTACGCTGTATCCTCATGTATCCTCTCTCCCTCCTCCTCCACCTACCAGGGAGCCAAGCCAATGTGACGTTGATCCAAGCCCATGCAAGCCACCTGGGGGCGGTGGCTTACCACGTGCTGTTCCGAGAAGGGCGCTCTGCAGCACCCCCACACGCGCCGCGCCCCTCGCACGTGCCGGACGCTTTCAGGTTGCTTGTGTGGGGGAGCCCCCCGAAGTGCCGCACGCCACCCAAAGGGATTGGACCACGGTGAAGATTTATTTATATGAGGAACAGTGAAGCACTGGGGTGCACCGTTCCAGATCCCAACAAGCAACAATGCCTGCCCCCTGCTCTGCGAACGATCCTGAACTTCCTTGTGGCCTTGCGACTGTCGAAGCGCCAACTGAACGTAAAACAAACAACACCTTCTATACCGCACAGGAAGCCAACAGTGCGGGGCGTTCTATTCATCCTATAGTCTTGAATGTTCCTATGTTCCTTGTGCGAAGCGAACAATTCTGTTCTCGCCCCCATGCTGCAGCACCTTGACAATGCGAGCATCCAGCCCTCCTGCAATCATCTGGCGAAGAAGTAGAGGCTGCTCCTGAGAATCCAAGCATGAAGCAAATGTTCCCGATCCCATATGTTTCATAAATATCACTACATACTCCTGATACCATGACAAAACTCGACAGTCTTCATTCCTGCGCTCTCCAACAACTTCCGTCTTATTTGTTGGATTTCTTCCAAAGCGCAATCTACGAGGAAGCCAGTGGTTCCAAAGGATAACAGCATAGACCAAAAATGCTGAAACCCTTGTTCTTTGCTAGCTGTTATAGAATCGGTGTCATCGGTCAACTTCCGCTTACATGAAAAGAACATGGACAAGCTAACACCACCAGTCCCGAGTCCTCCCGAGTTGCTTTCTACCCGCGCTTTGGCCCGATCCTCATCGGCACATCGGCCGGCCGGTGCTCCTGGCGCCAAAGGAAGGCCAAGACCTTCAGCTTCAAACGGCCACAAACGTGTTCCACGCGGCAGCGCTGATAATCGCCTGGGTCGAAAAGCCGAGGAAGTCGACTAGTCTTCCAAGAAACCATGCCATCTACTTCCATGTGATGTGTTCGTCAGTGCATCAACATATGGCTGTGGGTCATGGCACACGCGGAGACCGACCGGGAAAAACCGACCTGGAAGGTCGTTCGCAGGCAAATGGTGGACTGGTCGGGCTCCAAGTTTTGACCGAGCCACATACGAGATAGTCTACCATAGGAATTCTGCTCAAAAGAGGAGTGTTTTTTTTTGTATTATAATGCATTATATAATTCGGTCCAAGATCATCCAAGATCTAGGTTACTCTGCCTGTGAGAACCACATGATTTCAAACCACCGATCAAGCTCAGTCGGACGAACAGTTCTCACCAAGGGTCTTAGAATCGCCCCACAGCTCACGGCCTCCACCCCCGGAAAGGCCTGGAACCACTGTCGTGGCAGGAACCGAACGCTGGCAGGACGAAACGAAGTGGATACCAGTCGTCCTTCTAAAAAGAGGATCCAAGTAGACATCGATGTCTGGTTGAAGGATGCAAGTAGCACCTTGAGGTTTTGTATTGTGTGGATCTTCTGAGTGTTTGTCTGCCATGAAACAAATATGAAGGTGACAGGTGACATCCAATTCCCGCAGTGTCTTGGGCTCTTTCATCTATACTTACCTAAAGCCCCTTTGACCTCTGTGCTCATAGGAAAAGACAATATTTTGATATATTTTGGGTGATTGGTGGTCCAAAAAGAGGTCACTCAGGTTCTAAGTTCTAGGTACTTGTTTCATTACATGAGGCCAATAGGTCCCTATCTCTTGACCTTCCAAGCAACAAAATCTGCCATGCTCGGACGGAGGAGGATAGTGTGAATGGAGGCTGCAACTCCGCCTCAAAATGCCCCCAACATGTGTGTGTTTCTTTATAATATAGGGAGATCCCCAACCAATAGGTGTTGGTCTTTCTCGGGGATTGTTGACTGGGAGGTCTCCCTATTTGAATGCACACTCATGTGGAAGAAAACGACACCAGGCCGCCTGCAGGACATCTTGCAGAAGGAGTGTGAGATCCTCCACCTGCAAAGTTTAGAGAACGACATCGGACACCCCCAGTCGTCTCGGACATCGGAGATGATCGGAGTGCACGGACGACTTCCCAGTCTGGTCTGACGACTTCCCACATGGTCTGACGCTTCGAACGAAAGTCTCCAGCACATGGGTGCACGGAGTGAATGTGACCAAACTGTTGCGCAAGGGGGAACATGATCCTCAATGTGACAGCTGTGAGGCTGTGAGGATTTGTTCCTGTCGGACAATCCTCTGATGGCATCGGACATGGAGAACCTTCAACCGTTCACGGCTCCAAGTTCCTTCGGACTGGTAGATTCTGCCGAGTCCAGATTCTACAGAGCTCCCGGACTCCTTTGGACCCCAACGTGACTTCGAATGGTAGGAAATCAAAGTCATTGCGCTCTGAGTTACCCAAGTAGGTGGTCTTTTAAGTGTCGATGCCTCTGGAACAGGACAACATCCCGCTTGTCAAAAGGCTGAGGACGCAAAACGGTCTGAACGCAGCCTTTTTTCCCCTGCTGCTTATGGACAACTGAGTGTTGGGAATCGAGGATGACCCAACAGGAACAATTTTTTCTGCATGCTTGACTGGAAGGGACCATTGCAAACCAAAATCTACTCGTTACATCTCGTTACTATTTCTCTCTTATATACTGTGTTCCTCTTTGAGGCGTGTGCTACATGAAGCTTGTTCGAGTGCATGTGCATGAATTTCACGATGTTGCGACGATGTTATAACACCGAGGACCTATATAAAGTGCAAGCAAAATTGTCCCCTTGGGATATCACATCGTTGGCGATGACAGCAAGCACCTGCACTGTGGCGTTCCTACCGGACCGACAAGCTCTCAGCAAATCAGCAAGTCTACCTACTGTTCCTACAGAAACACAAGAGTCACAAGAGATGACATAGCACACATGGCAAAGGCATGGCATTTGGAGGAAGCACAAGGCCATCTAGGTTGAACCCAACTGCTTCCCACCAACTAAATTTATCCTTCCACGACTTCTATCACCCGTACCAGTCCCAGTAATTTAGTAATGTAAAGCTCCTCCAAAACCTGCCCCCAAGTGGCTTGCGCTACCGTGCAACCTGCGTGGCCGTTTAAAATGCCAGCGGTACCATGGCTTGCCGTGACGTGCCACCGGCGAGACCGCCGACTCAGTCGAGGCCCATTTTGCCCATGGATCCGCGCAGGCGCTCCAAATCCTTCGACGACAAGCGTCCAATGCCTTCCAAGGCCTCCTCGGTGATGACCACGATGAAGCGCAGACGAAGCGAGGACGCAGCGAGTCGGCTCGGTCGGAAAACGAAGTCGTTGATCGAATTGGAGAATTGGGGATGATAAACAAGCGGAGGTTGGGAAGCAGTGCAACATGTGGTTTATATAGATGAATAAGCGGTTTACAAGAAGAGATGTGTTTCACATGTGTTCACTTTTCTCATCTTTTCTCTCTCTGACTAGGCGGAGTGTTTCGTTAGTCACAAAGCCATGGGACCAAAAAAGAATGGCAAAGTACCAACATGTTGTTACCAGCCGGGTCTTCTCTTCGCCATCGTCGGAGACTGCGTTTCGGCAGATGGCGTCTGGCAGAGCTCGACGTGTGATACTTGGTTGCGTCTGACAGTGAAAGGAACACTGGATTCTCGGGTGTCTGTCTGTAGAAACCCATTGATCACTTTGTGTAGTTTGCACATCAAAGCCTCTGCTCTTTTGGAGAGCTTTCTTTGGATGTATGTGTATTGAGACAGCAGTCGTTTCTTTTACTTCCAACACTGATGAGGACACATACCGTGGGTTTCATTGCGTTGCAAAAGCGGTGTCATCGTTCCTGCACGGTGCAACGGAACTTTGGTCGACCGATCTAAAGCAGGCCTGCATGCGTTTGGTCGACAGGTCTGCCCTCAGCTGCATTCTCAGCAGCCTCCTCCCCCAAAAAGAATCCAACATAGAACCAACACATTGACTGCCTTGTCCCTGGACGTGTCTCTAAGGAAAAATACACACAATAGACTAGAGATCTCTAGAGGAAGGTGTGGGAAAAGTCAAGACTTCAAGCATATACACTTCCTGCAACTAACACAGAAGTAGAAAACCTCCTGTTTGTAGAGGAAGTCTTCCAAACGGCCATTTTCCACTTCCATATTAGTTCCAGGGAATGCAGCGAGTCTAAAGTCTAAAGGTTTTGACCTCGACTCATTAGCACCCAGCGTCGGTGTTGTTGGCCGCCCCCACCTGGGCCGCAGCAAGGACGCGTCGACTCGTAATGCCAGCAACTCACGACCTGTGCAGTCTTGGAATGCAAAAGCAGTCAACTTGATATATCGCACTAATCACTTGCCACCAACAATCATGCTTTGTGGAGAACTCATGTTGAAACTGAGAACTCGATATGGTCTACTGGACACATGTCCACATTGCCAAGCCATGACATCCACTTCCATCTGACAGGTCTTGCTGGAGAGTATCTTCCAACAGCAGAACATCGACCACCTCCGGACCAACAAAAACATATTCAGTCATCACCGTGCAAGTCCTGCGCATGGGCAAGTCAAGCTGGTCATGGGCATCGCACAAGTATATTATAGATCGACCAGGAGTATACCCTAGAGAAGTCTGCGACTTCTTGCTTGGTTGTTTTCCAGCAAAGAGTCTACGACATCGCAGCACAAGCCTTTCGCACCGGTGGAAGCACCGATGACACCAGCGACAGTTCAGCTGAGATTCGACAGCTGCCACCGTGGACAAACTCTTGGGTGGCAAAAGCCTTGGATGTGAAGTGAAAGGGTAGGAAGCACAATGTGGAAAGCTCCTGCCAGCCACAAACCTTATATGCATATCTATATCTATGTATACATTATACTATACCTATTGCACACAGTAGTCTTGGAAGCTGGACCATCCAATGGGTGTCCAATGGACATCTCCAAGTAGTGTAGGGTACCAGGATCAAGGAGAGAAATCAACCCCCCAAGGAAACCCCCTTGCCCTCGGACTCCTCCTCTCGTTCGCAGCGAACTCGGCATCCGCACTTGGCCTTTTGGTAAATCTCCTTCGGCTTCGACGACTCGCCTCGGCGAACTCAAACCCGACCGATGTCGGCAGCACCGGGTGTGGGTGGGTGATTGATATGGGCACCGGATGGCACTGGGGTGGTTGGTACATGAACGTTTAAGCGAACGACATTTCTAGAGAATCCAGAAGGGTCCAAGAAGCACAACCCACGAAAGTCTAAGAACTGAAAGAATCTCTGCTGAACCATAAGAATCAAATAAAGAATCAACCTTCGCATCAACAGAACATATGCCAGTGCCCTTGGATGGAAGAATGAATACCTAGGATCCGGGAGGGTTCTATCAACCACCCCAAACCGGGTGGTGCTGGTGGAGGCTATTCTCATTTTCAACATGAGCCGGTGGAAACAGAATCTGGACCTTTTGAAATCCAGAGCTGTCGTTGAATTCACGAGTTCTTTTCAGCCAAGGTGTAGCTTCTTCAACCTGCATTTCACGCAAGGAGTCCATTGATCTTACACATCACAAGTTGCTATTGGAGGTCGATGTAATCCACCAAGGTCTGTTGTGAGTCTAATCATGAGAATTGAAGTTGCGCACACCAAACAAACATAACATCCATGAAACATCACACGCCTCCACAGTCCTAAGCCCTTCCAACGCCCTTATAGCTTCGTTGTCCAAGTCCAAGCAGCTGAGCATGAAAGCCATGAACTCCTGTGCGCGCCGTGGCGGCGAGCGCAGGCCACAGAACCATGATGTTCAACAACTATGTCAAGGGGATTCAGGTGGACACCTAAATGAGTTATGTCCTGTTTCACAAACCTTGGGTGATCCTTCAAAAAGGCTTCCCTGCAAGTTGTCCCGTCAACAACTTGCTTCATCAATGGCAGGTCCCGGGTCCCTGTCCTGTGAGTTATACTAAACATAGAGGAGAGAGAACTGGACCGCAAACCAAACAAATTTGCTTGAATTAACACCTGCAAGAGCTGAATCTTAGAAAAACAAAAACATGAAGCAGCCACGCAGTTTAGTATTGACGAGTACGACTCTCTTCTCACCCCAGCCACAAACCTTGGGCTGCACACATTATAAACTTTACCAAATAAACACCGGCTGAGCGGTTCGAGGTGGCCCTCTCGGAGAAGCGCTCCTGTGCCAGACGCTCCTCTTTCATCTTCAGGTGCGTATCCCCCACCTCCTGCAGGTGGGTACCATGATCACGGCAGAAAGCTTTTCTTCACCCTCCCTGAAACAACCATGGGGGTGGACCTTAGTCTGTCCTTAGCCGGCCCAACCTGGTAACAAATCGACTGTTGTCTAACAGGTCCAGGGTCGTGTTGAGGCTAAGAGTACGAGGCTGAGAAAGACAGAACACGACGGAACAGACCAAATCCTCGTGCGACTCACAAGGAATGAGGGTGCATCTTAGGGGTATCTATGGCCAGGGGTCATTCTGAATTCTCCTATTCTTCTATAAGTTGTACCAGAAAGAATTCTGGAGTCCACAGCGGGTCCAGAACTCACAGGGCCTCTGGTCTTGATCACTGGTCTCATCTGAAAAAGCGGACACAAGGTTGCCTTCTCCACTGGTTGGGGGGAAAATTCAGTCACTTTCATAGAATACGGAGGCTTCTTCAAGTGTCGGTTGATCTGGTTCTTCATACAAATCATGGCCAGTTGTTCACTTTCCAAAACCCTTCACAAAGGAGTCCCATACTACCACCCTTGCAACCAGCGGCACAGCTCCGTGGAACAGCTCCCCTCCTCGCCCAGGTCGCGCACTTTGGCCTCTCGCTCGGCCCGGTCGAACCACCTCGGCGCCACTCTGTGAGACCACGCAGCGTTGGCAACACGATGCGGAACATGGTTTTCATCATGATGCGGATGATTTCTGGACAGGGTAAAACCTTTTATTCCATTTAGGATGCTTCTAGAAATGAAACTCTGAAAAGCTTTTGACCACCTGCTCCACCGAGTCTCCAGTAGG